AGTTATTAACACTACCTAGCAAAGTATACCTATTAATAGGTATGCTTGCTAGGTACCCCCCCTTTTTTAATATTTTCTAGCCTCTAGCTTGTGCAGTTTAATAGTTATAACAAAACCTTCTACTACAAAAATATAGAGGTAGTTTTTCTCTTTCTTTTCAGCCCTAGTTTGCTAGAATCCATGTATTATTGATAAGGTTTTTGGGGGTACCCACGAAGGACGTTGGAGTATACCCATTCCGCCAGCCTACGTCCAAGGACTCACATTTCGCGCAGAAGCTGCCCCCAACTGCTAGAAGCTTACTGCGACTGAACAGCAGACGATCATCTGATACATACTCAACCTCAACTTGCGAGGATTTGCGCCCCAGCTGTGCGAGGTGGCAGATATGGCTGATAAACTGCTGGCTGTACGCGGTGGCAAGCCTATTAGCAAGTGCTAGGCTGATCGCTTTGTAACGCGCTCGCCTGAGCTCAAAATGGCCTTTAATTAAGCAAAGGATAGGTAGAGAATACTCTAGGAGGATCTAGAGATAATTAGCGCGTAGTTTAAGCTAGTAGAGGAGACTAAAGCTAAGTATAGCGTCTATAATAACAATGTGCATAACTTTAATAAGACTAGCTTCTAGATAGGCGTAATTGGCTCTATGAAGGTTGTCACAGGTGCAGAGAGACGCGCCTGACCTGCGCTTGTTTAGCCAGGCGATTGCGAGTGGGTTACAGTTATCCAGAGCATCTGCGCTGCTAGGTACGCGACCCCGCCCTTCATTATCTACAAGGGACGCGTCTATACCTCTGCCTAGTACAAGGAGGCTTTAATACTGCGTAATTAGAAGCTCTTAGTCTCTAAGAACAGCTAGATAAACAACATGCTTGGTCTAGAGTGGTTAAAGCACTTTAACGCGCATATAAAGACGCGCTAGGTAGGGGGGTACTAGCTGCTTATTTTAGATAGCTATAAGAGCCACCTTAACCAGCATTTTAAGGACTACTGCCTTAAACACAAGATCCTAACCCTCTGTATGCCCCCCTATTCATCGCACATCCTCCAGCCGCTTGATGTGGTCTGCTTCTCGCTGCTAAAGCGCAGGTACTCCCAGCGCGTTAGAGACTTGGCACGCCAACGCGTCTTCTATATTAACAAAGAAGGCTTCCTCCCTGCCTTTAAGGACGTGTTTTTTAATGTATTTACAGAGCAGAACTATTAAAAGGCTTTTAAGGCAGCAGGGCTAGTCCTAATTAATGCGCAGGTTGTATTAGATTGCCTTAAAGTGCAGCTACGTACCCTACTAGAACCCCTCCTCCTAGAGACGCTATAGCAGTTAAAGACTCTAAGCAATACCTATAAGTTTAGATCTAAATTAAAGCTTGTACGCGATTCCTTTACTCGCTTACCTGTTACAGCTTAGGCTGGTTTCTCCCAGCTTATAAAAGGTGGTGAGCTGATGCTGCATAAAAATGCGCTTCAACATGCTCAGATCCATGAGCTTGAAGAGCAATTAGCAGAGATGACCAAGCGAAAATCGCGTAAGCGCAAGCGGATTCAGCAGGGTGGTACTATAGAGTATGGGACTGCTGCAGCGCAGGTAGCTGCTAAGGCATCTATAGCGCCTCAGCAATCTAAGAAGGCTTATAGTAGTAGTAGTCAAGAACTAGCCTAACTAGCTCTTTGGCGCTGTAGGAACTGTGGTAGGACTAGGCACAATGCGCAAATGTGCAAAAAGGATACAGAGGTGTCCTTAGAGTTAGATGCTAGTAAAACGTACACAGGCTCCCTGTTTAATAGCAATAAAATTAAGGAGTTGTAGCATAGGTTAAGGCTACCAAGAGATTTTGGGACACTCAGTGATGTGGGACACTTGGTGATAGTTTAGGTTAGATATTTAATAACTAGTAGCCTACTAGATAGCTAATCTAGGCCTTTAGGTCTAATTATTAAAGACATAATTTACCTCTATATGTGTTATCTATTATAGCAAACGCTTTGCACCTGTATACTCTTAGGTGCGCAAGGTTAGGTTTTTATAGTAATATTACTATTCTATTACTAAAGGCAACTTAAATAAAGAATATTTTGTATAGTGTTTTCTAATAGTTTGTGTAGTTTAGCGTTTAATTGTAGAGGAATACTGCCGCCCTTGTGATTTCTGGCCACAGTTCCTAGGAGAGGTTGGCATCAAGTCGCATTGCGCGAGCTTTCTCCTTGTTCACACCCCCTAAGCGTTCTGCGTTACTATTCTGTGCTTATGTGTCTAGCGCTGAAGGCTCCACAGTAATTCCTTGTGTTGCTAGCTATTTTAATACGTCTAGTTTAACTGTAGCTATCTTGTTATCTGCCTTAATAGTCTAAACTAAGATATTATAACGTACCTCACGGGCTTGTGGATCACCGGGGCTCGTGGATCACTTTTGCCAAGCCCCCACTAAACTCTACCTTCCTACGTGATGCCTCAACAACAACGCTAGATAGAACCTTCTAATAAACGTTAGATATAGACTGCCCTTTAGGCTCTTAAACAAGACGCGACACTCTCTTAGCAACGCGCTGCAGCTATCTACAACATCGCTTAATTAACACTAAGCCGCCAATGCGCAGGACAGACTCTACAAGCAGATTACTAGCCTAAATCAAAGAATCTGACTAAGATTAAGGAGGACGTAGTTGTTAAGCATATACTTAAGCTAGTCACCCAAGGATTTCCCCCCAGGCTTGCAGCTGTAGCTGATATAGCCAATTCTTTGCGCGCAGAGCGCAATATTGGCCAAGTTAGCTTAAACTGGCCCAGTACGTTTGTTAAAGGCCGCCCTAAGCTCACAACAAAGTTTAATCACAAATACAACTATAAGAGAGCCCTCTGCAAGGATCCTAAGATTATACAAGGCTAGTTTAGCCTAGCAGCTAACATTAAAGCTAAGTACAGCATCCTAGATAAAGATAGGCTGGCGGAATGGGTATAGTCCAACGTCCTTCGTGGGTACCCCCCAAAACTTTGTCAATAATACATGGATTCTAGCGAAATAGGGCTTAAAAGAAAGAGAAAAACTACCTCTACATTTCTGTAGTAGAGGGTTTTGTTATAACTATTAAACTGCACAAGCTAGAGGCTAGAAAAGGTTAAAAAAGGGGGGGTACCTAGCAAGCATACCTATTAATAGGTATACTTTGCTAGGTAGTGTTAATAACTTAGCTAATACTAGGCAAAATAAGCTAATTCTTTTTTTATTAGAAGGCGCAATACTAGGCGCTTCTATTGAATAATAGATTATGTAAGCGTATCTCTGCTAGTTAAGAAGCTATAAGCCAAAACGTAAAAAAGCATACCCTACCCATCTGCCAGCCTAGATAAAGATATGTTTAACTTTAACAAGGCTAGCTTTATAATAGGCTAGATATCTACTAGTTTAGTTGTTACAGCTTTAGAGAGACAAGGACAGCTAAAGGCAGTGTAGTAAGGCAATAGAGAGTGGACAACAGTTGTCTAGGGCATCAACGTGATAGGGTAGGCTATTCTACCCTTCATTATCTTTAAGGGCTGCTATCACCTCTCTGCCTAGTATAAGGAGGGGGATCTACCTTATAATTAGGTTATTACAGTATCTAAGAACAGCTAGACAATAAATAAGCTTAGCCTACAGTAGTTAAAGCACTTTAATAAGCATACAAAGAAGAGAGTAGTTAGCAGCTACTAACTGCTCGCAATTAACGGCCATGAGAGCCACGACTCGCTCGCTTTCTAGGAATACTGCAAGGAGAACAAGATTATCACTATCTACATGCCTCTACACTTATCACACCTCCTGCAGCCTCTTAATGTGGGGTGTTTCTCGCCTTTAAAGACAGCGTATAGCCGCCAAGCTAAGAATCTTATGCACAACTAGATTACCTACATCACAAAGCTTAAGTTCTTACCATGCTTTATACGCGCCTATAATGCAGCAATTACTCCTAGTAATATCTAAGGAGGGTTTTAAGGCGCTAGATTAGTCCTATTTAACCTAGAATAGGTTATAATAGCGCTTAATGCCTAGCTACGTACTCTATTACTACTACTCCCTAGCAATAAGCCCTAGCAGTTGCAAACCCTAAGCAATACCCTTAAATTAGGATCACAATTAACGCTTGTAAAGGCAAGGATTTAGAGGCATGTAGATAGCTTACTAACGTCTATAGTAGAGGCTTTTAAGAAGGTCTTAAAGGGAGCAGTAATTATCACGCACAAGCTAGTGTTAGTGCAAAAGGAGATTGCAGAGCTTCAAGCAGCAAATAAGGCTGCTACGCAACATAGATTGCACAAAAGAAAGCAGGTTTAAGCAGAGGGGACCTTAACAGTTAAGGATAGGGCTTGTTTAGCTGCTCTTAAGGACTTTAGGGCGCGTAGTAATAGGAAGAAGCTAAAGAGGCAGGTGCGCGCTGAAGTAGGTAAACTATCTTAACAATAGTGTACACAGTGCAAAGAGACTAGGCATAATGCGTGTACCTGCTAGAAGGTAGTAGAAGTAGACTCTAAATAATATCACATCTTGCTTTGTACTATACAGGGCCAAAGTGGGCTATTTTGCGCCAGAATAGGGTGGTTTTGGTGGGGGCTTGGCAAAAGTGATCCACGAGCCCGGGTGATCCACGAGCCCGTGAGGTACGTTATATAACTAGATTAACTATATTACAAAGATAGAGTTCCTACTATGCTTTATACGCGCCTACAATGCTGTAATTATTTCTAGCAATATTTAGGGAGGGTTCTAAGGCACTAGACTAGTCCTGTTTAACCTACAATAGGTTATAAGCAGCCTTAATATAAAGCTGCGCATGCTATCACCACTACTACCTATTAACAACAAGCCCTAGCAGTCACAAACCCTAAGCAATACCCTAGAATTTAACTTACAATCTACTTTAATTCAAGACAAGTTTAAGAAATACTAGGGTAGCTTACTAAATTCCACAACAAGCGCGCTTAAGCATTACATCAAGGGTGCAGCAATAGTCACACACAAGCTAGTTTTAGCGCAACAGGAGATTGCTAAGCTTTAAGCAGCAAATAAGGCAGCTACATAATAGAAATTACATAAAAGAAAGTAAGTTTAGGTAGAAGAGACCCTAATAGTTAAGGAGGGCTAGTAATTAACAGCTCTAACAGAGTTTAGGGCGCGTGGTAATAGTAAGAAGGCAAAGAAGCAGGTGCGCGCTGATAGGGCTGAGCCAACCTAAAGGCGCTATAGACAGTGTAGTAAGACTAGACATAACGCGCGAATGTGCAAGACTAATATAGAAGTAGTCTCTAAGTAATATTACAGCTTGTTTTACCTTGTGCAGCGCTGTTTTGTGGTGTTTTGGGTCATAATAGGGTGGGCTTTGGTGGGGGCTTGGCAAAAGTGTTCCACTCGCTCGGTGTTCCACTCGCCCGTGAGGTACGTTAGTTGTAGTTGCAGTAACTTGTGTTAGTCGTGCCAAGAGAAAATGGCCGGTTCGGTGATATGGCCGGCTCGGTGATAATCTACGTTAATACTTATCTAGCTATACCCTAATTAGAGCTCTAATCACAGCTCTAAGCTGTACCTGATTCCGCTCACCATGGCGTGATAGATCGCCAGTGTCTGATCGGTCCAATATCCAGATGCGGATCACGTGATATGCACTCTCACCTCGATCCTTGCTGCGACACATATTCAATGTGGTATTCGCACTGCGTGGTGTATTTGAGAATGCTGCCATACTAGAGACGCCCTTCCCACCATATGCTGTCTTTGCGCATTCAATTCTGCTGGATCCATGACACTCTGTCAATCTGTGAGTGATACAAGTAAAACGTCCGAACTTCGGGCTAGGTAAGGAGATTCCAATCCGACTCGCCGCTCTTCATGACGATGGTGCAGTTGTTGAATGGTGACTTGAAAGTCATAGATAACGTCATAGGCCAACATGCGTTTAATGATAGCTGAGGCATTGGGGAATTACCAGTTGATTGCGTCGTCGATCAAACTGCGCTTGAGGCATCGCAGATTGTGTGCGAAGCCGTTGCCGTTGGATACGAGGCTGTCGCTTACTACGGGAAGAGATGCTCTGCTGTGGCCCACACTCACCGGCATAGCCAGTATAACATAAAATGAACGCAGCCTCACACTGACATGTAGTTCTCGGAAGGGCCGAGTTGACGCGTCCGCCACCATGGCCGACTGGCAAGCTAAGTAGGAGCCCTCGCTACCTGAGCTGATGAAACCTTTTGTCAGGAAAATAGACTCCATTGCCAGGCATCGAAGAACCGCTTCCGTCAAAAATGTGTGACTTCTCGAGTCCGATAGCGGCGGTCTTTGGACAATGAGCTGACACTTGCTATGCAACATGCTTGGATTGTTGATATATGCAGTGTGTCTATGCAAATGGAAACGTGCCGTGTCCAACTTCATCCTCAGCTTTCATGGACCGCAGACTCGACCCTTTCGATACTTTCCCTGTGGATTCATCGCTCGCCTTACCTTCCCTAAGCTGCTTGCTCACTCCAGCCGCTGGACTGGGTGGCGCACTGACCTCCGCCAATGGTGCCTCTACTATAAAGACCTCTTCCCCAGCCCCATCGTGGTACGTACTGTGCCGGATAGATGAGTTCGAGTGCTGGCTTTCACTGAGCTGTCTTTGCCTTCTCTTAGGCAGAGTCGGAGAATTTTGGCCCGTTGTACTCGCTGACGAGGACTTCCTGCGTGGCACACCCCTTTCTCGCCCGTTAGCGGATGTGTGAGAGTCGTGATCATCGTGCTGTTGTAACTGGTACAGACTGCTGTTTGTGGACGACTGTGATGTACCCGGTCTTTCAAAGTCTTTCTTTTCTGAAGAAGCCATGCTAGCAGCTGGCCCGCCGCTAACCGGCTTGCGCTTCGCGAGGTTTGCCAATGCCGATGCTGCCTGAATCGGGACACCCCATGCCTTCTGCTTGCCTGGAGGTGGAGGCAAAGGGGTTCCGGGAGGTGGCAAGGGCTGGCCACGGCCCATGGGCTCTGTGTGAGATTTCGTGGGAGGCTGAGATAAGGATGATGCTCCTACCGGTACAGGTGCCTCCCCGTCGTGAAACTGCCCATCACGGATGTGCACACCAATTGGCAGATGTGTGCTATCCACACTGCTCTTCTTGCGGTGGATTTGCCCTTGAGTCTGTTTCGCGGCGAGCCAGTTCCTTGCAGCCCCGGCGGCGGCATTGAAAGACTGATTGAGGGTCTGCTTTTTTGCTGTGGACGTTTGGGCACTGTGCGCTGCCGCAAAGGCAGCAGCGATCTGCTCCGGGGTCAAATCTTCCTTGGACTTCGATCGAGAGTGATCTGTTTCTGTTGGTAGATTCGGTGCCGAGTGCGAAGATTTCGACCAAAGTGTGGGTGTAGATTCGTCTTCTGCGCTTCTGTCCGGAGATATGGATGCAAAGTCAGAAGCATTAGATCGCAGTGGCGAATTCAGCGGTATGATGTGCGGTGTTGACTTCAAACTTGGCTCAAGCGTCTCCGTAGATGCGTTCTTGGACCCTAACTTAACAGAAGGCGTGGAACGCAACGAGCGTGCCTTCACCGGAAGTGACCTCAAGTCGGTGCCGGAAGTCACGCCCAGCCCGACCTCTTCCAGGTCCACGCTCGAAGGCACGGACAAGTGAGAATGTATAGACCCAGTGTCGAGCTTCTCAGTCTCGACAGATGCAGTGTCCAGGCCGGCGAACTCATCAACTTTCACATCGAGCTCGACTTCATCCTTCGCTATGCCCTCCCAGATGCCTCCCCTGATAGTCTGCGCAACGGTGTCCATGAAAGGCATGTCATCCCAGTTCGGTGACACCAATGTCTCGTTCAACACTTCCTTGATGCGACTCTCTATTGCCCTGAGGATGGGCCCATATGTGATCTGCCGTGAGCTGACGACAGGTTCGACCGACAACTCAAGGCGTGGCGGAGTCTCAAACGTCATCCACAGGCGATTACTTGGGGGTGGCTTGATGCGTAGAAGCAAGTGGCCTTCCAGCCGCTTCAGAAAACAGCCGAGTACTAGTGTGACCTCACGAGCCTTGAATCTCTGCCCCAAATCGATTCTCGCAGTGGCTTCAATCTCTATACGAAAATTGCCCTTGTAGCTCACGTCGGCCTCGACAATAAGATCGCCGTCGACAGTAAGCTCTTTCAATCTCGGATTCGTGATGAAAGGCGGCAAGGTTCCCATATCGATCTTGCGTAGCTGCACGCTGCTGATCAGAGCGGGCTTTGGTACGCGGGCGATCTTCTTCGTGACTTTCGTCGCTATGAAATTTTTGATCTCGGGTGTCTTGTAAAGCGCAAGGAAGACTCGACCTATGAGCGCATTGATCCAACGTGTATGCAGGTTTTCTTCGTTTGCGTGCAACTGCTGGACAAGCTTGACGAGGTCTGGTGTTTCGAATTTGATAGGAACCGGACATTGCCGGTTGGCATGGTCCTGGTGATGGTCCTTGGCTTGAAGCATGGCATGGTAGAAGTCTTCTTTCTCAGAACAATTGTCAGAGAACAGGTAGAACGACTTCGCTTCGGCCTCTGGATCGCTCTCGAGTTTCTGGTCCAACCGAATGCCTGGAACTGTAAGCTTAAAGATACTCATATTCTCGACAAGGGCCACAAACAGTTGCGTTTAATCCAGAGCTCCCCTTCTGGTATACGCTCACCGCCAGCGTAGACGTCGACTTCGTAGCGCGCGAGCGATATTACATGGCGCACATCGAGCTGGTCCTCGTTGTCGTAGAGCATCAGGTGGCCGAGTCTAGTCCGTTGTTACCTCTCCTGCCAGGTATGTCATGCCGTGGGGCGCCTTACCTCAGGACAACGTAGAAGACATTACGGGCCTTCTTTGTCTTCGTATTCGGAGCATCCAATGACGGACTCATCGTCTTGTTTCTGTTGAAGATGTTGCTGTACATCGACTGGTAGATGCTTGGGCTCTCCATGGCGACTATAGCACCGGCTGGGGTCGTGCGCTCTGGCGGCTTGCCATTCACACCACCGGGTACGTACTCGCGGCAGACCGCGAAATAGCCAGCAAATACATCTGCCTCGTGGGTCCTGCGCTTCAGTCCCTCCAGGATCTGCTCGTCCAAACCCACTCCCAGACTCTTGAGGTATTCATCCCTGCCCTCTTTGGTCGATCCGTTCGACCTCCTGCGCTTTGTCTGATCTACGAGGTGGTTCGGAGGCTCTTCGAGAGGCTTCGCATCGGTGTGTGTTGTAGCCCAGTACCATGCGAAGGCAGCAACGGCCGGCAGCAAGGTCAATCCTCCAATGAGGTATCCCCACAAGAACGTCCGCAACAGTGTCCCATAACCCCAGGATTCGGTCACACTCATCTTGCCAGCTATCTCACTAGTCTTGTTCGCTAACCATTGACATCGGCCGTTTGTCGCGGCTACGGTCGTATATCGCGACTTCGTCAAGTCTGCTGAGGGTGATCGAGGTGGTAACTTATAGCTCGGTCACGCAACGGGCCTTGTGCGGTGCGAATACGATCGTTGCGCGCGATGCTAGCTGAGCACGGGGGTCTGACAGGCATTGGATGGCTCAAGCACGGGTTTTGAGAGACATGTAAGCTAGGGTACAGAGTACAACCGGAAACAACGTGGTGTCTAGAAGTGTTGCGGATGTGGAACGAGAGCAGGCGCGTTGCAGCTGCGGGGCGGATCGGAGGTACCACGTGTGGAGACACTAGCGCGGATCCACTGTTGAAGCTTGATCTGATTCCCGTGGCTTGTGACGATCGCCATGGCGATGCAGTGAAATACGTGTCTAGAAGACGAAGATACGCGCATACTTGCGATCCATCTCTGCGTACTCATCGCGCAGCATCTTACTTCTTAGCTTGTTCAGCCTCATCACCACACCTTCCTCCTCACCCTCCAAGCTTTCGACATCCTCCTCCAGCTTCTGTGTGCCACGGATCTTCCAAATTATTCTTGTCAGAAGGCCCCCGTTGACGGCAGCATCCCGCTTCTCCCGAGCATCTGCTGCAAGATATGTCATGATCTTGCCCCAAGCTTCAAGACCGACTTCTTCGCACTGTTCGCACTTCTTACGTAGCTCATCATTGCTGCTGATCGGATCCAGGCTTTGCGCAATTTTCGAAGTAGATACACCGTCACGGATCCAGGACAGCCCTTGCTGACGCTGCTCTGAAGAGCGAGCAGTAGCAAAGAGGATCTCGCCGATGTAGTTCTTCAGGGCGGCCTCCTCGCAACGATCCTTCTCGCTGCGCATGAGTGGCTCATCTCCGGATGGCGGCACTGCCGGGTAAGCTGGCTCTTTCAGCAAACTCAGTATCGTGCCCATCAAACTCGAGTCCTTTGCATTGTTGTTTGGCGCGACTGGCGCTTCTTTGGCAGAGAGACGAGCGCGGAGAAGCGAAACGAGAATAGGCAATGAAGCGCCCACCTTCCCTTGCGCTGCGAAGAACGTAGCCAAATTCGTGGCCGCGTACACGATATTGGGAGTGACAAATTCTTTCGGCGCAGTCGCAGACAGCACGGCAGTCTGACGGTCAATGACTGTTGAAGGATCGGCGGTCGGCAAACCTGACATGGCGATGTCGAGCGCCCAGCGATACATCTCCTCGGCGGAGTCAGGCAGCTTCTTGAAACTCAGCCAGTCGGCATAGCCAAGGGCAGCCGTAACACGTTGATTTGTGGTAAACCCCTTGGTTGTGATGATTTTCAAGTAGAAAGTCTCCGGTGGGTCGCTAGCGGACACACGGTTCTCCTCATCTGGTACTTCTGGCATACCCGGCAGCACGGCTTTGGGTCGTAGGTTGATCTTCGACTCGACAAACTCGGGCGCCCAAACATTCCTTCTCCACTTGTCTGTGACCCATCCTTCCAGACGTTCTGCTGCTGCAGCCATGCCTATCAGTACTTCGTAATACCCTTGCCTCCATTCCTCGCTCTTGGCAGTTATGTCGAATCCTGCCTTACCAACACCAGGGACCAGGATTCCTCCCTCTTCCTGTTCGGCGAGGCCGGCTCCATCTATGTCTGGATCCTCCAATCGACCGAGCGCAAGGTCAAGCTCATCGTAGACGCGCGCCCAGTTGGGGAAACCCTCTTCTTCGTTGTTCTCGTCCACCTGCCACCATCTTCCTCTTCTGAAGCGAAACCTTGTCATCAAGCTCCATTCATGCGGCGACGGGAACGCGCGCTCCTGCTGCTCACTCAGGATGCCCATACCGGCGATGCTGAGGCATGACGAGACGAGAAATATGAGGATCGAGTATCGAACGCTGAGTTTCGCAGTTTCTTTGATGAACTTCTTGTGGTTGGCGCTTATCGAGAACAGTCGTGCGACTTGGCCGCTGGATAGGTGCTGGCCTGAAGGATAGAGGAATGGCAGCTGAGGCCGTGACGAGCCTGGATGAGCTATGAGGAACTGGCGAGGGTGCTTGTACGAGAATTGACGAGGACATGTGGCTTCGGCCGGGCGTATAGTAGACGACCGCAATGCCTGCCGTGGCAGCTGTACTCGACGCACTGGAGGTGGCATTGCTGCGTCGCTGCAGCGAGAGCGGAAAGCCTTGCGGAGAAAGTGAGCTCGGAGGTGCCAGAACGCGCCGCTACCGCCGTCCTATAGAAGCTAGCGCGAGTGGCAGAATCTCGAAAAAGTTGGAATCCCGCGACCATGTTCGCGCCTCGCTCTCCACGTTCAGTACAACGCCATTGTTCCGCATCCAACATGTCTAAATCGGAGCTCAAGGAAGAGAAGAAGAGTCGTAAGAGGCAGGCTGAGGAGAACGCTGAGGCGCCCGTCAAGTCGAAGAAATCGAAGAAGTCAAAAGACACAGATGCCACCGTTTTGCCCGTAGACGAGGTCAAGAAAGAAAAGAAAGAGAAAAAGTCAAAAGACAAAAAGTCCAAGAAGTCTAAGGACGTCACAGAGGAGACTGCAAAGGAAGCCGCTGCAGACGCAGCACCTGCTAAGGAGAAGTCTGAGAAGAAGTCGAAAAAGTCGAAGATGTCCAAAACCTCCGAAGAGAGCGCCGAACCTACCAAGACCGACGATGATGTCGCCATGACCGATGCGACTGCTGGCGCCGACGAGACAGCCTCGAAAGACGAAAAGAACAAGTCTAAGAAGGAAAAGAAAGAGAAAAGGTCCAAGAAACCCAAGACAGAGTCTCAGAGCGCACCCACAGAGGAGCTTGCTACCACAAATGATGCATCTGAGGACGTCGCCATGGCGGATAGGGCTGAAGTAGGTGTGAAGGGCGAGAAGAAATCGAAGAAGGAAAAGAAAGACAAGTCTGAAAAGAAAGATAAGAAGGAGAAGAAGGACAAGAAAGACAAGAAGTCTAAGAAGACAGAGGAGTCTGAGGTCAACATCGAAGTATCTGCAGTAGAAACGCCCGCTGCTGAGAGCAACGGCGGCGTCGAGACAGAAGATGCTGAGGCTGGTGCTGAAGGCGAGATTGGAGAGGGTACCGGCAAGAAGGGCCGTTTTATCGTTTTCGTTGGTGTGTGAAGTGTATTCATTTGATGCCAACCTCAGGCTAATTGTCCCAGGCAACCTTCCTTACACCGCCACGAAGGAGCAGATCGAGGAGCACTTTGCCAAGATTAAGCCGATTGAGATCCGTCTGCGCACATACAAGGGCACCAACAAGTTCATGGGCACATGCTTCGTCGAGTTTGACCGCTATGACCGCATGGAGCAATGCTTAAAGAACTACCACCTTTCTGTCTTCCCTGACGGCAAGAAGAAAGAGGGTCGTAAGATTAACGTCGAGTTGAGGTGAGGCAAATCTGAGGAAGTCAGGCCTTCTATATGCTAACAGAGTTCAGTGCTGGCGGTGGCGGCAATAGCGAGGCGCGGCGTGAAAAGATCGCGACCAAGAACACCAAGCTTCACGATGAGCGCGCGAATGACCGCCTGAAGCGTGTCGAGCTCGAGACAAAGCAGGCTGAGCGTGCAGCCAAGAAGGGCAAGGGCAAGAAGGATGCTGAGCGTGAAGAGGAGGAGGCCGCTGCTGAGACTGACAACAACGGCATTCATCCTGCTCGTCTCGCAATGATGGCTGGAAATGACGGATCGTCACGTCCTTCGTATCCTACCCACAGACAGCGATACTAGATCCTTCGCAAGTCCGCATGGGGGATGAATTACTCAAGCCGCGCAGGAAGTGTACGGACCCCAGGATACGGCCTTTGCATTGAATGCATTTCTGGATAGAATGGGTGCGTCTTGTTAGGTTGTGTCAGTATCACGGCCTTTGGATACCATACTACAGTACTAGACTTCAGCCAACGCTGCTATGCATCACAGTGTTGCAACTTTCCGGGCTGCGAGACCTCTTCACCATGCTGACCAATGAGATTTGCTGGGAGTGAGCCCCACCCGTTTAGTCACCATCACATCTTCAACGCCCTGCAGACACGCCCTCCCAATGACAGAAATCCAGCAAAATAAATTGCAAGTGGGATAAAGGCGTACGTACAATGATCTCTTTACCTTGGCTATCGCTGCCTTGCACGACAATCGCCATGGTCTACCAGTACCATGCCTCTGGGGCGTGGGTGCGTTCCATCTGACAGGGCTGAGCGCTCCATGTGCGACCTCTAATGCATTGTCACGGATTTTGCAAGTCCACTAGAAGTTTATAGTATCGGATTGATATCGCCCATCAGATTAGTACTGACGAAGACAAGATCATCTTGCACCACCTGCTCAAATCATCCCAAGGACAATCGCCTAATACCCGACCTACAAACAACATGTCATCCGACCCGTCAGTAACAGAAGGCTCGGCCTTCACCCCCGACATCCCCTCAGAAGCCGTGGTGAAAGCCACAGACGACATCTACATCGAGCTCACCCCGCACGACCTGGACTCCCGGGCCCTCACAACCTTCGTACGGTCCCCCAGCGCCGGCGCAACTGTGCTCTTCATCGGCACAACGCGCGACTCATTCAATAATCTGCCCGTCTCCAGTCTAGCATACACATCCTACACGCCCCTGGCTAAGAATACCTTGTTCAATATCGCAACCACGATCCTTGACAAGCACAAATGCGCCAAGATCGCCATCAGTCACAAGCTAGGCGAGTGTCCGATTGGCGAGGAGAGCATCGTGATTGCGGTGAGCGCGCCGCACAGGAAGGCGGCGTGGTTGGCGGGCGAGGAGGCGCTGGAGATGACTAAGGATACGGCTGAGATATGGAAGTTGGAGAGGTTTGAGGGCGGGGAAGGCGTTTGGAGAGCGAATCGGGACGGGGCTCGGGGGGCCAAAGTGCCGAAAGAAGAAGAAAAGGAGTTGCCGAAGGTGTAGGTCTGGATCTGGGGTACGTCGCGCTAGAGCCGTACCATGGGGATCGTGAATTAAGGAAGTGGCACAGGGCTAGAGCGGGGTCTGTTGGCCAGGTCAATGGTGTATCACATGATGTTGTGCCAAAGGAGACAAGGGCGGCAGGGCTGACGGGATAGAAAACTCTAGATTTAGCAATGTCGCGTACGTCGCATCGCAGCCTTGGCTAGTAGGAACGTTATTCTCATTGTGAAGGCCGAGATTGCTTGAAAGTCAACGCCTCGAAAGCTATGTTATGCTGGTTTGCTGAAGGCTGGCTGAGCCTGATATTGCGACGGAGAAATGGCATCGATCCGCGAGCGGGAAAGTAGATTAGTGACAGTTTGTAGATGACGACAAAGAGCTGAAGCGCCAGAGCACTAGAGCGCGTGCATGCACGTCGATCGGCGAAGGCAAGTAAGCAGATCGCTGCATGCTAACATGCACTCGTGTTGGCTCAATCAGGATGCAACGTGACGTGGTTGGACCTAAGAATATCGATGTAGAAACAATTCGCAAACAGATTTAAGACACCGTAGCGAAGGATGCTAATGCGCCTCGACGGCTCCTCAGCCGGTGCAACATCATAGGCCAATGACTACGTTACGACCGTTTGAAATACGGAAGATGGACACTACGTTCAGCAAAAAGGCAGGCCCTTCAGCGATGGTCCTTGGACAAGATGTTCGGCAACCCTCAGGTGGTACATGAATGGAGTATGAGCTTGAAGACTCATTGACGGATGCATACAAGCACGTTCAGTGATGCGAGTCATCCTGAAAATAACAAGCACCGGTCGTAGCACAAGGTTCCAACGCCGTGTTGCTGGTACCTACTCGTTGTCCGGAAGTTCGAGACCTCCGCTGGCCTGAGAGTGGTGGCCTGATAGGGCTGGGGATGTCGGCCTCCCTTACCCAGCCTATCGGGTGACGCGCATGTGAGCGAGTGATCGAAGCCTACTACACTCGGTGCAAAGTCTGACTTTATGCTTTCGCCGAGAATCCATAAGTCGATGTCCTGGCTCCGCAGCAGGTGATGTTGTTGCCTTGCTCAGGATCCCTTTCATGGACGAAACTGACAGTTGCAAGTCTACTGTCTCACAGTCTTCGGGAAAGTGCTGGCGCATGCAGAAGTCTCCGTCAAGCGAGTCGCTCGCGCTGCAAAAGTCGACCTTCCATGAACAGGATCAAGTTTGCGTGGTCTCGTTCGCTTGGCACATGACATGCCAAGACGTTGCGCTTAATTTGGTATGCTTAGATGCAGCGATCGCGTCTCGTCGGAGACTGGCACTGGCGCGAGGCGCTTTTCCGCAGTCGATCGGCATGCTCACTAGTGCAGCTGAGCTGACTTATACACTATTCTTACACTCTTAGTCTTACACTACACCTGTAGTCACCGAGGCTTTGTATCGTGGCCGTCTCCATCCTCCTCCACTATCCTTGTCTCCCCCGCTCTGAGCAGGGTTTCTCCAAGGCCGTTCGGCGCGTCGTCCGCTGATCGGTATATCGAGTCGTAGTTCAGCCGCCCTCGCAGGATAGACCGAGCCTCTTTTAGGTTCGCGATGTCCAAGGTCCACATGGTGCCACCTACAAGCATGAGTCCTACACTGAAGCAATTCATTGTAGCCAGATTGAGTGCTTGCAGCGCATCAGACATAGGACTGAAAAATTCATGGGGGTTCGTATTTGGCGCGTAGAACGATGGCTTGGTTCGAAGCTGCCGCCTCCAGACGGCCTTTCGTGTGATGGCTGTTGTTGCGAGAATACATGCAGAGCCAAGCCAGAAGACTGACAATTGACGCAACGATCGTGTTGATGTGACAGGCGTGCGTTCGAAAGCGGCCTCCGGTGGTGACTGCAGCGGCGGACTGTCTTGCGCTGGGCTGCTCTGCGAGCTGTTCTGAGGCGCCGAGTTGTTGACCGGCGGAGGCGAGGACCTAGTCATCATGCGAATGATTGGGAGCTTATGTGTAGCTTCCATGAGCCGACGTAGTGGTTATGCAGGTAATCCGGGGTAGTATGGACGGGAAAGCTGCAGAATCAGCTTCTCCTGCTGTACCGCATGCGGACCCCCGAGATGATATTTAACGATGATCAGGCTGCTGTACCGATCAACAGATGTCGCAGTAGTAATTTCAAGATGTGATGAGTGGTGTAATAATTGTATACACACGATAAATGGTGGGTTTGCAGGGCAATGGCGTGTTGTGATGGGTTGTCATTTGCGTTCACGAAAAAGTTGGTGCAACGGAGACTCAGCCGGAGAAACCCCGATGCTGGTACTGGTAGTACACCTCGAATAACATCGCCAAGGTATTCGATGCACTACAGCTCACGCATCATGGCTCGCGACCCTGCTCCAATAGGGTGGGTCCCTTTGACTGGACTTTCGGCGTTCTGCCCAGACGACTGCGGTGTAACTACATCAAGACCACGCATGAACTGCTACCCTAACAAATAGCTGAAGCTGGCAACTGCACACAAGCAACATGCACGACCCTCACCTCGGGCCCTACAAATTACCATTCCTGGGATATATTCGAATGAATCACCTGAGGTATCCTCCTTATGTAACTAATTTTTCTTTGTCTTCAGACTCTCTACCTGCAGAGCAACCGTGGGCTGCATCTGCCAATCTTGAAAATATGCAATGAGGTCCAGAGCTGAGCTTCACGTCTGCCAAGGTATGGTTGACATGATAGCGGCAGCTTCAAGACTACTGTCAGCTCCCAATAGTGTACGCCAATGAATCCCTGATCAGGTCAAGAATATACCAAGAGCGCAAGGTGTGCTCGCTCGTGCGTGGGCGACTCCAGCCCTGTTCACCGTTAAGGGTAGCACCACTCCCAATCTGGGTATGTTTCTCATGCCAATCGGAATAAGTAATGACTTCTTGTTGCCTCCAAGGTCACCAATGGAATTTCGTCTGACCAACACCACACACCTACAGACGCGGGACAGTGAGAATACTATTGCCAAGTCCCGTATAAGCGACTTCTGACCACGTACATGTAATCATGCGCTACAATGTCCGATAAGCAGGAATCAGACTATTGAATTTGGCTGATAGTTGAGCGAGGCGTTGAGGATGTGCGCACTCGAGCATCACGGAGCGTGCGAGTTGAGACGACTCAGACGAGGCCTGAGAGCGCGTGACGCAGGTGGGAATGTATAAAGCCAGCAGTATTTCCTCTGGAAGAGTATTATCAGCAGAAGCAGACTTACAGCAACAGCACTGCTCTTATTGCAATTCATTCGCTCCGTTGTCCTCCTACGACAACTATCAAAATGCTCGTCCAATCTACCATCATCGCTCTTCTGGCTTCGGCCGCCCTCGTTGCAGGTGCAGCCTTCCCAGGCGATCATGACAAGTACAAGACCACTTGCAAGGCAGAGTACAAGACAAAGACCAGGGTAGATCATTACAAGAGCACATACTACGAGACCAAGACGAAGAACGAGCCCTACGTGACCTACACCACCAAGACATACGTCACCAAAACTGATGTACCGTATACCACCACCAAATACGAGACAAACGTAGGTACCACTAGTCAACTCTCAAGATGCCAAACTCACAGCCACAGACCAAATACATCACCAAAACCGAATACGAGACGAAGAAAGTTCCCGTCACCATCGTCACCCATACCTTCAGCACGGAGAAGAAGTACAAGACCGACAAGTCCACCTACGTCGAGAGCAAGACGTGAGTCGTGCCCAGCACATACTCACACGTGAGTGCATACTGACCAGACTCTCAGCTCGAAGGGTTACAGCCACAAACCCATCACAAAGACCGAGACTCGCCCCTACACCACCACCAAGACCTACTATGAGACCAAGACGAGGGAGACCAAGGTGCCCACCACGAAGTACGAGACGAAGACAGAGCAGAAGTGCACAACTATTAAGTGCGACTCCAAGTACGGCTGCGGGTACTGAGCGGTTCCTCAATTGGTGCCATACGTCCTACTTTGTTATGTTGTCCTGCAGCGGCACGTAGCATCACGATGGGTGGGCTCGGATCTTCGTCTAACTCGAATCACTCCTTATGACTTGACGAGATTATGATAGCGATGAAGTCTGGATAGCCACTCCTTGGTAATAAAACCTGTTATGCTGATCCACTTGTGTTAAGTTCAATACATACCTGTTAGTCTCCTCTGAACGTGTCTCCCGCTGCATTCGATACCGTGGATTTTCTACATGGCGCTCTTGAGGAGGTCCACACTCGTACCCAAGTGACTCTCGATCTAGAAGATCGGCGACGTTGATTGCTGAGACCACATCCTATGTGGTTGCTCGCTTCCGCTTCGGTCTTACACCTGCGAAATCGCCGTCATAGAAAGCGTGTAGTTCGAGCCGGAGACCTTTTCCCACGAGCGACCGCCTGAGCCTCCTCCACAGTTGCAGGCCTCTGACTCCTTCTTGGCATACCTTGAGCCAGTTGCTCCCAGTCCTGGAACTCTGTTCGCGCGTCTTCTATATCAAAGAAAGATCTGAGTACCTGGATCCTGTGCTGTGCATAGAGGCGGACATTCTTGTTTCCGCCAGTCAGGCCTCAGAAGTGGGGCGATGTTGTTGTGGGTATTTTCGCCCATGCGAGGATACCTTGGAGCAACCCAGGTCAGCCCACCTAGTGACCAAATAATCGTATATCGAACAATTTTGCATGCGAACATCACTGCGACTTCTCTTGGCGACACCGTCACCCACATTTACGTTGCGCTGTATTTGCAGTTTTCAACAATGTTGCTCGAACGACTGGTTCTTACCGAAATACCACCTGATTCCTGCACTCGCTATGCAACACAAGCCTTCAAGCCATTGTAAATTTGGGTATCGTTATGGAATGCACGTTGTTCTTCTTCCCATGCGTTTTAGTCCTTCAGCCCATCTTGACGTTCGAGAAGTCCATCTCAGGATGCTGCACCTTGAACTGCTCCAGGATGTCCAGCTTCTTCTGCTCGTCACTGGTGGGCTTACCCATCTCCTTCTGGCGCTGATCGAACATCATCTTCTCGACCATGCCGCGTGTCTCGCCGTCCAGGTCGCCCAGCTTGCTGTTCTCGGGCTGGATCTTACTGGTATCGATCTTCGGAGCCGAAGTAAGCACGTGCGCCCACCATTCCATCTGGTTGACCTTGTCGAGGTGGATCTCAATGTCCTTCCCTGTGGCCGTGGTGCTCAGAGTCCAGGTGGAGTCGTCGACACGGATGGGGTGGGGGAGCTCGCCCTGGCAAGCATTAGAAGAAGCCCATGCAGGAATTGGAGAGACTGTACGTCGATGACGGGCGACTGGCCCTTGATGCCGACCCTGAGCGTGTTCCTGGTGATCTTGACGTCCAGATCCTTGCCCTTAAATTTTGACTCGATGGGGACGGTAATGTCGAGGTCCTTGATCGTCTGGTCCCACTTGTAGGGCAGAGCCGCCTGTTCGGCCTGCTCCTTGGCCTTGGCCTCGGCATCGAGCTTCTTCTGCTCCTCGGGCGACGGTTCGCTAGACATTTTGTATGGGTTGGCGTGGTGTTTGCAGGCGTTTGCAGGTGTTTGGCGGGGAGTGTTTGACAGTCGATCCCCTGCAAACATTCGTCATCGCCTAGCTGGCAGCTCCGCCAGTGGGTCCATCCTCGTTATACGTACAAGGCTACAAGCACCCCGGCCCGCTAACCACGTATCTGTGCTGCCGCAGCCCGAACGCCGCATCCCCTCGCCCATCGATAGACGCGACCTCAGTATTCTTTTACCTGGCCGCGCCGGTATGCTGCGATAGACACAGCGGAGCACCGCCGCACCCTTCACGACCGCCCGCGACCCAGCAAACCTCGACGACTGCTGCGACCCCCCGGTAATCCCGGCTGTACCGTCGCCCGAGGCCCAATGGCAAGCTCCTTCGAGAAGAGCGTGAAGGGCGGGACGAAGATAAAGGTACGCTCCAGTGCTATAAAAGCTGGCGCAGCGCATCCGGCCCAGCTGGTCATTGCAACATGCTAACGCGTACACACAGCTTGCAGCCCCAAAATCAAAGTATGTCGAGCATATCCTCGTCGCGACCCATGCAGGCGAAGCAGGCGTCGCCGAGATCTTTCGCGCCCTTACCAATCGGTTGCGCGACTCGACCTGGACAATCGTATTCAAGAGTCTGATCATCGTACACCTCATGATACGGGAAGGCGAGCCTGAGGTCACACTGAAATACCTGGCACAAAACCCAACGAGAAAGCTCGCTATCAATTCGTTTACAGAGGGTATGTCTTTCTGATTGGAGGACTGGACCACGGCGGTTTACTCTATGTCGAAATGCGATCCAGGCTAAGCGCAGGGCAACGGGCTGCTTGGTGATACTGTGCTGACGTATGTGTAACAGTGCAGACTCAGGGCCATAACATCAGGACCTATACGGAATATCTGCTTCGTCGCGCTATCGAGTACGGCGCAACAAAGGTCGACTACGTGCGCGGCGGCGAAGGTCGCCTCAAGCGATTGACAGTTGACAAGGGCCTGCTTCGAGAGGCAGAGAGCGTTCAAGAGCAGATCAGATATTTGCTCAAGTGCCAGGTACCGTTGATTGTGATTGTATGAGGGCTCGGTTCTGACATATGGTAGCCATTTGATGACGAGCCAGAGAATGAGATCACACTGACTGCATTCCGGCTACTTACCATGGACCTGCTCGTCTTGTTCCACGTCATGAACGAGGGTACCATCAATGTTCTTGGTAAGACATATACTCGCTCAGCAGCTCTACTGCCATGCTGATGGAGCAGAACACTATTTCGAGATGTCGAAACCCGATGCAACACGCGCCTTGGCTATCTATCGAACGTTTGCGAGACAGACCGAAGCTGTCGTGCAATATCTCAGCTTAGCTCGCTCACACGAACACTCGACCAGATTAGAGATCCCCAAAATCAAACACGCTCCAACCAGTCTAGCGGCATCATTGGAGGAGTATCTGAACGACAAAGACTTCGAGATAAATCGTCGACAGTACATTGCAGAGAAGGAGGCCAAGAAGAATGGAGGAAAGCCGACGAATGGCGCGAGCAACGGAGCTAGCAAAGCGCCTGAGCCACGACCTACAACATCAAGCCAGCCTGCTAGCCACCCTAGTGCTCAGCCACAAGCAGCACCAAAGGTCAACGCCAATGCGCCTCTCATTGACTTGTTCGCTTCCCTGGAAGACAACCAGCAGATAATGACAACGCAAGCCCCCATGCAACAGCAATACCATCAGCAAACAGGATTCGATCAAGGCTTTCAACAGCAAGACTTTCAGCAACCAGCTTTCCAGATGCCTCAACAGACCGCGAACGGCATGGCTTTTGCTCAACAGCAGCCGTTTATGCAACAGAGTGCGCAAGGTACAAACCCGTTCCAGATGCAACAACAGCAGCAGCCGCAACAACAACAATTGCAGCTACAGTTTACAGGCGCAGGATTCGGTGGCTACACACCGCAACCCTTCAGCCCCCAGAATAGCCTTGCGCCAATACCTCAGAATGGCGTGCCAGATTTCTCCCAGCAACAGCAAATGCAGCTCCCTACCATTACGGAACCGATGCAGCAGCAGCAAACATCTACCAATCCTTTCCGCCAATCGATGTTGCCCAGCATGACAGGTGCACCGGAGCCAAATCTGCTCAGCAATCCGACTGGCGCGAGCTCACTCGGCCGCTCTGCGACAAACCCCTTCGCGAAGCAGACCACAGGCTTTCAGCAGCAATCGCCACCGCCGATGGGCTCATCACCGTTCGCATCTCAACCCTTTCTCTCCTCGCCGTTTGCGTCGCAACAACAAGCACAACCACTCCAGCCAACACCTACAGGCACGAATCCGTTTGCAAGAAACGCATCACCACAGAATGCCACCTCACCGCCAGGTGGTCTGACTGTACATGCGACTGGAAGTACAAATCCGTTTAGGCAAAGTGCATTTGTCAACCAGCAGACCGGGCAAGGCTGGCAAAATACTGGTGGTGGTACAATTGGCGGCATGAGCATGGATCAGGTACCCACACAGAGTGTCTTCCCACGACCAGGGCAACAAAACCAGCAGAACTTCTTGGGATAGACACCGGCGAAGGTCTGGTGGTGGTGTGAGAGTGACATAGTGTTCCTGCACAGAGGAAGTAATGCGGTCATGTGATCGAAATCACTCTGACTTTGGGTATGCCATGCTAAGGCAGGTATGGCGTTGGGATTTATCACGTTGCTTAATTGCCTGCTTTTGTTACTGGAAGATACACCCACGTGAAGCTGCGACAGCGCGCGGCGCAACAATTAAGAGGGAGATGCAAAGAACACTCGTGAGCAGACGAGCCAAAGGTACAGGGAGGGCTCCTTCGTAAGCTTAGTTGATTATGCATCCAACGGTCGTTAGAAGATCTGGGCGATGAACCGAATCATTGATACCACAGCACTCTGTGCACTTGACGAAACTCAGAGGAAGAGGCACAAACGACAAACAATGCGGCTCTGCGCGATCTCGGGCGACAACGACGGGCCAGCGAGAGGCCACCACCAAGACTGTCAGACATCACCTGCGTACGCGTTCCCCGCGCCAAACGACCGTTCCCGACACCAAATTTCGTACCTGGCACCCTCGTTGTCAGACGGCCCCCAACCCTCTCAAAATCACTGCCATTGGTGGCGACAAGTCACGCACCCACGAAACCTATCTTCAGCTCACCGACCACGTTTCCCAACCAGACGTCATTGGAATCTGATCGAAGTGATCGGTCAGGCAACCAACGTGTTCGCATGTGCGGTGAAGATGTCCATGTGCACCGACCGAGAAGCCTAGCGCCCGCCAATCACAGCGCGGCAAGACAGCTCTGCCACGAACACAGCCACTTGCGGTGCAAAGGCGCAGCTTAGATGTGGGTGTAGGGATGATGCGTGAACGCATGGCTAGGCAAGTGAGACATGGTGGACTATGGATTTACAAGGTGAATGAATGACTCTGGGTATTTGCTTGGACTTTGTCCTCCATCATTGCAGAGAGTATAAATCACTTCATCGTCCACCCTCGGACACTGCACTGCTCTACAACCATCTCATCCTCTCTACAAACGCGCTTGAATACATCCAACGTTGCTAAGCACTTGAATACATCCAACGCTACCAAGCACTTGCTCACTCACAAGCCTGCCATGCCATCCTTCGCATACCACCACACCCGCTCCCGCTCCCGCAGCCGCGAGCGCACCCTACCTCCCCTCCCGCGGCGCACATCCTTCAAGCGCCAACGTCTCTTCCCCTCCGACTCCGACGAGGAGTACGACGACTACCCCTACTCGGGCGCACACCGCCCCTCGCGTGCCCTCGTCACGCGCAGCACGCCCTCCCAGCTCGAGCGCTGGAACATATGGTCCTCGCCCCATCGCGAGCAGCGGTGCGACTCTGGCGCCGAAGAAACGAGCCACGAGCGAAGACGCAGACGCGCGTCCTTCGCGGATCGAGTGAACGAGGATGGGGAGCGGGAGATTCGCGTCCGGGTTGCGAGACTGAGGGAGAGGGAGACGAGGCTCAGCCCCCTGCCGGCGAGGTGTCGTGCCGAGTCTGACGATGAGAGGGTGAGGCCGAGTGTGTGGAGTGCTGAGCTTTTTAGGAGGGATAGGTGTGTTAGTGAAGATTATGAGGCGAGGGAGCGTGCGCGGTCGAGGTCTAGAGAGCGGAGGAGGGAGAAGTTTTGGGATGGTGATGATGAGGATGAGCTTGTCGATAGGGAGTTTGATGGGGAGAGGGTGGTCAGGTATAGGAGGATCAAGAGGACGAGGACGGACGAGTGGAGACCGCTGTCTGGTTGGCGGAGGTCGTGAGGGCAATTCCCTGAAGTGAATCCTGTCTGTTCCAGAGTATGACGTTGCGAATTCTGCTTTGTCCTTCAGAGCGAGCTGGATTAAATGGGCGGTATCTGATATTCCTGATGTCCTTACTCTTTCAAGAGTGGATGGCGTTACGGCTTTGAGGCGCACAATACCCAGAAGCAATCAAAGTATGTGGTAATAATAAGATTGAAGTTGTCGGTGGACTATTTGGCATCTGATTGTATGTGAAGTCAAACGTTGATGCATCGCCGTCACTGACAAGCAAGAAAGCTTTGAGTTGAAAGACATGTCAACTAAAGATGGCTTGTCGCATTTGCTTTACGTTCCAAATCTCGATAGAAGCGGAAGAGGAATGATTGGCATTGCGTTGAGATGTTGTTCTTTCGCTGTTCCGTTAAGAAGGAGAAGGTGGGTTGCCTTGCAGCTTCAAATGTATACAGCGATGATGATTCCTCATCTCGAGTGCCTGCGGTTGCGCACTTTCCAAGATTGGTGTTCTCCTCCACATCACTGTGCGTGGGATGGGTGAATGATTGCATTGTTATATTGGAGGTAATGTACATGGCCCATCCAACTCGTTCGATATCGATCGTGATCGCGTCGCGCAAAAGCGCAATGACACCGTCCAGTTTGGAAATCAGAGATGCTGTAAAGCGTCCGTTCTTGTAACAAGAAGGGTGTGCCGAACGCGGTTGTCATGCACCCCTCCACAACCACCAGCGGACCACTTGAGCCCGGTAAAGGGAGAGTTCGAAGGCGGGTGAGGAGGACTGCTCAAATTAAACACGCTGAGCTTTCATCATCTTCGCGTCGAGTTAGTCTGGGTGGTACGGAGAGTGGACGCAGGGTGGCTTACAGTAGTTAAACTGGAAGGATGGAGAAGAAACGAAGGTTTGGGAGGGCCGAAACTTTTGTGGCAGGCGCGCTTGGGCCAGGCCTTGGCAGTACCCGTTCACTTTTCCATCAGTCGAAGCATCATCACCAGTGGCATCGAATTCAGGCGATGAGCCTTTGATTAAATTGTTTTCAAGTATGAGTTTAGTGCACGCTTCACGGCATGCTGCAGGTCGCAGCACAGTCGTACGAAGCTCGTACGCTGAGATATCTCGATTCATTCGAACACGCCATCACGGGATCACGTTCGATCGCACACCATTGTGTTCGAGAAACACAACACGATCGATTACGAGTCTGCAGTCCAGTGCTTCCGAATCGTCGCCAGAGCAGAAGTTTCGCAAGACGTTAGACGAATACAAAGAATCAAGTATGCTTGTCATCAGTTTTCTCTATCAACTGCTCATACCTCGCAGCGCAGATTACCTCCTGGAAGCACCTTGATGATGACTGGATTGAATTGCGAGCTGCAAATCTGGTGCACAACAGAGCGGGCCGGGATGTAGAACTGTGTGGCTACCTTAGCACCAGACGTGATGTGAACCAAAAGCTTTCCTTCGCCATGCTACGCAGCAAAAATCAAACGTGGTGCATCCAGATCGTCTCAACAGGTAACATTGAGGGCGAGGAGGCAAGAGCTCATGTCCGTCTTAGGACGTTGAGAGAATGGACACCCGTTGTGATTCGAGGCAAGCTTCTGGAAAGAAAGCAGGCTAAGAACGACACCTACCTGGGGGTGAAGATGATCACAGACCGGGAAATCTCACTCTCCAGCATCACTCCACTCAACGAGATGCCGAGCGATATCATCATCAAGCAGGACACGGTGTTTGGACCTGAGCAGCGGCACCTACAGCTGCGCACCGACCGCGAGCTGCGCAACAACATCATCAAGAGACAGAGGGCGATGAAGAGGGCGCGATTGGAGTTGGCGGATCAGGGTTGGAAAGAGGTCGAGACGCCAATCCTCTTCAAGTCAACCCCGGAAGGCGCACGAGAATTCCTCGTACCGACCCGAAACAAAGGTCTCGCGTATGCGCTGCCTCAAAGCCCGCAACAGTACAAGCAGATTCTCATGGCCTCTGGATTTACCAGGTACTTCCAGTTTGCGCGTTGCTTCCGTGACGAGGATTTGAGAGCCGACCGACAACCGGAATTCACACAGCTTGATATGGAGATGTCATTCGCCGCAGAGGAAGACATCATGGCTGAGATTGAGAGGCTTCTGAGAACTCTCTGGTTCAGAGTGCTGAAGCAGAAGATCCCGGAAAGGTTCCCACGGATGACCTACCAAGAGGCTATGGCTTCATATGGCTCAGACAAGCCTGATCTTCGGTACAACTCAAAGATTCACGACATCACCCAATATCTGCCTGCCGACTTGATCGGCAAGGTGACACCACTCCAGCAGCCTACAGTAGAAGCCTTCAAGATGTCAATCTCCTCCGACCCCAAGGTCACGCGAAAATTCATCTCCAGCTTCTTGGACAGCGCTGACGGCAAAGCGTTCCTCGACAATGCGGATGGCCAGCCGGGTGTCTTTGTTGGCGATCACGCAGCTCCCATGCAAGGCCTGGGACCTCTCGGCTATCAATACGTGATGGAAGGTCCTGAGGCACTCGCTATCGAACATGGCGACTTGCTGATCTTGCAGGCACGGCCGACGGCGCCATTTGCAGGCGGCTCGACAGCACTGGGCAATTTGCGCCTCGCTTTGCACAAAGCCGCTATTGCGCAGGGACTCGTGGACGCACCTGGCCAACACGAGTACAAGTTTGTTTGGATCCACGACTTCCCTCTCTTCTCGCCGGCCGTCGAGTCTGAGCCCGGTCAAGGCGGTACTGCCGGTCTAGCAGCGACGCACCATCCGTTCACGGCACCCAAAACAGCCGAAGACGTTGATTTGCTCCTCACTGCGCCGGAGAAAGCCACCGCTGCGCACTACGACATTGTGGTCAACGGGGTTGAGCTCGGCGGAGGAAGTCGCCGTGTGCACAACGCAGCAGTGCAGGAGTTCATCTTCAGCGACGTGTTGAAGATGAAACCAGAGCGCGTGGAGGACTTCAGACATTTGCTCGATGTTCTGCGCTCAGGATGCCCGCCGCACTGTGGCATCGCGTTGGGGTGGGACAGGCTCATGGCTATCATGTGCCACAAGGAGAGCGTGAGAGATGTCATTGCGTTCCCGAAGAGTGGCAGGGGCGAGGACCTAATGGTCAAGAGTCCCAACAAGCCGACTACGGAGCAGTGGGACACGTATGGTCTGCAGGCAAAGATCTAGACGGGCTGGCAGGGTGTATGACAAGGGCTGGTAGTGTTGTACGATATTTTGGCGATGCATGTCCGGCGTTGCTGGTCGTGTGCACAGTATCTTGTAATTGACTCGCGGCGGTGCATGTCCGGCGTTTGGTGGTATGAACAGTATCTTGTATTTGACTCGCGCTACAACCCACCGCCTCAGTCCCAGAACTTCAGCACGCCGTTCAGGTCGCCGGTGATGACCTTGGAGGTCTCGCGCGGATGCCACTGCACAGCCAGCACCGGGGCGTCGCTGGCCTGGATCTTGTGCCACATCTTGCACGACTTCCAGTCCCAGAAGCACACGTAGCCGCCGCTGTCGCCCGAGGAGACAAACTGGCCGTCCGGGCTGATGGCGACGTCTGGGGCGTAGCCAGCGACGTTGTGGCCGCGGTAGCTCTTCTTCCTGTTCTGGCGGAAGCGGTCGCTGGTCGAGTAGACGGTAATCTGGTTGTCGGACGACTGGAAGGCGGCGTATTTCCCGCTCGGGTGCGGGGCAGCGCGCACCATGGAGAACATGTACGGCTCCGCGATGAACTTGATGGGGACGGGGATGCCGTACTCCCAGGCGCGCAGAGATTTGTCGTCGGAGGTGGTGACGAAGCGGCGGTTCTCGTCGCAGAAGACGATGGTGTTGACGGGGCCCAGGTGGTGGTCGTATTCCTGGACCATTTCGCCGCTGCGCGTGTCGTACTGCAGGATCTTCTTGTCGCTCATGCCGGCGAGGAACTCGTGCGGCGTGGAAGGGTTGATGCGGACGACGTGCGGCGTCTTGCCGGTTGTGAATTTGTTGAGGCATTTGCCGGTCTCGGTGTCCCACAGCTTCATGTAGCGGTCGTAGCTCGCGGATATGAACTGCGTGCCAGACGGGTTGAAGTCGATGTCGTTGACGGACTTGGTGTGGCCGGAGTAGGTTCGGAGAAGCTCGCGCTGGTGGTATACGTCCCAGAGAGCAATCTTGGAGTCTGCAGAAGCAGAGAGCAGGAGATGGCCGCTGTCTGGGATGAAGCGCACCTGCGTGATGGACTTGGTGTGGTACTTGTACGTGTGCACGAGCTTCTTGGGGATGAAGTTCTTCGGCTCGTACTCTCCGGTGAGCTTGACATCGAGGTCGGTAGGCACGTGCATGTAGGTCCGCCCTTGGTAGTCGTACTGCTCGCTGCCCTTGAACTCGGTGGTCTCGGCCTCGGCCTCGGTGTCGTGGTAGTCGGTGCCTGCGAGCTTGTGCGGCGCGGCGTCTGGGTTCTCCTCAATGTCGTCTTCCTCGTATATGACCTCGACCTCCTCGTCGCTGCCGAACTCGTCGTCCGAAGCTGCGTCTGGCCGCTCTTCCTCGTACCGCGCCCATGGTCCCTTGTATGCGGATGCGCCCGTGACGACAGCAGAGTCGCCCTTGGCCTCTCTCTTCCTCTTCTTGGACGCTTGCCCTCCTTGTATTGCTCGGTGTGCCTGGCGGAATGTGTGGTCGCTGATGTACGTCTCGGCGGCGAAGCCAGTGGGCACGCGGCCGGCGCCTTTCCCTGGCGCAGACATGGCGCAGGCAGGCAGTCTTCAAGGGTGGCCTAGTCGGTGCAGGTGGGAAGGGAGTCTGGGGATTTGCGGGGATGACTCAGCAGTGCAGTCGACGACGATAGGTAGCTGATACCCAGACTTGAGAGGAGCAACAATGTGCTGGGAGCTTGGGGAATTTCGTGGCTGACTCAGCAATGCCGTCAGCGAGGATAGCCATGCGCCGGCCTTGTCGACGCACCGCATGCGCAAAGCTGCCAACACCCTCACGGCCTCGAACATGAGCGCCAGCGCGCTGCCCACGCCCGCTTCACTCGCTGTGCCGCGACCGACCCGTGCGCACACAATGAGCGCGCCCTGAGACTTTGAGCGCACAACGCCTGCCTGCCCAGCCGCCTATCCGACCGCAGCCCGCCGACCGCAGACTGCAAACCGCTCTTTCCCTCCGCGAGCCTGCCCACCACGGTTCCGAGACGGGAGAATCCTGCAGCCCCCTCGACAGCCGACATATCCATACCACCTCGCCCGCCCCCCCACCGCGACCCGCCCGCGTCACTCGCTCGTGCCCCGCACGCCTAACCACCATGCGCGGCAGCCCGCACCCGCCCCGGGCCACGGCCAACAGCGCCAGCAGCCCGGCCGAGCCGCCCCAGCGCAAGGTCTTCAACTGCATCGTCGACGACACGGCGCTGATCGCCGGCGTGAAGAAGAGCACCCGCGACGGCATCCGCAAGTGGATCGCCCAGGGCGCCATCTGTCTCTTTGTCCCGCTGCACACCCTCACTGCGCTCCACCGCCTGAAGACTGGAAATGACCGTGTCAGCGCAGACGCCCGTGAGGCCGTCAAGTGGCTGGACGACATCACATCGTCCTCGGCCGACGCCGCCGACCGCGTCGTCCTCGAAGGCGTCGACGAAGCATACACGACGTGGGAAGACGTCGCCCGGTTCATGCTGCCAGAGACGCTGCTCTCCATGGACGACAGCGACTCGGACGACGACGACTACCACGAAGACCTTGAGAGCTCCTTCAACGCCCTCGACATGTCTGACGGGACCTCGATGAGCTCCGCGCACAGCCTGGACGACGCTGCGCCCAAGACGCCAGACTCGCCTCGATCCATGATGACCAAGAGCAACGTCGCCGGCCAGGAAGCCGCCACAGACAAGGAGCACCTCAACGCCATTGCCTCGGACTCGCCAGCCCGCACCGCACGCAACATCTCAGAACCGTCCCGAGGCGCAAGCTCGCCCAAGCGCCCTGTGCCTGCCTACCTGAAGCCGCTGTTCAACCACGTTCTCTGGCGCATCAACAAGGAATCCAACCCAGACGCCGCCCTCGCCTCCTACATTCTCCTGACCAACGATCCCACCAAGCAGGCGATTGCCTCCAAGTTCGGCATTCGCGCCAAGCGCCTCGAGCAGCTGCGCGACACTGTCGCGCGCGAGGACCGAGAGTACAAGAACCACCTGACCCTGCACAGGATCGAGTCAGAGTCCACCATGGCAAAGAAGAACGCGCCACCGACTCCCAAGGCAGCCGAGCGCCCCAAGTCCAGTCACTCGATCCAGGACAGGCCAGGAGAAGGCTCTGACGACGAGGACGTCGTCCTGTTCCAGCGTGCGCCCCGCGGCCCAGCGGCCATCACAAACACCCACCGCGTCTGGGACCCCAACGACTTTGGTCGCGCAAACCAGCAGCAATCGCCACGAGGCGGTCGAGGTGGCAGCATTGCGCCTCGAGGCCGAGGCGCGCCGTCTCCTCGAGGACGTGGCGCGTTCGTGCCTCGCGGTGCCTACGTCCCGCCAGGACCGCAAGTGCGCCCTCCACCTGCGCCTCGCCACGATCCAAACGCGCCCATCGATCCAAACTCATTCGCGCGCCCCATGCCTCGAGCCAGTCCAGCCCGCGGCGGAAGCGGACGAAAGCTATGGGAGCCAAACTAGTCGTCTCGGGCAAGGCGTCGCTTCCAGTGATGGCCTAACACCCACAGTTCACGTTGCTCACCAAGTTGCACGGGCGAGACTGCACTCAGAGTCGCCGATAGACGGGTCGCTCAAAAAAACGCAGCTCTGCACATGGCAGTCTTGGTACGGTGCTGAAAAGGCTGCCCACGTATTTCCGAGCGCTCTGGTGTCAACACGTTCGCTCTCGACATGTATCGCCAGCCAGGAAGTGTCTGCAGCTCACGAGTCACTTGTCGGGGACTCGCACACTCGCTCTGTCGAGACGGAGCCTTGCTCTGCGCACTGGACCTGCGAGACGGCCGTGCAGACGCGTCTCGGTACAGGCCATCTCCTTAGTTTGTCATTTTTTTTTGCCATTGCTTCATGATGATGCTTCATATAAAATTGCACCGCCGGGGTAGTGTACGTAGTGCGTAGTTGAAATACGATTCGCCGTTCCTCGTCATGCATAGATCACTCTCGCTACCAGATGTCAACGATGTGCGTCTGCATCGGCCACGGCGCCGCCTCGGCTCCGCACCGCTGACACACAAACGGCCGCCCGGCGCGGGACAAGTAGCACGCGCCCACGAGCTCGTGATGCCCCGCCGTCAAGCGCATCACGAACGGCACGTCGCTCCCGTAAAGCGCCCACACCGTGTCCCCCACGAGCGGGCGTGCGTGCGTGTACCCGACCGAATGCGTACTCGCAAAGACCGTCGCGCCCGGGCCCGCCGCCGAGAGTGCGGACAGCACCGCCTGTCGGTGCTGCTGGAATGCGGCTCTGGGGGCGGGACTGCACTGCGCGGGCGCGGACTTTGAACCGGTGCATGTCTGGCAGTCTGGCACGCCGAGGGCAGACCAGGCGATTCGTGGGAGCGTGGGCGTGCGGTGTTTGGCCGTGGGGCCGATGAGGCGGACAATGTAGTCGAGGCGGTGCGCGCGCAGCTTGAGACGTGGTGGTAGCCCTGCTGCCCGGACCAGGTCGGGCTCGCGCTCGAGGATCTTGTAGCTGAAGGCGGAGCTTTGGAGGTGCACGATTTGCTGCGCGAGATGTTCGTCGTCGTCGACTGACAGCGACGAGTCTGGATTGTACACCCATTGAAGCTCAGACCATTTGCGGACTTGCTCGCGGCAGCTTGCAGTTGAGAGATTCGGATCTGCTGCGTAAGAGTCTGTGTCGGATGCGAAATCAGCCATGATGCGTTCGAGCAGGAGTCGAGAGGGTAGTTCGTTGCGGAGCCATGCACCGGGGTTGGTGGGCGCCATGTGCCACGACGAGGCAAAGGCCTGCTTCTCGACTGCTGTGAAGTGAGCGGGCAGTGGCTCGTACGCATGCCTGTAGTCCCATTGAGGAATCCATGACGGTATCCGTGTGGTGTTCTGCCAGTGCCGGTCAGGATCGGAGACGTGCTGACAATGCTGCAGTATGTCGAAGCGTCCTAGCTTCTCGATGCAATATGTCGCCAGCTTAGCGAACACGTCTGTATGCGAGAGGGAGTAGTCGACGACAAACTCGGCGGAGAATCTCGAATCCATCAGGCCGAGTAACGCATAGATCTTGTCACGTGGGTTCCCTGCAGAACAGTTCCGGCTCTTGGACAGCACCGCCAGGATATCGTTCTGTTCCTCCGGACGACTCGAAGGGGTCCAGCGAAGGACACTCGGAGGCCGGAGATCTAGTTGTGAACACATGTCCAGCGTCCTTGATACCGTGTCTCCGGTCCAACGAACCTCGTAATCTCCAATGATGAGAGTGACCAGCTGAGCGAGCCCAATCTCTTGCATGATCCAGACTCGGTCGAAGTAGGGTAGATGGAGGAAGGTGAGCAGATTCTCCTTGCCGCAGGGTTCAGAAGTGATGACGCCGGTCTTGTCTTGGAGAAAATCGAGGACCCCTCGAAGCTGTCTTGTTACCTGTGGAGATTCGACGCCGAGGTAGGCGAGTACCTGCGCAGCGTTCGAATAGATTGTAGACATTAGCTTTACTTGGTGGCTCTTTTCCTCGGTGTCGTTCTGATGGATACAGATGGCATCGATCCACAGCCGTCTGTTACGACCCCGCAGTCTGAGGCGCCGCAGCGCTGCTTCGCAGTTCTCGGTGATTGCAATGGTTGACCCACCGCACCTAATCTCCGAAGTCAACGAGACATGGCCTCTGGAGTTGGCCCAGGTGTAGGATACCGCCTCGTAGCTTGGCCGGTCCGCTAGGTTCACAGTGGTGATGTCGCAGGACAAGTCATCCGACGGCTCGCCAGCGAACAGCACTATCAATCGGATCTCGTGGCCAAGACCGTGCCTGAGTGGCTTGTATCGATACTGCGGTGAGGACTCCAGCGGTGGTTCGGAAGTCGTCACCTCAAAGACGGCTTCACCGCACGAAAGGCAGCAGCGAATTTCGCCAAACCGTTGTATGTCTGGATGTCGGCACTCTGCCATTGGGGCTGATGGATGCGATGGATGGCGTCGAGCCAGGGGGCATGGGGGATTTCAATTGTGTACTTGTTCTGCTTGGCTCTCGTCCTGTTTTGCTCTGCTCTCGTCCTGTTTTGCTCTGCTCTCGTCCTGTTTTGCTCTGCTCTCGTCCTGTTCTGCTTGGCTCTCGTCCTATTCTGCTCTGCTCTCGTCCCATGCAGCTGGGTGAGAGTAGCAAGTGGGACACGTCAATCATCGTGGATGAGGCTGGCCCAGATGGTCGCGGGGTTGGGCCGCGTGGGGTACATGTCAGCTGCATTGGCGCGACAGACATCTCGACAGCCTTGAAAAGATCCGAAGAGGCGTCAATATTGGAAGCGTGCATTGTCGACGTCCGAGGCCATGATTGCGCCCTACTGGTTGACGGGAGTGTGAAATTGAAATTCGGAAATAGCGGAGATACCGGCTTCTCCGCAGCGGCACCTAGGAGCGGCCTATCGACGGAGCTACCAGAGCTCCCGTGTCCAACTCGATGGCGTCTTTGAAACGCCGCCGTGCCATCTTGACTCTCCAGAGACGAGAGATCCAGAATGAGCTCCTCGCATGCACCCACCAGCCCGCCCGGTGACGGAGACGACGCAGGAACGGTCAGGTACGACCCCCGCGATCCGTTCTGGCGAGATATCGAGGCCGAGGAGAGTGATGACGACATGGAGTACATTCCCGCCTCCCAAGGCAGCGACGGAGAGGGCGACGACGATTTGGATATTAGCTTCCACGGTATATACTATTACTCGTAGAGGATAGCAATGGAGCGTGATCTGACGCTGTGCAGATGCCGCCGAACACCTGAGCAATCTGAGCGGGGTTGAATTGGTCTTCGAGTCCACAAACGACGACGACGACGACGACGACGATGAGGATGACGAGGATGACGACGAAGACCAAGACCAAGACGAGGACGGTGAGGGCGAAGAGGAAGAGGACGACGGAGCACGGCGGCCGGTATACATCACCCGCGACCAGATCATGCAGCTGCTCGGCCACGCGGGGCTGAGCCGGATCTTTGCGTCGGACATCACCACACGGGCAGCAGCGCGACGCGCAAGGACCGACGGGGACAACGAAGACGACAGCGACCCCGGCACAGGCTACGACGCGGTGGGGCCGAGGAGCAGCAGACGAGCGCGGCGCGCGCGTGGCGAGGCTCTCTACGAGAAGGTGCCGAGCGAACAGGGCCAAGAGCTAATGAACGGCGGCCTCTTCGGGTCGAACACGCGGCGAGAAGACACGGTGAGGCGCAAGAAGCGGCTGGCATACAACATCATGCGGCGCGAGCTGGGCGTGGGGAGCGCGGGCCGGCAGAAGAACGTCACGCAGCTGATGAAGCAGGACATGCTGCCCGAGTCTGCTGCCGACACCATCATTCACTACAATGCGCGATGCTACTCGGGCCAGTTCTCCGACGACGGCAACTTCTTCTTCTCGTGCGCGCAGGACTTCCGCGTCAGAATGTACGACACGTCGAATCCATACGACTGGAAGTACTACAAGGTGGGCGGCAGACGTCACACGTGAAATGCAGTTGAAGCTGACCTCGGCAGTCGGTCGTCTACCCATACGGCCAGTGGACCATTACAGACGCCTCGCTCAGCCCAGACAACCGGTTCCTCGCGTACAGCTCGATCCGCAGCATAGTGTGTCTGGCCGGCACGGATCCCGCCGACGACTCGGAGCCCAGCCTCCTCGACTTGTCGCACCTCGGCACGGGCACGCCTCGCGGGTTCCACACGTACTTTGGCATCTGGTCCATCCGCTTCTCGGGCGACGGGCGCGAGATTGTGGCCGGCACGGGCGACAACAGCGTCTACGTGTACGACATTGAGCGGCGGCAGTCGGTGCTGCGGATCCCCGGACACGAAGACGACGTCAACGCCGTGTGCTTTGGCGACTCGCAGTCGCCGCACATTCTCTACTCGGGGTCGGACGACACGACGCTCAAGGTGTGGGACCGGCGGTCGATGGGCGACGGGCGCGAAGCCGGCGTGTTCCTGGGCCACACAGAGGGCCTGACGTACGTGGACAGCAAAGGCGACGGGCGGTACGTGCTGTCCAACGGCAAGGACCAGACGGCCAAGCTGTGGGATCTGCGCAAGATGATGAGCAAGGAAAAGGCAGACGGCATCGACCCCAACCACTACACGACGCGGTTCGAGTACCGGTCCAACGCATACGACCCGGCCGACTTCCGGCCGCACCCGCACGACTGCTCGCTCGTCACGTTCCGCGGGCACAAGGTGCTGAAGACGCTCATCCGGTGCCACTTCAGCCCGCCCGGCAGCACGGACAGTCGGTACGTGTACAGCGGGAGCTACGACGGGAGCGTGTACGTGTGGAACCTGGACGCGACGCTGGCGGGCAAGGTGAATGTGCTAAAGGCGACCAAGAACAGCCGGCCGCGGGACCCCGAGCTGATGGCCGAGACGTACGACTACTGGGGCCGGAACGGCGGGAACTGGATGACGTGCGTCAGGGATGCGAGCTGGCATCCCAACGCGCCGCTGATTGCCGGTAAGTCTTGCTCGCAGCAGACAGCACGGGCGTTGGAGGCACTAACGGCTGCTAGCAACGTCTTGGAATGGATGGGGCACGTCGCAAGGCACGTGCACGGTGCATAGCTGGAACGATGGGCTCGACGCCGACGAGGCAGAGCCGCAGATGGGGCGGAGAGTCAATGCGCAGCTGCAGCACGACGAGCGGCTGTACAGGAGCGCAGAAGAGGCGCGGTCGAGAAGACAGCCGGCGTGGTACGAGAATGACGAGTGGGAGGACGACGAGTGAGGGCGGCGAGTGAGGGCGACGAGTGGGAGGGCGACGAGTGAGAGGACGAGTGAGACGACGAGTGGGAGGGCGACGAGTGAGGGCGACGAGTGAGAGGGCGAGTGAGACGACGAGTGAGACGACGAGTGAGACGACGAGTGAGACGACGAGTGAGACGACGAGTGGGAGCGTCGCTCACGGGCGCTGCTTGCATTCACGCAGACAAGGGAAATGGAACTGATCTGTCGCGCGTGGCGTTCGCGCAGGTATCTCATTGGCATACAAAACTCCCGCTGGCCCAGTGTCCTCTCCCTAATGTACAGCTTTTAGACGGGCCCATGCATCCTCTGTGCTCGGACAAGTGTCCTTGCGTCTCGCCTCCCGCCGTCCTGTCGACGTGTCCCCGCCGTCCTGTCGACGCGTCCCCAGACCAAGCGGCGGAGTAGGTGGAATGCCCCCGACGCGAAGAGTGCGAGTCGCAGCTACGAGCCGCCGACGAGGATGTTGTTGACGGGTATGTGGACGAGCTTGACAATGTAGCCGATGACGCCCATGATCAGGAAGCCGATGCCGACGGCCTGCGAGATGCGGATAAACTCCTTCTTGTCGGGCTCTGGGCAGGGTTAGCACGGCGCTCGCATGCGTGGCCAGCGCGGGTGGGTACGTGGGCGGCCGTACTGGTGCAGCGGTTGATGAAGAGCGTGCCCTCCTTGAGGAACTCGGCGGGCATGCTGCGCGCATGTTAGCTGGCTGCTGCTGCGTTTCTTGTGTTGTTGCGACGTCGCGTACTCGGCAAACTCCTTGACGTTCTCCATGGCGACGGCTGTGCGGGGGTGGGGGATTGGAGTGGTTGGGACGTGTTGGGTGCAGGTCAATGGCCGTCGTGGAAGCGTCGCGGACTCGCAACACGGAGCACGGAGCGAGGCCAGGTGTCTTGCGGAGGCCGCCGCGCTAGTGGGCGAGCGGCTAGGCCTGATCGCCAGCGCGCCGTGGGAGCTTCGATCGACTCCCTGCGTCCGTCCTGCACCCTCGCGCGCCCGCTGCTCCCGACGCCCGACGAGCATCGCCCCCGACGAGCATCGCCTCCGACAAGCATCGCCCCCGACAAGCATCGCCCCCGACGAGCGTCGCCCCCGACGACCGACAAGCGTCGTCTCCGACCACCGACGAGCATCGCCCCCGACCACCGACGAGCATCGCCGACAAGCGTCGCCCCCGACGTCTGTCTCGACCGCATCGCCGCCGCACTAACCGCAGCGCGCGCACTCGTCGTCGAACGCGACACCTGCGAGCGCTCCGAGCGGCTCAACAGCGCGTTTGGCGGACCCCCGAGCGCTGGCACGCCCTCTCCTTTTCTCTCATTGCTGGTGGCGCGCGTTCGCAATTCGCTGGGGGGCTGTAGCACGGCAGACTGCTGCCATTGGCGCGCGAGACACGAGCAAGCGCAAGCACTCGCGCACGACTCGCGCTGAGCCACACGTCGCATCGTCCTTTACACCCCGTCTTGTATCTCTCCAAGCTCCGCATCTGCCAGAGGCGATCGGACTGTCCCGTCTGCATTTGAGCTCCTTGCGCTCCCCCGTCCGCATTTGAGCATCTTGCGCTCCCCCGTCCGCACTTGAGCATCTTGCGCTCCCCGTCCGCGCTTGAGCTCCTTGCGCTCCCCCATCCGCCTGCACCGCGGTACTGTACGTATTCCACGCTTTGCGCCTGTCTCTCCTCTGTTCTGTCGCATCGCTCCGGGCTGCCATCGCAATGCGTCTCCTTCCTCGTGCCGTCTTGGCTTATGGCTCGCTGATTCGACCATTGCCCACAGAACTGCATGTGCGTTGGCCATTGACTGTGCCCGTTCCAGTACCTACAAGCCAATCAAAGAAACCCTCGTGGGAATCGCACTCTTGACCCGCTGTACCTCTTACTTGACCTGCCGCAGCAACCATGGCCGACGACGACAACTTCGACATTGACATCTACGGCGACGACGCGTACCAGGACTCGTCCGCACAGGACACGGCAGTGCCCGACGCGGGCGCAGCAAGCGCAGACAGCGGCGACAAGACGGCAAGCGCAGACAGCGGCGAGAAGACGGCAAGCGCAGACAGCGGCGACAAGGCGGCATCGGCGCCCCAGCCAGACCAGGCGAGCGCGACCACTCCGGCGGGAAGGCAGGAGGCCTCGACCACCCCGGCGACCGCCGCCGCACAGCCCGACGGCACAGTACAGCACATTTCGAGCACCGGCGGCTCTGGCCACGATGTTCACAGACAAGCGCCGCAGCAGCAGGGCACAAAGCGCAAGCAGGGAGAGGACGACGATCGCCCAACCGATCCCGGCGCCACAGCAGCACTGATGATCAACGACCTGAACTGGTGGATCAGCGAAGAGGACATTCGTGGCTGGGCCAACCAGAGTGGTTGCGAGGACGAACTCAACGACGTGACCTTCAACGAGCACAAGGTAAATGGCAAAAGCAAAGGGTGAGCATGCCCAGACACTGGCCGCATCGGCCGTCGACTGACTCGAGCGCAGCCAAGTGTACGTGCAGCTGCAGTCGCCGCAGGCTGCCACGGCGCTGAAGCACCAGATTGAGCAGCTCTTCAAGGACCAAGCCCACACCAAGAAGCCCACGGCCATTTTCAACCCACCCCACCACAACCCCTTCAAGACGCTTCCCAAAGACGTGCCCGCGCGCGACAAGAATCGGAACGAGCAACAGGCCGTCGGCTTCAACAACCGGGGCGGCGCCAACTTTGGCCGCTTCAACAACAGGGGCAACTTCAACCGAGGCGGCTTCAACAACAGAGGCGGCGGCATGGGCTACCAGAACCCGGGTGCCAACATGGGCGGCCAAATGGGCGGCGGCGGCCAAATGGGCGGCGGCGGCCAAATGGGCGGCTACGGCCAAGGCGCCATGCAAAACTATGCCGGCAACCCTATGATGGGCGGAGGCAACAACTTTGGCGGTGGTTTCAACCGCGGCGGCATGATGGGCGGCAACATGCGCGGGGCCATGAACAGCCGCGGCCGTGGCGGAATGGCCATGAACGCCATGGCCGGCGGCATGCAGATGCCCATGGGTGCAAGTATGATGATGGGCGGCGGCATGATGGGCGGCGGCATGAACATGCCCATGATGAACGGGATGGGTGCGTTGACAATCATGTCCAGACCATCAGCCAAGCAGTGTGCTAATGAATGTCCAGGAGGCGCAGGATTCGGCGGCCAGCCGCAGTTCAACCCCGGCTTCTTCCCGAACCAGCAGCAACAGCAAGGCGGCCACGAAAACTTTAGTCCCCACGGGGCTAAGCGACCACGACAGGAGTAGATTTCAATGGTGTCGCTCCCTCAACCGGTATTCCAGCGTCTGCCTTGCCCAGCCTCGGGCGCCAAATCCCGCGAGGCCCCTGGTCCTAAGACACCGAGAGAGCGAAACAAAGCCGAGGCACTCGGCCCTGACTTTTCCAACCCACGTGCGAGCGACCACCTCTTGCACCTCCTCTCACCTCTTGCACCTCCTCTCACCTCTTGCACCTCCTCGCACCTCTTGCACCTCCTCTCACCTCTTGCACCTCCTCTCGCACCTCTTGCACCTCCTCTCGCACCTCTCGCACCTCCTCTCGCACCTCTCGCACCTCCTCGAGCACCTCCTCGAGCACCTTCTCTCGGGCCTCCTCGAAGCCTACCTTGGGGCCTTTCCATCCTTGGCAAACACACTCTGGGCTTGGGGCATCGAGCATGGCAATGCGGCCCACCTAGTTCCCAGCTCCTTCTGTTCTGACGGCGTTCCACACGGAGTCTATCCGCATTGTTAGAAATCCATCTTCTCTCTCCCTTTCCTCTGTCCAGATGCTCCGTCGTTGCTTAGCTTTTGTATGATGACAAGACGTGCGTGCGCGCCGGGTTGCATTCAAACCCGGCGGCACGGCCTTGGATATGCGGCGATGCGGCACGTATGTACTCGTAATGCCGCCAGCTTCACGGGCGTGGAAGCGCCTTGACATCCTCTTGCCGAGTACATGTCGCGCTGTGTTCCTCTCCGCGCTCCAAATGTCGTGCACACGCGCTTTCCGCAACGGGCGCGGAGCCACTCGCTCTCCGCATCCTGCGGTCTTGAGCGCAGCCCGGAAACAAGCAACGCGGTGCAGGTACGTACAGGAATGGCGGGACAGCGTTGTGTGGCGAGACAGCGTTGTGTGGCGAGACAGCGTTGTGTGGTGACACAACGTCTGGCTGCGCGCTTTGGTGGAAATTGGGAGCTTTGCTACTACGCAGGTAATATGGTTATAGGCCCGCCGGGCGTGTCGGGACCTGCATATTAATCGTAGCAGGGGTGTTGTGGCGATTGGTCAATCGCCTCCGTATCAAAGTCTACGCAACACCGCTCCATTCGACACGCACGAACCTCGAAACACGACGAGCGCTCAATGTACGTCTCCAGCTACTTTGTGCGGACCCCGCATCTCACGTCTGCAGCCTTGCTCCGTGTAAATGCAGCCTTGCTCCGTGTAAATGCAGCCTTGCTCCGTGTAAATGCAGCCTACCAGTGCCGTGTGGCTCTGGCGACGCCGAAATGCAGTTCATCTATTTGGTACTATGGAGGGCTGTGTTGACCAGGCATGCTCCTGAGCCGAGATTGGCGCTGATTCAAGGCATGCGGCAAGGTGCTCATGCTCCTCTTGCGTTGCGGAGCGGATGTCTCGCACCACCTGGCGTGGAACTGGTGTATCCGGCCGAGATGAGTCTGGTGGATTCGAAACGGGAACACGGGATGAAGGGCTCTCGCGCGGTAGAAGATATATAGCCTGTCGTTGTCCGACAGGCTTCCGTTCTGCGTGGCACGGATTCCTGTACATACTCATCATGCCTCGCCACACCTCTGCCCTAGTACTAGCGGGGGCTCTGCTCCAGGGCGGGCTTGTCGGCGCCCAAGGTATGTCTGTCGCGTATTGGTGTGGCATTGGAACTGACGAGACGCAGCGCTGCCGAGTGGTAATGTCACCGCAGTGACGTGCCCTTCCACTGCAGAGTTCACCGCCATCACCGCACACGCTCACTTTGCGGGCATGGACCCTGGCTGGAACCTGGGCAACACCCTCGATGCCGTTGAGACGGCACGACCCCCCTTGTCGCGATTGAGCGCAGTGGCTGACCAGGAATACAGGAAGGCTCGTGGAACAACCCGCCAGTGGTGGCCTCAACGTTCGACGATATCAAGAACGCAGGCTTCAAGGGCGTTCGTCTGCCAGTAACCTATACGTACCACTACACGACGCAGGCACCGGACTGGACATTGGACCCCGTCTGGTTGGAGCGCGTATCCGCTGTTCTCGATCAGATCACATCCAGGGGCCTGCATGTCATCACCAACGTACACCACGACAGCTGGACGTGGGCGGACTACACGCAGGCCAATGCAAACGTCACTGCCATTGAGGAGAGGCTGTACAAGACCTGGGTGCAGATTGGCCAGAAGCTGGCGTGCAAGGGCGAGAAAGTGGTGCGTTCCAGCTTCTCGCTCGTCCGGACGAATGGCTAACACCTCTAGGCCTTTGAGACCATCAACGAGATCCCCGGCACCACCGAAGCCCACGGCAAGCAGGTCAACAGGCTGAACAACATCATGCTCCAGGCCATCAACCAAGCCGGCGGCTTCAACTCTAAGCGTGTCGTCAACCTCGTCGGCAGCCGCGAGGACGGCGAGCAAACAGCATTGTGGTTCGAGCCGCCAGATGCAAAGTACACGAACCCCTGGGGCATCCAGTACCACTACTACTCGCCCTACGACTTCATCTTCGCGGCATGGGGCAAGACCATTTGGGGATCTGACGCCGATAAGGCGACGCTTGAAGCAGATATCGCGCGTGTCAGGAACGCCTTCAGCGGCATCCCCATCGTCATTGGCGAATGGGCTGCATCGCCCGTTGCCACCGAGACTGCAGCGCGCTGGCGCTACTTTGACTTCTTCGTCCGCACGGCAGCAAAGTACAACTCTTCGACCGTGCTGTGGGACAACGGCGCAGACTTCCTCAACCGCGCGACGCACCAGTGGCGCGACCCTGTGAGCTTGGACGTGTACCTCAACGCACAAAAGGGCATCGCGAATGCGCTGCCGGACAGCACCACCGACGCAGCCGCGACGAGCCAGAAGAGCTCGGCGTACGTGTACCACCAGAAGAACAGCACCGTCGCCGACCAGACCCTGCCCTTCCTCTTCAACGGCAACCAGCTACAGAAGATTTCCGTCGCAGCGACCAAGAAGATTCTGACAAAGGGCCAGCACTACACCCTCTCCGGGCAGAACATCACATTCAAATCCGCCTTCCTCAGCACAATCCTGACCCCAACCGCTCCCACAGGCGGTCTCGCAAATCTGACGCTGGAATTCAACCGCGGCGCCAAGCTGAACGTCGAAGTCATGCGCTACGACACCCCCGTTCTCGGACGCACGTCGTCGCAGCTGCCCGCCACGTCGTCGGACCTGTCCATCCCCGTCGCATGGGCGGGCCAGAACCGACCTGCGACTATCAAGGCGGTGCGCGCCGACGGCACGTATCTTTTCGACAGCTGGACGACGGTGCTGGGGCCGCTGCAGCAGGGCCGCATGACGTACGGCACGTGGGACTGGGATGCGGACAATGTCATCCTCAGGGCGTCGGTGCTGGATGCTGTCAGGGCCGCGGGACAGACGACTACGTTTACCATTGAGTTTTATCCCAGAGAGCCGGGGAATGCGGCCGAGTACACCATTACCGTCTAAGCGAGGGCGCGAGGGGTTGGAGATGATGGTAGGCATCTTCACAACAACAACAACAACAGCAACAATAGAGACTGTTGCTTGATCACAGTATTGCAGAGACAACGGAATGTCGGCTTTAATTACAAGATTACATCAATTCAACACTAGGTTATTACTCGTAAAATCTTCGAACATCCAAGCGATTTCACATGGCCAAGCCCATATTGCTCCAACGTCCCAAAGGTACATCCGCAGGAACATCAACCGCACCGTCAGGGGTATACATCGCCTGTTGCCGTGAAAGCAAAGACGCACTATTAGAAGACGGTGAGCGGAACGCTACTGAGCAGACCGTTAGCACACTGTTTACGCGACGATCCTCTCCTCCTCGCGGCCACGGTGTTCGCTGGCGATGGTGGAACCAGCCTCATCAACCTCCTCGTCATCGTAGCCGTTACCTCGGTGTTCGGATGCGGGAATCCACAGGCCGGACTCGCGGCTGTCGAGGGGCTGATCTTGACCAGACAGATCGACAGCCTCACCAGTATGCTGGCGGTTGCGGCGGCGCTGGGACAGGGTGCGGGAGCGGGTAGAGAGCTTGGAAGATACGGAGGCGTTCTGTTCGACCCAGTTGGTGAGAGAGTCTTCGCAGTCCTGGATGATACTAATGAATTGTCAGTACAATGGTGCTGTAAACACCGAATTTGGTGACTTACGCCTTGGACGTCTCGTAACCATCATACGCCTGGCGGGTCTCACCAGGGGTGACAGGAGTGTCGTCGATGAGCTCAAGGAGATGCTTTCCGTAACCGGCGATGATGGCAAGCTTCTCGCAGTGCTCGCGCATGGCATCAAATTGGTAGGTGAAAGCAGCCTTGAGCTTCTCGCGGGTGATGTTGGACAGCTGGGCCTCAGCAACGAGGGACTCGGCCTCAGCACGAACAAGCTCCTGCTCAAGAACGACAATCTTGGGAGAGTTGGGCTCCTTGTACTTCAGCTGAGCAATCTGGTCGGTGATCTTCTGCTTGCCTGCATTTTGTAAGTTTATGACGATCTTTACAATCTTAGCTGTACTCACGGTCACGGCTGGGCTGGACGGAAGCCTCGATGTTACGGATGCTCTTGATGGTGACACGGTACTGGTCGTAGCGGTCGACATACTGGTCCTCGAGCTCACCAATCTCGTAGATCAAAACACCGAGCTTGTCTGTGACATCAGAGACGTCGTCGTCGCATGCCTCTCCCCAGATGGAGAGTTGTTGCTGTGGTGTCGATTAGTGTCGATTCGGAGATCGTTCCGAGTGGCACGAGCTTACAGCGACCTCCATGCGCTCCCTGGAAACAAGTTCCATGCTGCGCATGACGTTCTTCTCCATCTTGACCAACTGGGAGAGCTTCTTCGCCAGATCAGGTCCGAACGCGCCGGCGGACTTATGGCGGAAGGTATGGCCTGGAAGTCCAATGGTTAGTGTCACTTGGCCCCTCTGGTGTTGACGTTGGACAAACCGATGTTGGCCTTGCCAAAGAAGCGCCCGCTTTTGGTTGAGGACGACGGAGGAGGGGGGTTCTGAATCTGCGACGCCTGTACTCAGGTCAGATTGGCGCTCCAGAGCTATGTCGAGGTGCAGATGCCTACCGTGGGCGCGCGAGACTGGCGCATACTGTATGTGCGATGCATGGTGGGCGGATGTGACGGAAGATGAGTGTGATGGTTTGCGGTTTGCGGTCTGTAAGACGTGTAATTGTTCAAGACTGTGTGCGAGGCAGGATTTCTCGTGATAGGGGGAGGGCTGGCGATCTGAGGGCGCCGCTGTTTTTGAGTGTTTGCGGTCGCTAGCTCGGGTCGATGACGTACCGCCCCGCGACTTCACGATTGATCCTGGCAGGAGATCGCCCATGGCGAACCCACACGCGGTTCTAGCCGGTACATCATTCTATCGCACATGCAACCCAGTCTACGATCAGGCTGGGCGCAGCATAGCTTATTCAGAAGAGCACTTGCTCTCGTTTACATGGCAATGCCCCGTGGTGGTCGCCTGAGCCGCGTTGTTTTTCGGGGCCGCGTATCAGCGCATTGGCACGCTTAGGAGAACTAGCTGTCAATGCGTCTGGTGTTTGGTTCCTGTGACGTTTTCGGAGCACCAGCGCGCCACCTAAATCTCATGTCTCACATCACAGAGTTGCGGCACACACGTCTCATCCAGTCAATGGCATGTTGCTTCCGCGGTTGCTTGGTGCCTGACAGGCAGCCAGCCAAGATCATACATTCTGTTGTACAGGTGGGGTATCTGGATGGGTTGCGCCTCGCGATGGAAATTGCTATGCAGATCAAAACTGAGAGAAAGATCCACTGGGCAGCTGACCTAAGACGTTAAAGATGTTGCCAGCATCTCCGAGTCCAACACTTGGCCGCAATGCCCAGAATATCAGCTCGCCCTCCCGAGGTGACCGGCGATGCTGAAAAGCAAAGGACGCAAACCCTACTGCGACTGCGGCCGTCAAGCCAAGCAGGGTGTTGACAAATACCGGCGAAGGCAGCTCGGACCTGATGCGGCTCGATGATGGTGCTGGCTTAACTGAAAGCTCTCGTTTCATGAGGGACGAGACGACCGGGATGCTCCCAATGATTTCCTGAACACCGGTGACTGTACTGGATGTGAAGCTTTGTGACCTCGTCGCCCATGGCAGAAGGGTGCATTGTGACTGCTCTGTTGCTGAAGATGCTCGTCCGGTGGTAATGGCCCAGACTTGAGCCGAACTTATGTCTCGTTCGGTAAGGACATCTTTACGTAGCATCTGAACGTATGCTGCAAGCCTTGGGAACTTCGTGGATATTGTCTCTTTAAGCCACGCCTGTGGCACGGCAGGGAACAGCATCAATGCCAGGTAGCCAAACGCCAAGCAGTCGAGACTTGAAGGTTGCGATGTGCCCAGCAGGTACTCATGGTTCCCCAGCAAGTCTGACAATGGCGCCAGCATGTCGTTCGACACAGCATCCAGCCTAAACTTCGCAGCGTATGTCTGGGTCCCCAGGAGCCCTCCGAAGCCCTTGCCACGGCCTATGCTCATGGTGCTCGGCTTGCTTTCGGTGGGCAACCCAGCTGCTCGTTTTGCAGCCTCAAACTCCGCGGACGCTGTGCCTCGGCCTGGGCCTGACACTTCTTCAGTCCTCGTATCCACATCCAAGCTGTCCAAACCCATGTGCGCTGTCCGTGTCCTTGCAAGCTTTCGACGTTTAGGCGGGACAGTGTAGTTGGCATACCATGGCAGGATCGCTGTGTATGCAGAGGATGTGATTGTGTTGTAGTTCTCGGCGGAGACGAACAGTGACAAATCAATGAGAGGAGTAGCTGTCGATCGCAGGAGAGTCGAGTATGCGGTCCGGTCGTTCTGCTGCTGGGTGCTCAGGTTGGCATCGAGGTCGTTGCTAACTGCAGGGTGATTGCGCAGATAAGAGACAATGTCTTCATATCCCGTTGCCGTCGCGATTCCGCCATCGAAAAGTATTGGTAGGCTCTCTGGGTCGCATTAGTCAAGGAGCGAATCAAAGTTGTGTTTCCAGAACTCACCCGTCAAGCCAACTGACCTGTCGTAGCTTGCGACGAGGCTCCATTGTTCTTGTGGAATGACCTGTTGGCAATATGTCACAGTTGCGATGCACTCAGGGTCAATCGAGGGCAATCCAAAGGCTGGACCCCATACATGAAGCTCCAGCGCCATCTGGATTATTGCTCGCAGGTCTACCTGTGGTTCGTGGTCGTGTTGTCAAAGCACACTGCGCAAAAGTTGCGAATTGCACTCATCTCGAAACGGCCTTGGCGTGATGCAAGCACGGGAACACGCACCAACTTCCCGTCGACAGCCACTGCCGCTCTCATTCCTTTACTTCACATATAGACAGCTGTCCAAACATCAGACACGAGGCTGCAGAGTCGAACCATGGCCCCACTTAGACGGTACCTGCGCATAACGAAGCACTCCGTTCTTGAAGTTCGAGTCTACCTGGATCGTCCAGCTGATGCTGAGGCATGGCTGCTGAAACGCGACGACCCAGCTCTTCCACGCGTCATCCAGGCCATACGGCCCCTTGTCCTTCCCAAGCTTCGAGAAGAGAACGAGCGAGGCAAAGTTCGTGCTGGGGCCAAAGCAAAGAAGAAGGGCGTCAAAGATGTTGTTGTTGAAGGTAGGACTTGCTTGTCAACCTCAACGGTTTTGGTGCGTTTCGACAAACCATACGCACTTAGTGACCACGAACATCGACTCCAAATAGACAGCTAACTTCACACTAGACGATTTCGAAGTATCAATCTTCCTCACTGAACTCTCATCTCGTCATTCAGTTATGACTAAGCAGAAGATGTTTCAGGACAAGTCTCGCATACAAAGTAACTCAGGGAAGCTCACCAGCTGGCTTACGACCGGAACAAGTGATCACCCAATGGTCATAAACGAGCTTGAAGCGGATCCACGTGTCATCGAGGGCGATGACGATGATGCAGTCAATCTCGCTGACATTCCTGAGGCGCCCAAGCGCTCGACAAGAGCGAAGCGAGATCGGACTGAAGCCGAGAAAGATGCAGGCAGTCAGGCCAACGAAAGTGATGAAGAGAATCTGTTCATTCCAGAGACAACCAGCAAGCGTAGTAAGACAGGCGCGGCGCCAGCGGACGCCGAGGTCGTCGAAGACGAGTCGCAAGACGACAAAAAGAAGCTTGGCCTGAATACCTCGTACGAAGGTTTCAGCATATACGGTCGGATACTATGCCTTGTGGTCAAGCGCCGTGGTGTAAGAAATGCTGCAGGAGGTGCTACTGCACCCGTGTCTAGTCAACAGATGCTGGAGAACTGGGTGTCGACACAAGCTGCGGGGCAAGCGGGCGACGACGACGAAGACAACGGCTGAACCTACTGGGCCAGCTGTTTCACAAGACGGCTCGGGAGCATGATACCTCAACGGCTGTGTCTACGAAGTCGGTTTGCAAGCACCCTAGTACGAAACTGAACAGTTGACCTCGGAGGCATGGTCTTCACGTGAAGGGTACTGTAGCAGTGCAAAGTCAATTCCGAACTCTATTGTGGAAGTTTCCGGTGTGACTCGGTACGGGCGTGGCAGGCTGATGGCAGGTGTTACCTCGATTGTCGTGGACCACCTAATGCATGCACGACAGTGCATGACCTCTTCACGATCGGCGATACGCGAAGACTTGACAATCGGCGTCTCTACAAGAAACGATACCATCAAAACTATCGGCAGTTGCAAGCTATTGATGGATCTGAGTGGCTTCAAGCAGCTGTGCAACATTTATGAGATCGTGTTACTGCAAATAGCAACAGAGGTACATGATCTACTCGACGCGGGGACTAACGCAGGTACAATTGCTCTTTCTGCTGTTCCAGTCGTCAACGCAGCACGCATCGACCTACCGTTTGCGCCTTTGTGTCTAAATGCGTGTCTCTACTCCTATTCGAGATTGTTAAAAGCAAACAAGCAATATTGATGATGCCTCGGTATCGCCGTGCTCAGCATTATCGTGGCGCACCACTCCTTTCGCTTGCAAGCCACAAGTGGAGGGCCGCGTATTAGTGCCGATGTGTGCGTTCGTGCGTTCGTGCATCCATGGATCGGCTGTACCTGACAGTAGCTCACACACTAACAGGATCGTGTTGCCATCAAACTCTAAGGCATCGATGACGACATCCTGCGCGCGCGTCCACAACTAATTGTAGAACGAGTCGTCCTGTTCACGCCCCAGGCCAGACTTATAGCGCAGACTCGATCGTTGACTTTGCTTTGATACTCGACCTCGAGCTTACTTTTGTATGTCGCCGACGAGCTGGCAATCGCTGAAAGTGTTACTTGACAGCTTTGCGAGCTCGCTGCGCCTCCCGAGGGCTGACTCACCGACCGTTCACAAGCGCCATGACGGTGGGCGTGGCTGCGAGCTACAGGCTATTGTTCAGCGCGACCAGTCATGCTGCCGTGAGATCGGCAGTCGTCTCATGAGCTGTCAGTAAACGGCAGACGGTGCTCGATCGGTCTTTCCTCGTGTGCGCCTCTCCGCATCGCCCAGTCTGCTGGGACTTCGTCAGCTTCATGACGCCCCTCAGTTTCGCACCGTCGGGTCACAGATCTGGTAACAAGTCGCGGCGACTCCCAATCTGGTCTGTAACGACAACCAACGTCTTCTCCACCGCTCTGAAACGCCAGACTTGCGGTAAATTCGAGACTGATTGCGGTGGCGATGGCGATGGTGTGGCAGACAAGTTTCCTTACCAAGCTTTGACCGCGACGGCCAGCTGTGCCCCTGTAGATCGCCATCCCACAGTTGCAGAACTGACAAAGGGTCCCATATTCTTCCGGCAATAGCTTATGGAAGATTTTCTATTCTAACGAGACGTCCGATGCAGGGGTGAAGCAAGCAGCAGGCTATTTGCAGCTCATTTGGCGAGCAGCAGAGCAAGGGAGACAAATTGCGAATAAAAAGCAGTGCATGTAAAAAGGACGCTCACCCGGGGCTGCTTGAGCATAATCCCTGTCAGTCCACGTGGAACATAGCCTCAGCTGAATTTGCACCTAACGAAAGTTGCCGCATCCCTCTCCGGCCCTCCGGCTGACATCGTTCGTTGCCAGCGCAATCGCAACGCCTCGATAGCTGCATCCCCGCAAACTCTCTCCTTTCGGAGCAGCCGGGCCACTTTGGGAGAATCCCATAGTTAAAGTTCGCACACCAACCACTTGTGGACGCCGGAGGGCCGAGAAAACAGGGCAGAGACGCCATCATTCTGCTTTTGCAAGCGCACGAGGATCATACGAGTCGCGCAAACAAGGCCAGGAAAGTAGCAGGACAAAAATAAGCATGACAGGACCCTTTGACTGCTCCCTTGCCTTACCTATCTCCAGCCTACCTACTCGCCTGGGGCAAACAGCTTGCTGGACAAATGACACGTCGGAATCACCGCCGACGGGTAGGTACGAGCACAGTCGCGAGTGGAGCAAGAAAATTCCAGGGGCCACTGGAAATTAGATGGAAGCATGGCAGAAGCACGGGAGAAGGGCGCTGTGGGCGCCGCATGCACTGGATCTTCCAGCTGCGATGGAAACTGCGGGTGCTGGCCCTGCTGGGCACGAGCGACGTTGCAAATTGGACGAAAATTGTCAAGTTTTTGTGTGGCCCGTGGCTGTCGCCGTGTCAGAAATTTAACCCTGACACAAGACTGAAGCTAGCCTTGCCTGTTCCTGAATGCCTCGCAAGCAAAACCCTCTTTCACGTATGGTGCGAAGCGCCGTTTCGGCGCTCGAAGACGGCGAAACGGCGCTTCACACCGTCTGCTTGGAAAAGGAGGGCTACGTTTCAATTACCACGACCGTTTGCCTAGCGAAGTTACTAAGAATAAGCTGTAAGAGCGACGGGGTGATGACAGAGTCAGGCACTCACGCATTCGCATCGAAGGGTCATCTCCAACCTTGCAGGAAGTGATGCGCTGCGGCGGTTGCGCAAACGGCATGCCGCGACGGCGACAGTACTGTGACGGGATTGGATCACCGCGATCTTCAGTGCAGTCACGAGGGCGATGAAACTATAAGCAGCGAAGCACCTCTTCGTGTTTCTGTCCACCCGTGCTCATTAATTGACCGGGATGAGCGATGTTTCGGCATGCTTTAGCTCATGCACAAGCCAGGAGCCACCCCTTTCCTGGTCCATCAGCCCAACGCCCGCTTCACCGCCTGGGCCGTGCCATGCGCTGCCTAGAATGATTACGAGCATCGTCAAAAGTACGTAGCTGACCGACATTTTGGGACTGTAGCAATCTGAGCACGCACATAAATACTCTTGACCCCCACTACTCGTGGCCTTCGTTTCATACAACAACCACTCAGCCGGACACTAAAGACACACATCTATAGTAGCCCTACTACACTACGTCTACACGACTACCAGTCATTGTCTAGCCTACTCGACTACCATCTCGACAACGCTCAACCCTTCCCAGCAATCACCGTTACCACCAAGCTTCAACTCAACACAATGGCCGCTACCATCTACGACGAGTCCAACATGGCAAACAACAACCTGCCTCCTTGCCCGGGACCACCACCAACCCGCCCTCTGCCTCCTGTTCCTTCCAAATAAGCTCACAACCGGTTTATCTCTGCACGTTTGTCCTTTCGACTTGCAATCGGCTCTGGCGCCTTCTGTCGGTGTCCCTTCACACCTTATCCGACTGTCATTCCACTTCACCTTCACGATCCACTCGACTCGATTGCACAATGCCATACACTGGCGTGCAGCCGTCATGCAAAGAACCTGCAAGGCCACATTCGATCTGATGTTAGACACCTGCATCACAGCCTAGTCCGCTATGGAAGCGCCCCGCGCCTCTAGCGTACCCATCGCATATGGACCTTGCTGTCTTGCAAACGAGCCCCGTATCCTACAAGCCTTCTTAAGGCATAAGGATCACATGAATACGCCTATCGCCTGCATAACTTAGCGCATCATCTACTATGACTCAACGTCTCAACGTCAGGTCATGACCTCTCATGTTTTCCACACGCGCTGGCTCGGGTGAAAGGAACACTTTCTCATTAGACGCCTGCTTTCGCTTAGGGCACACATCCCTTGTAATACTGAGCACTCGCTTCCTCGTTTTCCACACTGCATCCGTTGGCGCTTTTGGGAGCCACATCATCGTGCGCTATTGCATTGTCACTATAGACGGACTATTTTGGGAGTTTTAATGTTTACGGCTTCATTGCCTGGAGGATACCTATACCCAATTTGTCTTACAGCATTAATCACTCGATCAAAGATCACTTCCTACTCAATACTTTCTGCTACTATACTTGCTCAATGTGAAGCACGCTCACGATCGATGGTATCACTACTTCACGAACACGGTTGCGCTTACGACAATCAGTATAGACAAGCGTCTTGGATGATTGCTGTGCCTGCAGCTTTCCCGGTCGTCAGCCGAGGCCACGTTCCCTGCCGCGTCGCTACACCTTTGATGCAAGCCCTAGGGAACGTGGCGCTGGCGGTGGTGTACTCAGCCCTAATCGCATTGGACTGGCGTGATCAGTGCTTGATACGGTGCCCTTCCAGCCGTTCGCAAGGCTGCTGTGTGACGTTGCGCTTACATCTTTACAGGAACCAACACAAAAGTGTATCAAGATCCCTACAAGTAGCTTCACCGTTCAACTTCGCCTATGGCTTTGGTTCTGCACATGTGCGGCCCAAAGTCGCGCGTGACTGCCTGTTCCAAGGTCAGAAAGGAAGCGCCCCACGCACGCCGGCCCGCTGCTCGCAAACGATTGTGACCTCATTGTCCGGTCACACATCCCGGCCACGTTCCAAGAAAATGGTCAATTCATTTTTACCGTCTCGCATCGGACTGGGATGGTCTCAACCGTCTGCACACTTGCTGTTTCATTGCCATTACTTCTCATTTTGGAGCATTGCAGGGTTTGCTAACGCGTACAGCTGTCACTGCACTCCACAGTAGCACGATGCATCGACACCCAACCTTAACGTTGACCGCTTCAAGCCATCCACTTTTGCACGCCGTCAAAACTACGGTGCGGGGTTGTACAGCATTCACCGCTTAATGGAGGCGCAGCTCTGGACGGCCTTGCCAGCAAGCGATCTATCGAAACCAAACATGAGTAATTATAGTCAACACACCTCGTCAGCACGTTTGGCGCTTGCTGACAACGTTGACGGCCCCTCGACCCTCTCCACTGTTGCGCTTGACTACGACGCCTGTCTTGCGGGCGAAGATCTGCTTGGTAGAGTGAATTGCAGACGGAGGATTGTCGCAAAGCAGCCTCCTCCGCGGCAACTTGGAAGCGACAAGGTTCGGAGGCTGCTGCGAACGTTGCCGGATCGATAGGGAAAACATATCGCTCACCGGTGCCTATCTGAGTACAGAATCGATGCAATGTTGATGCAGGTGCGCGCTTTCAAAGAGTGGTTACTCGTGACACAGCATTGAAAGGCAGGCGATTACACGAGCTTGCGCCAATTGTAGAGAATGTTCTCTACACCTGCATGGATATTTGCACGGCATTGGCTTACTCATCGAACTTGTCATCCTTGTCGTCTTGTGGAAGGATTACGGCACCAGTACCTCATGTCAGACGTATAATCATCCCCAGGGAGATAGGAACCCCGCGGCAACCTGGCATGGCATGATACGCTGCTCGCGCGATTGCGGATGCTGCGGGAGCCTGCGAGCGAGCCTGCAATCAACGATCAGGAACATCATAAATCACATGCGCATGCACCGTTCTGCAGCATCCTGCAACGTCCTGCAAGACCACCATCTTACCCCTGTCAGCAGATCCGCATGGCATGCTGCACTTCCGCAAATCAGGCTCGCATCTGGGCAGAGCGGTTACACGGAGAGGGGAAGACCTTCGAGCGTCACTCCATCAATCTTTGACCGCCGACTAATTTTGTCGCCAACAGGTGATCAAACACTTTGTTGCATGCTGTGCCTCATTGTGGGTCAATGATCTGCGCGACTGAAAATTGACAGTCCTTGAGACGGGCGACGTTGCAACATGTCGATCGCCTCTGCCACCAATGCAACCAGGTTCTCGGTACCCACTGGCTTGACAGCAGATTGCCGGCTTGGAGCGCAAATTGCCGCTTGCCTTTGGGTTCGAAGGGCACACTACAATGCACCATAGCATTCACAACAATCTTATTAGGCGTTGCGTTGTGAATACATTCTCAAGACGTCTCCTGTCGATCATCACCGCCTCATTATACGGCGTCAATTGTGGCGCACCACCAACTTCTTTGATCGTTCGCCGTCAGCGCTGCTCGCCTAGCTATCCAATATCCAAACAAGAAAGAGTTCCCGGATGTCGCTCGCAATCTGCTCCAACACCCGGCGGTATGTCGCGCGTCGTCATTTCTGGTTCCCCACATTTTTAACTTATGTATCTGACATCCATCTGTTTGATCACCTACCCGCAATCCTTGGACGCGACAGCCTTACTTTCAGATGGCGAGCATTGTATGATGAGTATAGGGACAAAGGCGAGCTGCTCAGACAGGCCAACAGCGGCTCGTATCGAAGCACCCTGCGTGTCACCTGGTCGTCCATCGAACGCCACCCCCGCGCGACATGCTGCCTCGCACCACAAGCAGGGCTTGGAGTCAGGAACCTTAGGCCTTGGATGCAAGGTGATAGATTTGGTGATGTAGGTGATGGCGTGTTAACGCCACCAGATATCGTACCTTGAGATAGAACGGCAGTTCTTTGTATGGAGCTGATGTGGACTATCCTGACCTATCATTTCGATTGCCATGACACCTCCAGTCAGCCGCTCTGCAGGTAAATAGCCGAGCTGTACTTGCATCATTTTTCGGTTCTGTGAGGATGCATTCGTCTGGACGTCCGTCTCTTTACACGGATAAAAGCACTGCGGAACCGGTTGAGGCCCTGATCTGAGTCGGCATCAATTTCTAGCTCGGTGGAGGGTTTCATACGTGAGACTGGTGGATAGGCCTAATTGAGCGTTTCTTTCGTTCACGTTGAGACTAAGGTACAGCGTCATAGCATATCCACACATGTGCGTGCTAAGACGCGTGGCTTCACCTGTCCGACGCGCGTGTAGTGCCTCAGCATTTACCGATGCTATAGTATGGCGTGCATCGAGGTTCTGGGTCTGGACCAACAGTCAGCTCCAATGCTGGTATGCCGGTACCTTACTCACGCAAGCATGCACGCTGCTGACAGCTCAGTCACGCAATAGTGGCCAGGGGTCACCAACATTGCTGCTAGTCGATGGACCCTACATCCGCTTTGCAATATCGTGGAAAGCTCAACAAGGTGAACAGTAATCCTGAGCGCCCGGCCTCTTCACATTTTGTCAACTCTTCTATACGCTATAGAACCTCAGCAGCGCCGCAAGATCCCGGCTCTTCCCAGTTTGCAGCAGCAACGCTTGCGCGCCATTACCCAGGTACGTCGGGCACTTGATAGCTTGTGCCTCATCCAGCGCCTTCTGCAGTCCCTCGACGTAGCTGTCAAGTACCTTGCCATTGTCATCTGACTGACCCTCCAGAATGGGCAACATCTTGGGTCCAAAGATTTCGAATTGCTTGCTACCTCCTGCAGCGTCTTTAGCCAGCTCGTAGATTTGAGGCAGGGGAATGTTGACATGTTTAGCAAGAGAAAGCGCTTCTGCTGCTGCAACAAGGTGGATGCCCTTCAGCAGATCCTTGACGAGGGCAAGCTTCTGCGCCTTCTCCTCAGCTGACAGCGAGCTCTGGATGCTCGAGACTGGCTCCGAGGTCCAAAGACGCACGACTCCAGCGTCGTCGTTGGCGCCCCAGCCACGGTCGAGTGCTGCAAAGTAGACTTGCTCTGCGATTGAGCAGAGAGGAGTCGGAAACTGAAGTTCGCGCGCCCTTAGTGTGATGATGCTCTGAATTGGCTGTTAGTATCGTCAACGTGTCAAGCAAGAGATGTTCCCTTACTGTGTCCTTCAGGATGATGGTGACCGCACTCGCACCTGGGAAGTAGTCTTCTTTCAATGTCCTCTGCGTCCTGTTCTCAAACATCCAACTCCACGCATCGCCCCCAATCACCGTCTCACTAACATCCTTTCCATTCAGTCCTAACCTTGCACCAAAGCCGTACGCCTCGCTAACAGCCAAGATCTGAATCGCCGCAAGCACCTGATGCACCATCTTCATATTACTTCCCTGCCCAATCCCACCATCTACAATGAACAGCTTGGAAGGCGCACTCATCTCAGCAAGCAGCCACTTCCCCTTCTCGAATGCCGCGTCTGATGCACCCGCCATGATCGTCAGCGTACCGTCAGCCGCGCGCCCCGCCCCTCCAGAGACTGGCGCATCGATGAAGAAAATATCATCGCGGCCGATGTCCTTGAGTTCCTTCTCGACGCTCTGGGCGTAGCTGCTCGGCACCGTGCTGGTCAGCAGAAGCGTTGCGCCCTGAGGCAGCGACTTGACGATGCCGTCGTCAGCGAAGAGTGCGGGCTGAGCCTGTATGGCCGAGGCGACCATGACGATGTAGAAGGGCTTGTCTTTTGCGGATTCCGAGAGTGAGGTTGAGGGGATGCCGCCTGCTTTCTGGAACTTATCGAGCGAGGGAGGGTAAACGTCGAAGCCGGTCACTGAATAACCTTGCTTGACGAGGTTGGTAGCCATCCCTAGACCCATGGCTCCGAGGCCGCAGAAACCGATTGCTGGTTTGGACATCTTGATGATGTAGTTGGGTTAGGTGATGTGGTGGTTGATAAGGGCCCAGTGATTATTTGTTGCACTGTGTTGGTGATCTTCGGCTTGCCCCTTGCTCTTGCTTCTTCTGGGTGCGGTGATGAGGTTTGAAACTGTCGTGTAATGTACTCTGTGGTTGAGGACTCGACGTTGTATGTATAGCACAAACACGAGCCTCAACCACGATTTACTCCCCACAAGTCCCGGCCCGATGATATTCCAAGGCCAGTTTACCGGCACAAGTGGCTCTCTTCGTGGTTGAAGTGTGATGCCATTCGTCTAGAAACCCCGCACTAGCCGCGAGCGTGGATGGCGGGGTAGTAGTCTAGGGTCTCGCCGATTGTTTTCGGCAAATGTCACCAGTTCGGCGTTTGACCGAAACGAAAACTCGTCGAGAAGGCCGTAGCTCGGCACATCCACCGAGAGAATCAATAACATCGTTCTGAGCGATTGATCGGATGGGGAAGTCCGAGACACGAGTCTGACACTGCCAAGGCAAGCTCACATCGTTTCAAGTGATGTCGTGAAAATGCTGAGGCGACTTTGCGACTCTTGTTAAGATACTACAAGCTCTAAGCTACATTCACGATGACACTCCCGGTCTGCAGTCCAGTACCACTAGCTGTCACAGTAACAGCCCCTGACTCTCCTTTCTTGGCCTTCACGATAGCCAAAGCCAACCCACTGAACGCCTTCCTCTCCAACGAAGGGAACGGCGTGAGGTCTGCCGAGTTGCCGTTATCGGTGGCTACAATCTCACCGGGGCCGGAAACCGAAAATGTAACCGCATCATAGTTGTCGCGTACAACATCTCCCTTCGCGTCGAGAACCTCAAGAGTCACGAAAGATAAGTCTTTACCGTCAGCTGCAATGGCAGCTCGATCTGCTGTGAGCTGTAGTCGAGCAGCAGCACCAGTTGTTCGCACATTTGCGGTAGCCCACTCTGTCCCGTTGCGGTAGGCAACGACATGGAGTTCGCCTGGCTCGTAGACGATATCATTCCAACGGAGGCGGTACTCATACTCGCCTTTCTTCTTTCTACCCAGAGACTTGCCGTTCATGAAGAGCTCAGCTTCGTCTCCCGAAGTGAAAACGTGTACAGGTGTGATCTGGCCGACACGATCAGGCCAATTCCAGTGCGGCAAGATGTGCGCCATTCTCAGATCTGGACGCCATTTCGACTGGTACAGGTAGTAACGATCCTTGGGGAAGCCAGCAAGATCAATGATACCGTAGTAGGAACTCTTTGCCGAATAGTAGGGTTCGGGTTCACCAATGTAGTCCCAGCCAGACCACACAAATTCCCCGGCAACGAACGGGTGCGAGTCCTGTGCGGCAAAGACCTTGTCTACAGAGGAGCCGAAATTTGCCGTATGCAATTCGTAGGAGCTGACTTGCAGGCTTGTTGAGTTGCCGCCAGAGGTATTGTTGACTGGCGCTGAGATCAAGTCCGTAACCGGGAAGATGTATGTACCCCGCGAACTTAATTGAGCTGCAGCCTCACTGGTTTGAAGCAACTTGTCCGGGAACTTGTCGTGGAAAGGTTGATACTGAGGTGGAGTGCGAGTGCCGTTGGTGTTGGAATAGGCAGGTGTGTCTCTGATGCCTTCGCCTTGGTAATTGAGACTGAGTATACCAAGATTCTCTGGGAATGTCTGATTAGGCTTTGCTACATTCATTGATGCTGTCGAGGGTCTTGTGGGATCCTCCTCAGCCACGATGGCGTTGAGTTCTTTTCCGATCTCGAAGCCCCGCTCGCCACAGCATGTCTGCTCGCCGACTTCGTTGCCAATGCTCCAAGCATAGATGGAAGGGTGGTTGCGATCACGTCTGATCATGGACCGTAAATCAGCCTCATGCCACTCGGGGAAGATAAGATGGAAATCGTTGTCGGTCTTCTTACGCTCCCAGGAGTCGAAGACCTCGTCCACCACCAGGAAACCCATCCGGTCTGTTAGATGCAATAGCTCTGGGGCTGGTGGGTTATGAGACATCCGAACAGCATTTACACCAAGCTCATGCAGATGCTCAAGTTGACGTTCGGCGGCACGAGTATTAAAGGCCATACCGATGGCCCCCAAGTCTGAGTGCTGGTTCACACCCTGGATACGAATACGCTCGCCGTTAACGTAGAGACCATCACCCTTGTAGGTGATGGCGCGGATACCAAACGAGGTCTCATAAGTGTCGATCGGAGTGGTTGTGCCATTGGTGAAAAGGTGGGTCTTAACGGTGTAGAGGTTGGGCTTTTGTGTAGGTGGCGGACCCCAAAGTCGAGGACTGTCGATGGAGACCGAGGTATCGATGATCCCACTACCAGAGGATAAAGTAATCGTGGATCGAGGGAATTCGGCCACCTTTTCTCCATCTTTCGTGTAAACTTCCGTGACAACATCGACCTTGCGGTCTGCATCGCCTTTGACTTGCACCGTCAGATCCAATGTCGCAGACTTGGAGGACACATTCTTGGTCGTGATATAGGTTCCCCAGTGAGCTACATGCGTGCTCTCAACTTTGGTCAGCCATATTGACCTATACAGGCCGCCACCAGGATACCACCTTGCCGAATCGATGGGATTGTCCTGACTGTGTCAGTGCTGCCATAGGAGGGGTTTTCTAGTTTGAAACATACCAAGCGGATCGCCAGATGATTGTCGCCACCACCCACCTTCAGGAATGGTGTAAGATCAAGACGAAATGAGTTGTAGCCATACGGCCAACCACCAACCAGGTTTCCGTTGAGCCAGACGATAGCGTACGACTGAGCTCCGTCAATATCGAGATACACCACCTTCTTCGTATCTTCCGCAGTCAAGGTGAGTTTCTTTCTGTACCAACCGACGCCCTGAATGGGCAATCTACCCATACCGCCGGTCACTGGCACGTCATCGCCTTCGTAGAACGGTCCATTGATCGCCCAATCGTGCGGCAAGGTGACACTCTCCCATTTGCTGTCGTCAAAGGTGTTTTGAGTGTACGAGATGTTGGTCGGTGGACTTTCCGAAGGAGCTTGATAGTGCTTCGACGGGTCCACAATGAAGTCGTTCGCGGAAGGCAGAATGTAAGGTCTCAGGTAGGTCACCCCTTGCTGAGGTGTATCTGTTCGGTTGTCGTAGGTGATGCCATCCGGATTGGTCTCAGATCGCCAGAAGCGCCAATTATCGTTAATGCTGATGCGCTGGCGACCAGTGGGCTGTGTTTGATACTGGCGAGGTTGGATTACATGTCCTGCAGTCAAATACTGGAACAGGCAGGAGCTTAGCAGTACGCAGAGCCGAATAGCAGGAGCCATCGTAGCTTATTGGACTTGCATAAGGAATATCCTGCATCGGCATGTAGGTATTAACACTCTTATACGGACGAGGAAATCCTTCCACAACCATTCGACTTCGCCAACATGATGTCGTATTCGGAGTGCACCTCACCACCTGCTCAATGTACATGCCTGTACATGCCCGAACAGCCTGTGGCATGGCAATTTAGCCTATTTGACGATCCCGTGTACCGTAAATTAGGTACAGGAACAACACATCCCGTGTCTAAGCGGCTTCATCTCGGCCACATCTTATTCCCTTCTACTTTCTGATCTGCGGTGGCGCCAAGGAAGAGATGCGCAGCCCTTCAAAGAAATGCCCATATCTTCGTTTCACATGGAAACAAAAGACACCTGGTCAGTGTTTGAGGTTCAAAGAGTACTCTTCGAATCAATGCGCAAAGTTTGACTGAATGATGTTGTGATGGACGGAGCCAGGGCGTCGGCGAATTGTGAGCCGAGACCGCTTCTCGTTCTCCGCAATTCTTCCCGCTGCTGCCCAGCGTCTTCCCCGCTCAACCATCATCGCGTCACACTATATTACCATCCGGAAAACACACGACGAATTTGAAAAGCTCGTCATGCCTTATTATCCGGTGCTCCAGCAATTAATCGTTCCTTCGCTCAGCACGAGCGTGCTATAGGTATATCTAATGCGGATGACGTGAGGACAAGTCCTCTCGCTCAGGTCCTTGAAGTCTTCCATCCTCACGTTTGGTCCCGTCTTGAGCGCATTCCTCATGTTGTAGCCGCCGACGAGCATGAGACTAACGTGGTGTATGCCCTCCAGATTACTCGTGCAATCGCACGCGCCACCAAAAAAAATAGCGTCGCCTTCCCTTTCGTCTGCAAACTTGACTTTCCTAGCATCTTGTCAGATTAATTCCGGGTAGTCAAGATGTCCTCCTTGTACGTGAGGTTGCTTTTGGACGTACAATACATACTGCGCGTCACCCGCACACCCTCCGAGAAGAGGTTTTTCCAGTGACCTGGCAGACGGCCCAAGAGTCCAGGCCTGAGCAGTCATAGCTGCCTCCTGTTGCTCCTTTACAGCTACCGTCTCCCCAATGGTCTCGGAGACGTCAGCATTTGACTCTACAGGACGCTCGATGACCAACCTACAAGGTTAGAAATGGTCTTGACAGGTGTAATTTCGGGCGATCCAGATGCGAGATGAGTATACATGTAATTCTATGCCAGTTACGAGGTTCGTCTCAGGTGCAAGCCACCTCATCGGGTGACAGGACCAGAACAGTATCCGAAAGGGATGCACGTCAGTGTCAACAATAAAATCATCCAGGCTGATACGACTCGGCTCATCAAAGATGACGTGAAAGTACTTCAACCTCTTTGCCATCCATACAATCTCCATATTATCGTCCTCCTCAGGCAGGCTCATGATATCGCAATTCGCAGCTTTGGCAAACTTCGTCCGAGTGTTGTTGTCGGTCTCCTGGAACATTTTCAGGACATATCGACTATTTCCGATCTCACTTAATGGGCTTGGTTTTGATGTCGCACCGGCACTAGGCAGATACTCACACTCCCGCAGTGATGGACAAGGATCCATCCGCAAAAGCTCAAGCATAATACCGTTGGGTGCGTTTTCGTACGTCCAAGCGCAGCTATTAGCAAACCTCCGACCAGTCTCAAAGTGGGCCTGGTTGTCGATCAACTGGCCACCAAGAGCGAGCACACTTCCGGCAAAGCAGATCAGGTGCTGCCCGATACTCTCAATCCGGCCTTCATTATTGCCAGTCGCCAGCAGTGTGTCGGAGTACTCGTACATCGTACGGGATTGAGCCCCTCCAGATCCCACACCACTCAATAGTTGGTACATCTTCGGAGGGTCCTTGTATGTTAAACCAGCGATGGCAACCAAGGTGAAGCTGAAGATTGCTTCGCTCCGATCCTCCCTAAGATGGCAGTCGCTCCTATCCAGCCGGGTGAAAGTGATGATACCACAGACCCAGTCCCATCCCGATGAATCTGTGATGCGTTGCCCAGCAGTCTGCCGCACAAGGGAAGTCCGCTTTTTGCGTCGTTTACTGAAGTCAAATAGGCGAATATTCGCACCAGCACTAGCTTCGCCATCTCCCTTATATGCTCCCACCGCTTCCGCACGACTTTCGGAAGCTGATCTAACGCTTCCACCTCTGGAGAGCTTGGATTTGGTTTCAACTGCTGCAGTGGCATGGGTGAAAGGTACCTGTGTTCCTATACAGTGCTGGGGGCCAGAGCCCAACTGCAGTGCCCCACGATCATCGACAGAAAGACACGGCGGTTCCTTGCCGAGACAGTGCTGCCGTAGACAACTTGGGAAAAGATTGGACGGCCCGAGAAGAAAGCCCCGATCTCAGCCACAGAAAGCGAAGTTCTTTGTCCCACATTTGAATTCTGCGAGAAGCTAGGAGTGCGATCTCAACCACTATTAGATGCAAAGAAACGATATTGCCTGATAAGGAAGGTCTTCTTCAGGTGCTATTTACTGAGTAGATTGCGTGCAAGGTTGCACTGAAAACCGCCAGGCGTCTGCATCAAAAGTGAGAAAGGAGTGGATGCTAAACCTGGCTGTCCTCACCGCAGCTGCCGGTTTACGCAACTCCTAGCCAGCGTTGATTGCTATGACTTTTGGCGAGCTTACTGCTTTGAGTTTGTTGTTGTAGTGACGGCGGCGAGTCGAAAGAGTGAAAGCCATACAATACAGCATGATCCAAGCACGTCGAGCCACTCCCAGTAAAAAGACTCATTGAACTGTCTGCGGAAATATCCATTGCAGTCTTCAATTCATCTACGTGTATTATGCAATATCAGATCTACTGATGCATCGCCGCTGAAGCGTTTCGCTTTTCGAACAAAGGAGAGATTAGACTACTCAACACGCTTCTTGCCCTCCTCCAAGCCCAGCAGCCTGGCATCACTCTTGCCTCGCTCGTGCTTCGTGCCAATTAGAGAGCCGACTACGGGATTGTGCGAGACTTTGGTAAGGCTAGATTGGTAGGCTTCGACTTGGTGCGGGAGGCGGTTGAGTTTGGGCCAGTTGACCTGCTCGTGATTAGCATACACTCCACATAGAATATGTCGGATTTGCAACTTGCATAAAGCGTGCCGTTAGCCCATATGAAATTCAAACAAGCGCCTGCAGTCGCCAGGCTAAGAACAAGGAGAAGGCGTAGTGGCCAAATAGCAGCATCTGGTGCGCGGCGAGTGAAAGTGCCAACGAGAATGAAGAAGATGCTGGCAGCAAGAATGTAGGGTATCGACTGAATGAAGATAGGCCTTCGGTCGGCAAAAAGAAGCTGCCCACCGATTGCAGAGTCGCTGGGCAGGTAGTTGCCCAAGAACAGATCAAATGCGTCCTGCCTGGGTCCGTCGCTGAAGTTGTTGAGGCAGTAACGTGTGATGGAGTTGTTGAGATCCTGAAGTGCGCCACCTTTGGTCCGAACACCGAGACGTGTAAAGTCGGTCTTGAGCGCGCCAGTACCGGAGTAGGACTTCGAGACAACATCCGCGTTATCAGCCCATACATTGCGGAACAGGAACTCGAAGGCCTTGTCCTCTTCTGCGCTCTCACCTTCATGCATCAAGTCAAGGTCGATGAGCATGCGCGAGAGGATGTATCGTCCGATCATGCTCTGCACAACGTTTGTACGGTCAAGGCAGTCCATACAGTTCGTACGAACAACAGCGGTCTGGTGACGCCTGACCTCGACACGGCTGCCATCACCAGGCATGTCCACAGCCCGGAAGTAGCCGTGCTTCAATACATGCGGTTCCAACTGATCCATCAACAACTTCGCTCGGTCCCATCGCAGACCCTTTGTCTCTGTGTGGAAGTCGAAGTAGACGTAGTGGAGGCGGTCCCAGACGGTCTGGGCGTTTGCGGGCTCGACGATATGGAACTTCTCTTCGGTAATCCTGTCACCTTCAACATTCTCGTTTGGCGATGTCAGCAGAGAATTGACCATTTCCTCATATGCCTCCTTGACTCGCTGCTCGCGTCCCTTCTGGTTGACCAGGTTGACCATCCAGTTGTCACCGTACAGCCTGATTTGCTCCGCAAAGTGCTTCTTGGCTGCGGGGATGGCTGACTCAACACCACGAACCTGCAGCTTCGGTGTGTACTTGAGGGTGTTGATCTCAGCCCAGTAGACCGGAACACTGCCTCGGGTCTGAACGTATGCAAGGATCTGCGTCTCCTTGCCGGGGAGCGCGTTTGCTGTCCCGTTCTGATTCGACCCAAAGCCCCCTGGCCCGCCTGATGCGCTGTCGTTGAGTATGATGGCCTGCTCTGTCTCGTTGAAGTTGGACACATTGCCGTTCTCGTCAATACCGCGCGAGAAGTATCGTGTCCCTGCCTTAAGTCGTGACCTTCTTGTGATCAGGATGAAGGTAAGAGGTGTGCCCTTGATCGAAGTGTTCTTGATCTCCATCATTCCGTACATGACAGGCAGGATGAAGGGGTCGACATCTGGCGACTGGCCGCTCGAGTGCCTGCCATAGCCGGTACTCAGTCCTCCACGGAAGTCAACAAGGTCGCTGGACACGAAGCGGTTCCAGAAGAAGCGGTCATCTGCGCGCTTCCAGAGCGGTATCGAGGGATCGAGGTGAGCTTGGCGCTGGAAGCTGTTTGTGATATCGAAGGAGTAGGAGAAAAACAGCGGTGATGTCTTGATCAGCGTCTTAAGCAGAGACTGGTAGTTGTCCTCGTCAGGGTCGTGCAGTGGGCGCTCGCGCAGCGGCAGGAACTCAGTAGCAACGACCTTGTAAATCATGTGGCCCTTTATCCTGCCCATGGGCTGGGCCTTGGTAATGACGATAATGTACTTGTCTTCACATGCATCAGCCGGCCTGTCCACAAGAGCTCCGAGGGGCATCTACCTAGTCGCAGCTTGATGATACCAAGAATGCCGGCAATGCTGGACACCCTTTTCGAGCCCAGCAGCTTGCCATCGTGCAAACGAACGTCACCAGAAGGCCGGTCTACCACCAATGTCGGCGCAGTGGGCGAGGACGGGGAGGAGAAGGCGTAGTGCGAGGGGGACGAGTGCACATTGATGTCGCGGTACGGCAGAACGGCGCCCATTGCGGCGGTCGCAGAAGGTATTCGGACTGCAGGAAAGAGCGCAACGTTGCTGAGGTCGAGTTGGTGTTGCAGCGTGGAGGCCCGAGTGTGGCGCTTTCGACAGGCGTGGGCGCAATGTTAGCCACGGAGCGTCGCGGCCACGAAGCTGGAGCGCTGGAGCGTTTCGTCATCTTGCCGGGCCAACGCCAAGCCCGCAGCGACCCCGTCACAGGGCAACGACCTTAATCGCTCTTGCACGTTCAACAGCACATCTGAAAGACCCGCACCACCGCTCTCGCTCCCCGCATCTTCCGAGCCTGCCTCTCTTCCCTACCGCACATTTCCTTCCGAACACCTCCTGGTAGCGCCCTACCACCCTTAGACCAACATGTCGCAGAGAGTACAGCAAGGCGGCCGTCCTGGCGGATCCAGGTTCGCACAGTTCAAGCTGGTGCTGCTCGGTGTGTATACACGTCTGGATCTTACTCTGTATGCACGTGACTGACAATGCGCAGGTGAATCTGCTGTTGGAAAGGTATGCAGCCCTATAAGGGCAGCCACGACATGAACTAACATGTGCAGTCGTCGCTGGTTTTGCGATTCGTGAAGGTGAGCCCTCCGGGAGCTAGTATATCATCTCAGCCTGACATTCTGCCAGGACCAATTCGACGACTACAGAGAATCGACCATCGGCGCCGCCTTTCTTACCCAGACCATCGCCCTCGACGAAAACACAACAGTCAAGTTTGAGATCTGGGATACCGCCGGCCAGGAGCGCTACAAGTCGCTGGCCCCCATGTACTACAGGAACGCAAATTGCGCCGTCGTTGTTTATGATATCACACAAGCTGTATGATGCATCACGCGAGGTATTTGATTTGGGCAGGTGCTAATACCACACAGGCCTCGCTCGATAAGGCAAAAGCATGGGTCAAGGAGCTTCAGCGCCAGGCCAATGAGAACATCATCATCGCCCTCGCTGGCAACAAGCTTGACTTAGTCACCGAGTCGCCCGACAAGCGCGCCATTACTACCGCCGACGCTGAGCAATACGCACGCGAAGCCGGCCTCCTTTTCTTCGAGACATCCGCCAAGACAAGCGAGAATGTCCGCGAACTCTTCACCGCCATCGCAAAGAAGCTACCGCTCGACCAGGCCGGCCCACGAAACTTGAGGCCCGGCCAGCAAAGACAGGGCGTCAACCTCAGGCCGGAGGCGAACCAGACACAGGGACCTGCAGGCTGCAACTGTTAGTGAGAGGGATCACCTATTTGCTTTGTAGGTATAGCGCTCGTTATGCGACATTCAACAAGGAGCGATACCATTTTGTTGCTGCTTCCTCGTATCAGTCCGTCTGATCTTCACTTGTAGGGTACGTTTGGAACCCGGCGTTCCGGCTTTGCTATGCGTTAAGAGATGAGCTTCGGGGCCACCTGACAATTTTAATTATAATGATTCCGCTGCCCCTTTCGTTTACCGCACAGTACGGCCAGACTCCTTCCTACGCTGTTGCTATCCGCGTTATCAGACCACCTCCCTGCTTCTCTTCTATTTGCTCTATCTCGTGCTCTCTGATTCTCCTCTCATCCAACCATTGTCTTCCAGTCGAGCTTCCATCCGTTAGGCCTCTTGTAGCACTTTCCCCACTGGCTCACCGTGACATTCTGGCGCTGGGGATTCATGCCCTCATTCCATACAGCGGGCTCACTCGCTGTAACCGTCATTGTTGTTTCCCCATACGTCCACCGACGCTTGATATCCACGCTCGTCAAGTCCTGACCAAACCTGAACATCACCCTCTCGTTCTCGGCGGAGACAGTACAGTTGTACCATACATTGGGATCGCACAGCGTCTCACTTGTCGTCGTCCAGCATGTGGCGCTCCAGTCCGCGACGGAAGGGAACATGGAGACTTCAAATATGGCGCGCGATTTCATGGAGCCCTTATACAAAGGAAAAGGCATCCACACCTCAAAGGATTGGACCAGGAACGAGGACGGGGCTGCCCTGGGTGCTTGGGCGGCAGCAGCTGGCTCGCCGGCGCGGATGTCTACGGTTCTGGATACGTCCGTGTTTGTGACATCCGCGGAGGGGGCGCAAGCAGCGAGAGATAGCAGAGCCAGGATGACTGTGGAGAGGTGGAAACGCATCGTGGCGATTGTGGTGGTTGATGGGCTTGGAGGAGTGGGTGGGTGAAGCTGATGGGCGTTCAAAGCATTGCCAGGTTCCGCTTCTTATGCTGTATATGCTCTTACCTTGCTGCGGTCCAGTCTAGTTGTCCAAGGTGGTGTGCGTGTCGTGCGTTGCCGCGATTTGGCCAGTGACTGTTGGTGGCTGAGAGCTGTATGCGCACTGGTAGTGCCAGGTCAGTATGTTCTTGGTGCATGCGGTAATTGTCTTTTGATGGAAACAGCAGTAGGTGAGGATCTGTGCGTCACTCTTCGGTCAGTAGTGAGTTTTCGGTCTAGTTGACTTGCTCTTGTACCTGGGACGCTCAAGGCTTTGTACTCACTTCCTCTTCCAGAACTTGATCTACGGCTTAGCCACGTCAAACATATCCTGTGAAAGATCCGTACGTTCGGCACAGGTCGCAGTCTCCCATGGTATCGCTAGCAGCCAGGTCGCGAGTTACACCACGAACTGGTACGGTGTTAACGATAGCCGGTATGGTGTGACGGAAAAACGTGGTGGCCATGCAAGGTACTTGTCAAGACGAGGCTAGGAGAGGAGTGATTGCTGCGTTTGCACAGAAGGGTACCCGTGACTGTTCACGGACGTAGCCGGGCGGTAGACGGGTATCCGGATTGTCGGTAGCCTCAGTGACTGAGATTGTGTCTATCCGTGCCGCTGTCATGCTTTGCTGCGCATGGGGCGGAGTACAGCTCTGATCGATCTGAGATAGCTATTGGTCCTTCTTGAAAGCTACATCAAGCTCGGCTGACATTGATGCAAGAAACTGCACTTGGCACCAGGAGGCTACCAGTACCAAAGTGGAGGTACTGCCTCTTTGGAAGACGACTCAGATACATGTGTAAGGTATGACATGAGACACGTATCGGGTTTCTGCGCACGGGTGATATTGATTGAGTGGAGACATGATGAGAATGATCCCTCGATTTTCTTAGCGTATAGAACGCTGTGCAAGCCCGTGCCTGCGCAGCCAAAGAGAAAGGGTGTGACGTCACTGCTCGGTTTGGAAGCTACAGCCCAGATCACGCTCATGCTGTCGTCTTGTATAACTGCGTGAGCAGTGTCGGTCAGAGACTGTGATCAACGATTGTATTGCTATCTGTTGTCGTGTGTGTGTGTTCTGCTACAGGAGCTCTCAGCTCTAAGGTAAGTGCACTTGCCCACCGGCCAGTGCCTGCTACAATAGGATATCATGTGATCTAAGCCACATGGTTACATCTTGTCTTGAGGAATACTCGAGAAACACAAGCAAAGCTCCCACATTGATCCTCGCGGGCTGGCAGACATATCAATGGGAAGAGTACCTTATTCAATGCTGAGCCGTTAAACGGAGTCTGAGACCTCTATCCCAGTCGAATAGTCAGGGATAAGAAACACACCTGAACAGTGAAACACAGTGTTGGCGCACATTCTACTATAAAGCTCCCGTTATTCTCACACCAAGCTCAAATCTACAACTTGCTTCGACTGAAACGCCATGGCATCACAAGTTTCGAACCCAGAGCGTCCGCCGCCGTGCGGACATCTTCCGTCTGAGATCGAGTCGGCAGACCAGCAAAAGAGTACAACCACCACACACTTTCCAGAGCTACTCAATCCAGCACCGGGGCTAGAGTCGATCACATCTCCTCAGTAGACAGCTTGGCCTAAAGACGGAACTGGGCTACTGCTACACCCCCTTCGAATTCGTAGCGCGCTCGAGCCAGATCACGAACCATCACATTTGTCTGCTGAAAACAACGTCGTCAGTCTTGCTGTCGTAAGGACCTTGCTCAACATGAGTGAGCTGGAATGGCAATTGCGAAATGCTGCCTCGGACGCAGCTCTTGTCTCTATATGGGAGTCCGAGCTGCGCGAAAGCGTTCAGAAAAGCGTTGTCTCAATGCGTAGGTGGAACCGCAGCCTCTACCGCCCTCGTGAGCTTGCAGCTCGATCTTCTGATATCGAGCCCAAGTTACACTATTGGGAGACCCACTAGGAGAATGTTGGTAAGTCGGCTGCGTAGAGTGGATGCTCAAGGTAGCACTTCGTCAGCATCCGGAGAACGCCGTGATTCTCACCTTCTATGTTGGATGTGCAACTTCTGCTACGTAGAAGTATGGCTAGAAGATTAATCGAGCGCAGTGTAGACTGAAGTTTTTTCCATGTTTACCCGTCTCTTTCTCAATACATGGTCTGTCTTCAGATTTTTGGAAATGAGTCTGACTGGGTAGTCAAATGCATGTAATGACATCCTACAGAATTAGATGTGCAAGTATTAGACGCATTGCAGTCTGCTAGAGTCATGCGTTAGCTTGGGACAGGGAGTGCGAAGAGTCGTGCAGACTGTAGCTTCAACATGATTAGGACAGTTGAGCTCTCTTCCCAGCAGGAAATGAGGTCGTGAGTACAAATGGAGCGATAACACGCGACCCCGACGTTAGCACCAGTGGCTAGTAGCGGTCCACAGCCCGTAATTATGTCGTGCGCAACCGGGTGTTCTCGCGCAGTGTAAAACTATGGATTGAAGAGGAAGGTAGGGTGCCTGAACCTGTATCGTTCTCCATGTCGTCTTCCGTGTCCTTGGTCAAAGTACCTGCAGCAGAGGGAGGTGGAGTATCGGTGCTAGCGCAAACTAGCGCCCAAAGCAGAAGGTGCGGACGCTCTTGACAGCGATAAGTCCCAACCAAGCCCTCTTCAAGCATGTCATTGCCGCTAAAATATGCGCTTAAGCTTCCATTCGAGAGCTTGGTTGTTCTTGGAAGGTGTGACTGTGGGGCAATCTCGTTCGGCCGCTCCTACAACGATGCTTGTTATGGGGAGGCTGGGCGCGCGGATCGAATAGTGCTGCGGGTCCATGGTCTTCGAGAGATAAATAGCAGTCGGGTCCCCTTCATGGGTTGGTGTTCGTCTTTCAATCTTGTACGTGACCTCTACCTTTCATCATGCAGATCAAGTCCGCTTTCGTGGCTGCGGCCATTCTCGCCTTTTGTGATGCGCTTACGACTCCCCTCAGCGCACGCTCACCGTACGTCGTGAAGGAGACCCACTATGTGCCTAAGGAGTGGCAGAAGCAAGATCGTGCTCATGGAAGAAAGACCATCTCCCTCCAGATTGGTCTGAAGCAGGGCCGCTTCGAGGAGCTTGACCGTCACCTCCACGAGGGTAAGAATGTCACGTGAAGCACGCTATATTCAAAATCGCTGATTGCGACCAGTTTCTGACCCTGATCATGCTCGTTACGGTCAGCACTTGACCGCTGAAGAGGTTGATGAGCTCATCAGGCCCTCTTCTCAGACACACGACCTTGTGCACGATTGGCTCCAGGAGAACGGCATTGAGATTGAGAACCTGAGCTACAGCGCCGCCAAGGATTGGATCGTTGTGCGTTTGCCCATTGAGCAGGTCGAAAAGCTCATTGAAACCGAGTACCACAACTACAAGCACCATGACGGCTCGGTTGTTGCTCGTGCTACAAGCTGGTCGCTTCCACGCAACCTGCACGACCACATCGACACCATTCAGCCTACCACTTCGTTCTTCCGCGCTGAGAAGAACATCGCTACCTACCTTGAGGGTGGCGCTGAGATTCCTCAGGGCTACCAGGTCCCTTCCAACCAGACCATTGCTGCTGTTTGCAATGCAACCTCAGTTACCCCTCAGTGCTTCGAGACCCTTTACCAGACCAAGGGCTACAAGCCCAAGGCCCTCGACAAGAACAACGTTGCATTCAACAACTTCCTTGGCGAGGTCCCTATTCGCCCGGATGGAAAGCTTTTCCTCGAGAAGTTCCGTCCTGAGTCTGTAGCCCAGGCGGCAAACTTCAAGCAGATCTCTATCGCCAACGGCCCAGTTCAGGATGGTCCTCTGAGCGCCAACCAGACTGCTAATGGCCTCAGCCGGGAGGCCAATCTGGACTTCCAGGCCATTGCTGGTATCGACTACGGCACACGTATCATCAGTTACTCGACCGGTGGCTCACCCCCATTCATCCCGGATCTCTCGACTCCAGAAAACACGAACGAGCCCTACCTGGTCTGGGTCAACTACCTGCTCTCACAGAAGGATCTTCCCAAGATCGTCTCCACCTCTTATGGTGACTCTGAGCAGACAGTTCCCCGCTCATACGCTGAGCGTGTCTGCAAACAGTTCGCTCAGGCAGGTGCCCGCGGTACCACTCTCTTCTTCTCCTCTGGTGACAGCGGTCTTGGTGGTACCGACAAGTGCTTCACCAACGATGGCAAGAAAACCTACCAATTCAACCCTGATTTCCCCGCCTCTTGCCCATACGTTACCGCCGTTGGCGCTACCATGAACTTCGCTCCCGAGGAGGCTGTCTACCGGGCCGGTCGCAACACCTCTTCTGGCTTCCGCGACCTTTACGCTGGTGGATCCGGCTTCAGCAACTACTTTGACCGACCCACATGGCAGGGCAACGTCGTTCCTCAGTACATCAAGCAACTTGACGGCCTGTACGACGGCCTGTACAACAAGACGGGTCGTGCGTATCCCGATCTTGCTGCCCAGGGTTTGTACTTCGCCTACTTCTGGAACGGCACACAAGGCACCATTTCTGGTACCTCTGCCTCCACTCCTCTCACTGCCGGTATCTTCTCACTCGTCAACGATGCTCTGATTGCTAGCGGTAAGCCTGCTCTCGGTTTCATCAACCCCTGGCTTTACAAGAAGGGATACAAGGGCCTGAACGACATCCTTAAGGGTACCAGCCACGGCTGCAACGTTGACGGCTTCCCGGCTACTGAGGGCTGGGACCCTGTCACCGGCTGGGGAACACCGAACTTCCCCAAGCTGCTCAAGGCCGTTGGTGCGAAGATCCACTGAAGCATTCGATTTAGCGGAGCGTGTTGCGTTGGGTGTGTGTGTGTAGTTCATGTAAACGAGACCGAGATGTGGCATGCTTGATGGTATATAGCGACGAATAGTGTCCAATTATGAACAACAGAAGCTACTTCGTGTACGCCATACAATTATACTTTAAATACCCTAGCGGATGAGAATACATACTTCAACAGTGATTCGGGCACGCTCAGACTCTTTCCAGAGACGTAGAGAAGGGGTTTCAACCGTCTAATCCGCCGTTCGATGTGGCCACGTCAGGATTGGGGTAGTACCAGGATGCGACCGCTACGATAATATACACGATCTAATCAATAGTCAGACTGCAGCTTGCATGTACGTTGATAGTACTTACGACAAGGAGTGCGCCCTCCAAGTAATTGGACTCGCCATCACGCAGGAAGTTGCCAACCACGACAATGGAGAGCACAAGCAACACGATCATGAAGATCTCGAAGTTAAGGTCCATGTCTTTGCCGAGAGCCCATCCGACTACAACAGCGAGAGGAGCGTTGAACAGGGCAGTCTGGATTGAAGGGCCGATGCAGTGGAAGAGTGCGAAGTTCTGAGAGCTATTAGTTAGGCATTGCGGAAGTGCGTAGTTCGGCTCACGATCTGGCCATCCCAAGCCTCGTCAACGGCAGTCAGATGCTCTGCAGCCTTCTCGACCAAAGGAAGCATGATAAGACCAAGGAACTGATCGGGTATGCCGGCTTCGACAACATCTTCAATGCGCACCACCAAGAAGACTGCCAGCATCGTCACAATGGCGAGCGACAAGACGATGGCAATAATGCACTCTGTAAAGGTAAACTTAGGCTTTGCGACGTCTTCGTGATGATCAAGATCGGCGTGCTCATCGGCTTCAAGGACTTCGTCGAAGATGGAGTGTTGCGACCTGACATTATAGAATATGAAGCTATTACGATCAGTGTCGATCATATCACTGAGAGCTTGTCCAGCTTACATGGCGAAGGCAACCATCAACATAATTGAGGTGATCTGACTGATCCTAAGGACGTTGTGCTGCAAAATCTTCTCGGTGAATTCGTGATGTTTGGTCGCTTTCTGGACAGCAGAGCCTTTCAGGGCGGAATAGTATGCGCTTGGGATCAGCAGACCAAACCCTGCCACAAGTAGCAGTCCGCTTCCCACTTCACTGATCGATGCGTGGAATTTCTGCCTTGCCTGTCGCAGACCACCGACAAAGAAGCAAAGTCCAAGGCAAAGTAGCAAGTTGGTAAGGATCGAACCTAAGATGGCTGCTTGGATGACAGGAATGAGGTTGCCGTGTTCAGAAGAGCCTTCCGATGCTCTGTGCTTCGCGATCAGAATGATGAAGAGGATGATCTCAACGATTGAACCAAAGGCCGTCTCAATAAGGATGCCAGACACCTTGGGCATCTTCCGCGCATATTCCTGGCCAGCGAAACCGAGCAGGTTCGCGACCGGAATCATTGCGACATAGCTGAGCGCAAAGACGATAATTGGGTTGCTGGGGAAGGCGAAGTGCATAATGAAAGCTACAGGCACCATCGGCCAGAGCAAGTTGGTCCATTTTGCTGCATTGCTGCCAGATCTCCACGCTACTTGGACGAAGTGCGAGGCTTGGAAACCAGTACGGCCGCTCTCTCCATCAGGATGAATGTGTTGCGGCACGATGTGGTGCAGGAGGGGGGTGGATTCGGAATTGTGATGATTTGAAGGCATCGTGCCGGAAGTAGGGTTGTAAATTGAATCACAATGACGTGCAGAGGTCAAAGAATGAAAATGAGAGAAATTGCTGCTGTACATGTGGAAGGCGGAGGGGAAGCGCGAGGCCAAGCCCTCAGCCTCCTTCCAAGACCCAAAACCGGGAAGGCACAATGCTTTTTGGCGGCACAAATCTTGATCATCGCCAAACACCAACGCTCATCATCAGATGCATCGCGGAGAACATTGCGATAGCCGCTGAAGGCAACCCTTCCGCTGCATGACACCACGCTCTCTTGCGCACCCTTCTCGGCATCCGGAACGATGTTCGCCCAAGATGCCCCGCATTTATCCTTGTCTGGCGCCTCCCGTACCTGACAGATTATCCGGGGTCGTGTCCACATGCAGCGCTATGGACGGCAAATTAATGAGCCAGCAATAGGATCAACGACGTGACCGTATGGCGAAATGATCATCACTCTATCGTGCCGCTCGTCCTCAGAGCATGGGGCGATGTATAAGAAGCGCCCTTCAACCAGGATACACAGCACAGAAACCCAGCATGAGGTTCTCACAGCTCATTTGCGGCTTCCTTGCCCTGCTATTGGGGGCATACGCCACCGACAATGGCCTCCAGACAGTCGTGGAATGGGACAACGGTTCTTTGCAAGTCAACGGGGAGCGCGTCATCATCATGAGCGGAGAATTTCACTACGCTCGTCTCCCAGTTCCAGAACTGTGGCTAGACATCTTCCACAAATTCAGGGCCAATGGTATGAACACTGTGTCGATCTACTTTTTCTGGAGCTACCATTCTGCATCGAAGGGCACCTATGACTTCACTACACCTGGGAAGGACATCCAGCGTCTCTTCGATGCAGCAAAGGAAGCTGGGCTCTATGTCATTGCAAGGCCTGGCCCCTATATGAACGCTGAAACAAGCGGAGGTGGTTTCGCGCTTTGGACAAGCGATGGAAGTGGTGGCAACTATAGGACGTCCGACGAGACCTACCGACAGGCCTGGTCAGAGTGGATCGCCGAAGTTGGACCCATCATCGCGAAGAACCAGATCACCAACGGCGGTCCCGTCATCTTGACCCAAGTTGAAAACGAGTTGACGGAGTCGAAATACGACCCGAACAACACCTTGGTCATATACATGGAGCAGATCAAGCAAGCTTTCAAAGATGCAGGCCTGATTGTTCCTACGACACACAACGAGAAGGGCTTCCGAGGCAAAAGCTGGTCGACTGACTACAACAACGTCGGTGGGGCTGTAGACATCTACGGCCTGGACAGCTATGCAGGCGGTCTGAGCTGCACAAACCCTGATACTGGTGGAAGCGTCATCCGCACTTACTACCAATGGTTCCAGGAAGTCTCACCAACCCAGCCGGCCTACGTTCCCGAGTTTCGTGGTGGCTGGTTCCAGGCCTGGGGTGAACACTTCTTCGACGAATGCCAGTCGGATCTTAGCCCAGAATACCCTGATGTGTTCTACAAGGATGTTCTCGCCCAGCGCGTCACGCTCCTCAATCTGTACATGACCTATGGCGGAACCAATTGGGGTCACTTAGCAGCGCCTGTTGTAGGTCCATCTCAGTTCAAATGTATAACTGCTGGCTAATACTTATAGGTGTACACATCGTACGACTACGATGCATCGATTCGTGAGACTCGCGAGGTTCGCGACAAGTACAAGCAATACAAGCTGATTTCACTGTTCACTCGTGTCAGCAAGGGCCTCCATAACACCGTAATGGAGAGTAATGGCACGGGTAATGTCGTCAGCGCCCCAGATGTATTTACTTGGGTGCTGAAGAGCAAGGACAGTAATGGCAGATTCTACCTCACCGAGAAAAACGACACGAGGTCCAGGACTGTGACGGACTTCTCCCTTAATGTCAACACCTCGGTTGGTCAAGTGACTATCCCGAGTCTCCAACTGAACGGCAGACAAGCTCGGTGGGTTGTCACCGACTATGCCATTGGGAATGAGACTCTTCTCTATTCATCTGGGGAGGTGCTGACCTACGGAACTTTCGATCAGCCCGTGGTAGTACTCTACTTGAAGCAAGGACAGACTGGAGAGTTTGCCTTCAAGTCGCAGAGCAACATAACCTTCAGGTCTTACGGAGCAGACTCGAATTTTACGACGGCCTCTAGCAACATCTCAAGTTATGCCAGCTTCAAGTACAAGCAGGCAAAAGGGGTCACTGCTGTACAGTTCTCGAACGGTGTGCTTGCCTACCTTCTGGATGTCCCTACTGCGTGGACCTTCTTCGCTTCCCCCACCACCGCGAACCCTAACGTTACGCCCGACAGCCACATTTTCACGCTTGGACCCTACCTCGTCAGGACAGCCAGCGTTTCTCGTGATACTGTATCCCTGATTGGCGATAACGCCAACGCGACTACCATTGAGGTCTACGCCGGCAAGAGTGTCAGTAAAATCTGTTGGAATGGCAAAGAGCTGGCGACTGCGAAGACGCCCTACGGCAGTCTCACTGCCAAAATTACTGGCACCCAGGATCGTAAGATCGAGCTTCCTGTATTGACCGACTTCAAGGTCGCTGATTCGGCCCCTGAAATTTCACCATCCTTCGATGACAGTAATTGGATCGTGGCTGACAAGAACACGACGCTCAATAAGGTCAAGCCGTTAACTCTCCCAGTTCTTTACAGCAGTGACTACAAGTTCTACGCCGGCGCCAAGTTGTATCGTGGGTACTTTTCAGGAAAAGATGCTGCGTCTCTGAACCTCACGGTACAGGGTGGAGCTGCTGCAGGCTGGAACGCTTGGCTGAACGGACAGTCAATTGGCTACAATCCCGGAAATGCAACATTATGGGTCTCCAATGCGGTCATTCCATTCAAGAACGTCACGTTGAAGGATGAAGGCAATGTCTTGACTGTGGTGACCGACTACACGGGTCATGATCAAACATCCTATGGACCATCCGGAGCTCAGAACCCCCGAGGTATCTTGGGCGCGCAGCTCTTGAGCGCCAACAACACGAAGCTGAATTTCGATATGTGGAAGATTCAGGGTAATGCCGGTGGCGAGAAGAACATCGACCCCGTCCGTGGGCCCTTGAATGAGGGCGGGCTGTACGGAGAACGTCTTGGGTGGCATCTCCCTGGTTTCGATACAACCAGCTGGGAAAGCGCAAGCCCGACTGAGGATGGCGTCGAGGGAGCAGGCATCAAGTGGTACACGACGAACTTTGATTTGAACGTCGATAAGGATCTTGACGCTCCTATTGGTGTTGAGTTTGGTGCTGCTGCTGGAACGGTTGCTAGGGTGCAACTTTACGTCAACGGGTGAGCTCAACCCAGTCGAGAAAAGTCTCACACGATCTAACATATATGGCAGGTACCAGTATGGAAAGTACTTCCCGCACATCGGTCCTCAGACTCGGTACCCTATCCCACCAGGTATTCTCAACCCGCGGGGCTCAAACACACTGAGCGTTGCAGTATGGTCCCAGACTGATGCAGGCGCGAAGCTTAGCACTCTGCGGTTGATTTCGTATGCTAGTTATGAGAGCGGATTTGATTTCGCTGGGATTGACGGGAAGCAGCTGCAACCAAACTGGCAGGACCGATCACAGTACGCGTAGTAGATTGCGCCGGAGCGCTGTTCGCTCTGCCATACAATTCGACGTGACACTTTAAACACCTCAACCTTTCTCACTTTTCACACGAGACCGTCGACGATCGAACAAAAAGTATGTTCAACCAATCACTTGATTCGGGTCTGCCAAATGACGCGCCAAGTCGGTAGTAAACCGGCTTGGTCTTGTCAAGTGGTCGGTCACACCTTCCCTCATGATAGGACGAGTCACAACTACCAGCCACTACAGTCGTCGTTTCACTATTTTGACTGAATATGGCAATATTCATTGTGACGCATCTTACGCGCAACCTCATATGCCATCACGCCACACGCTAAGTCGGTGTCTTTCCGAGCAGATCATCTCCAGGCGGGCCGTAGCCGATCGCGGCGCTAAGACCGCTGTTATTGGCAGCCAACACATTACGACTGCCAAGTACGGACTCATTGAACCAGCGTAACCTTACAGTAGCAGCTAAAGTCAGCATCGCACCCCTATGTTTGGCCGCTCATCCAACAACACGTTCGTTGTATCGACACCATGGGCACATTAGTGTTACGACTACCAACCTTCACTCGCCTTGCGACCTTTATGTTACTGCTTTCTCCAATCTTTGCGCAGAACGATCCAGTAATTTCAAATAGTAACGCCACCACAACTCCAACTTCATGTCCTTTGCACATCCACCAAGACTTCAATCCCGATGCGCCAATCAACTCTACCGGAAGCGTCAATATGCATTGGAACGCATTGATGATGGATCCTGCGCGTAATGACTGGATTTTCACGCTCATGTATAACGAAACTCGAAATCGGCAAGCGCCGCATGTCGTATTCGATACTCAGCACAAGTTACAGTCATATATAAGTGCACCGGAAGCAAGCGAGGCACAGGCATGTATCCACATGTTCGGAGGCCTCAATGCGACTTCATCATCCAGTGAGCTAAATGGCTGTGACGGGGTCCTTGACGATGCTTGTTTTAACTTTCTCGGCAATGCGACATTCAGCAGCGGTTGCAGCCTTCCAGAGCCGAGACTCAAATGGCTGGAGGACCTCAGAGAAGTGTGCGGCACCGACGTAGCGACGTCTCTTGCCAGTACTAGTAAGTTCGTTGGCACACATGTGCGTTTCCGACCAATGAAGCATTCCTAACCCTAAACACAGGCAATGCTCAAGACTTGACCAACAGGACCTGCACTATAGACCATCCTCCAGGCTCCACTGTACCAGACCACTACCGCACCTGGGCCGCAATGGGAAGAGGCTTCACCGAAAGGAATGTGGATATCGACCCGTCAAGCTTCGTTTGGTACGACACGTATGTCCGGCAAACTGTTCCATTTCTCGTCACCGCGAATTTCCTTGGCGGAGTTACAGAGACACAAGTCGTCTGTGTAGCCCCTAAAGAGGTGGTTGATGGAGGAAGAGTACCTGCGCGGACATCTGTAGCCAGCCTGAGTTGGCGGAGCTCGAGTTTGGTGGCTGTGGCTGTAGCCGTGGTGGCCAATGCAGTGGGCACGTTGGCATGATGATGAGATCAATGCTGCTGTTTGGATACATGGGATCCATTGCTATTCTATAATTGATACCCCAGGCATTCTTGAGCTTCCTTCAGGTCTGGTGCCGTTCTGCTCCTCTACCCGCACACATGCGACAGTGTTCACATCTCAGCATAATCGACCTTCCAGCCACCAGGCATACGATCAGTAAAAATCCTCTTTGGATCCTACTTGCCACGAATCTCTTTAAGTCTCTTCACACTGTCGCTGCCGTAGCTCTCGAAGACCTTTTGTCCTTTATCCGCATGAATCATGTAGAGGTATCTGCTTAGGCCATCAACGTCCCGCAGCTTGGCCTCAATCTCCCCGTCAGCGCTCTTGACCCAATCCTCGATCTCTTGATCGAACTCTCCACTGCTGTACCAGGTTATGCTCTCCTCGACTCAGAATCCGGGCTCAAGCAGTATGTTGTGCGGCATGTCTGCAGACTTCTTAGCCATATTTGGGTTCACCACGTTGAATGCGAGACCGTTGAAGAAATTTGTGACTCCATTCGCCAGGCTAGAGGCCTTCAAAGAGTCGAAAAACGTATCAAGCAGAATATTGAATGCCTCCGCGGTTGCTTTGATAGAGACGACGCGGGTTTCCTGGCGCAGGCCATGGGATTGCCCGGCTTCTTTGAAAGCTGAGCGCATTGCACGGCCGTACTGCGCAAGGGAGATCGGTCGAAGGGTTGACGTTCTGTTCAATACTAGCAGACCCGTGGTAGTGCTGTAGATGTACTCAGCTAACCGGACTAGATGTGGGTGCAGATGTGCCGTTGTAGAAAAGGGTATTTAGCCATCTTCTACATTTCCGGTTTGTGGTGGTCAGCATTGTGGATCGTTACACGCAGGTAAGGCTGAGTAGTTGCGCGTTAAGAGCGGCAATATTCCGGATTCGAGTAGATCTGTGTAAACTAGATGCCTGAAGCATTCTCGACCAGTGATTTTGGATACGCATATAGCGAGGTTGCTGTTTTCCAATAGATCCTCGTGAAACTCATGGTTTTCGCTTTCGGACTCACTCGGGCGGTGCTGCTCTGCTTGTCCCAAAATGCGTTGCACGTTTCGAAGTAGACAACGATCTCTTTGACGCATACGCACTGTGGCTCACTGTACCGATTGAGGAGGATGAGGGAGACTGAGGGCCATTGGTTTGTTGGGATGTGTTGGTTGTGGCGTTATTCGATCGTAACAGCAACCAAGCACATGGGCGATCCAAAGCAGGCGGAAGTCATTTTGCGAGCTAATAAACTGCTTTTATCAATGTCTGGCCCTAATTGTTCTAGTCTCTTACTTTTCTGTTAATTGAAGAGGTTTTGGTAGTGCTGTGAATTTTCCCCTGAATTGCTGCGATTCTACGTCCTTCAAACTTGTAACCACTGGAACGTGGTGGTCCAGCACGCGGAGTCACTCAGTTCCATCAGAAATCGCCAACAATAGTAGAGTAATAGAACTAGAATATTGCTGCGTAGTCTATAGAGCTATTTGTAATAACCCCATGTAAATTCATTGTCGCTTTGAGCATTAGTCCGTTGACATGACCGCGTCCACTGTAGTCTAGTCATGAGCAGTGTAGAGAAAATCTTGGGTAGATACCGCGTCATTTGTTGGGACTTACCTGGCAATTCTAAGTACATTCAGAATTATGTGCCGGCTCCTTTCCCTCAATCGGTAAACTTAGAAAAAGCCCAATGACGGACTTTCGCACGTCTTAAATCTGGAGGCGAGCCACGACTAAAGCAGCCGCAATGTAAACGGTCAGAAAAGAGGTTAGTATAAGGTCTATACGACTAATAGCAGTGGAACCTACAGCAGAAACGAGGTACGGCAGGCCTAGCCCCACGCCTCCAAGCTTGATGGCCTTGATCCACAGCGATGCCATGAGTGGAGCTCCAACCAGCGAACCGAGAGTCTTGGTGAGCATGACAATACTAAAGTCTTGCGTATCCGAATCGTCAAGCGCAATGAGCTGAGACTTGACCAGCGACATCGTGAACACTGGCAGAGCTGAACCGAGGGCATAGATCACCAGCGCTACCAATAACATCCAAAATTCGAACGCCAGCGCTACACACAATACACCAATGACTGATACCAGGATGCTGGCTTCAGCTCCAAGGAAGTTAAGTCGTATCTCAGTCCCGTGAATACTTGTTGCTGACATGGACTTACGGATGATGCGAGGGACAATTATCGCCAGTAGCGTGAAGTTGACGATGGCCTTTGCTGAGAGCATGAAGCCGGCCTGCGCACGGATCAGTGCACGAGCAATATTCCTGTGTACAAGAAATACCTGAGCGAATGTCCAATCGTATCTTTTCGAGATGTACTGCACTAGAAGTTTTGTATCCGAGCTGGCTAGCGCGGTGAGAAAGAAGGAGTACAGGAGAGTCTGAAAGTTGCGTCGTCCTCGAATCAAGCTCACAAGCTTCCGAACGGCCTGCAAGGTCTCTTGAACAAAGCCCCTTGGCTTCTCGAAGGCATTTGCGTAGCGGCTCAGGCTGCTCTCGCTGTCACCCAGCAGCGGCCCGGCTTCCTCGATGTTGTCATTGAGAGAGCGTTCGAAGATAGCCGCTTCAGAGCTAACCAGGGTCGGCTTGTGCATCTTTGGTAAAAGCATGATGGTTGGTATTGCACATGCCAGGAGACCTACGTTGACGCAGAAAGGCAGCCAAATATTCCAGCTCATTGCAGTCGAGGCTAAGGTTGGGCCTATGAACGATACAACGTAAGATGTCGAGCTGATATACGAAAAGTAAGTGGCCCTGTATTCCATGAGCCTCTAGTCGAGGAGAGAGACCTGGCAGTAGACCGCTTACCGTTGAACATACTCAGCGGCTAAAGCTGACGTCAATGCAAATATGGTGGACTGTAAGGCACATTCGCCGCCAAATACGTTGAGGAACGGTCCAACAATGATGGCCTTGGTGGGCAAAGCTTGGGTAAAGTTGCCCACGACTATAGCCCACACACTCATAGACATCCTCGGGATGATGTTGCACCACAGAACCACGCGCACGCCGTACTTCTCGGCGACAAAACCGAGCGGTATGGTGACCAGGAAGTCTGATCCAGACAAGATCAGCCAGATCTACAGAGCACCTGCTGTATTGACTGACGTACCACAAACGACCAATGTGGTTTCCATGATTCCCTGAAGCCATGCCAGTCGACGCTGCACTTCATCGATCTTGCACAGCTTCTCCGGTATTGAGCCATCAACTCCGATGGTGGAAGGATCAACCAGCTCATAGTGCTCTCGGCAAAGCCTCAGCTCAACTACACGGTTAAGCGGAAGTGTATATAAGACGGCGGATAGATGCACAAGGATGAGGAATATGATGAGTGGCCGTATCGAGCGGGTGTACTTTCTGGTGGGGTTGGGGGCTGTACTTCGAGAATATACAGCTGGCAAGGGCGCTTTAATATCGACTGCAGGTGCCATACTTACGTTGTCGATGACTCTACAGCAGCATCCCTGTGCGATAGTCGTGTCGATGGTTGCAACCGCGACGCATGATTTGAGCTCAGACGATAAGATAAGAATCACGTGCAAACAGCGATTTCCCCTCCAGCTCTCACCGCAACAACGCTCATTAATTGCCGTCATCATTCATCAACTGCCGGAGGAGCTTTCTCTTCTTGCCAACACCCCGAAATGCAAATCCACACCGCAACTCCATCCTCGACTGCCGGGCCTCTCCGCCACATAACCGGGGTGAACCCAGCCAATACGACAGCGCGTTGCGCCACACCGAATCAGCCCTGCAATCGCCTCATCCAATCTCCCCCTTTTCCAATCGCCAAACCACCTTCTAGAAACGCGTGATCCGAACACCGTATTTGAATGGACGCGATCGCGCGACTCGCGAACGTGACTGCCTAATCTTGGCCCGATCGTGCAATTTGCCTCCCCAGATTTGCGCCGGCGGCTGAAGATCCTGGCAAGGGAGGAAGGACTGACGGTGACGGCTCGGCGCCACATACTGACGCGGAAGTTTTGTCGAGGGATTGGCGGTGTCATTCCAGGGACATCGTGAGAGCAGGGTCTCCAGGAACTGGATTCCAGAATGATTTGGAAGACCCGTGAGCCCTGACTGGGACCGTCTTACATTACGCCCTCGCAGTATCCCAGACCTTCGCGGATGACGCAGTGCGCCCACGTTGGGTCTGCGCATCTTTCTCCGCCGTACCGTGATAGGCATGTTGATCGTAGTTGCTTGTTTGAGTGTTGGACTGCCAGTGAAATTCCTTGGGTAAGTGCGATTGTGGAAAAAATGAGCAGGAGCATGATTGCGATTATTTGTGCTCTGTACTTGCGCCAGCGTTTACGGCAATCACGATGTGTTTCTGATTCTAGTGATATGTAGCTTCTTCGCCATGCTATCGAGTCCAGGATGTCGAAGGACTGGATTGATGCTGGAGAAGGTGGAGCCGAGGTTGGGTCTTGATCAGCATACCGCGGACAGAGGAGGTTGTTCGCGAATGTCGTGTCATCGTCGATGTAGGGCGACAGTGGCATGTATCCTATGCTTGTGGGTCTTGAGGTGGAGATAAATGTCTTGTGCGGTTAGTGAGCTGTCGCATATGCGGCAAGGCGCAATTCCCCTGGACTTACGGGAACCATGCTGAAAGACTGGCGCGAACAATCGTCTGAAATGCATCGTGAATGCACACCAGGGCCGTCTTTAAGGTCAAGTGTTGCATGAACAAGTATGAAACATGCAATTAGTGGAGGGCAGTATGCGGTGTCAGTGCACCTGAAGTCTGCTTGCCCACGATGCTGAAACATGATATCGCGACAAACCCAGACTCAGACGCGTAGGGAATAGGCCGCATGAAACACTGTTGATTGTGTGGACGACCATATTCTAGTAACTAATGCTCGTCACGTCCCTATCAGCCCCGCTGTCAAGTACATTCCGAGCCCTAACACCAGGACAGACCCACCATCACGCCCACAGCACCATGTGTATCTCCACCGTGCCACTGCACGGGATCCGAAAAGACGAAAATTTTGTGTGAAGAAGGGTATCTCTGCTCGCTTAAGCAAACAACACCTGCGAGTGAGCTCATTCTCAGTTGCGAGGCATGTATTTCCAATTTCAGCCTGTACGCATGTCTCCACCGCTCGCACGCCCGCCACAAAGCTGTCCATATTAGAGGATATAGGAGATCCAAGATGCGAACATTCTGCTCTGACCGGACCTGGTGTACCGACGCAGCCGTAGCTAGTGGTGGGCGACCTTGTTTTTTGTAGGTCAAGGGATGTAACAAAGGAAATGCTGGGAATGGACAAGAAAACTTCTTTGATATCGCAGAAAACGTAAAATAAAACGCTTGCAAATGCCAGACAAATGTGACGCTATGACGCTCATACATGAAGAGTTTTGGTACAACGGGTATATTCACGGTTGTGATCGAGACAATCCATGGTTATGCGGAGATATTCGGGACAACAACTGCTCCTAGCAAGGGTATCTTTACATATGCTGGGGGTGCAGGTATGAGTTGTGAAAGTATTGCTGATGCGGCACGTTGGGTGGCAACTCTGAGGTCGGTGTCGATGGGTACATGTTGGCTGGTTGCGACTTGACAACGTGTCCAGCGAATTGCCCCTCGCCGTCGGGTGTGATGGGTGGCGTAAGGCATCCGTTGTTCATGATGGCACCATATGCAATCTTCTGGGGTGTCGCGGGGTAGTCGTTGACGTTGTGCTTGGGCTCCTCGATAGTGAGTGTGGGTGGAGGTGTCGGTGGCGAGGCCGTTGCCCTCTGTGCATTGCGTGCCTGTTGCTGGAGGAACTCGTCGACAGTTGCGACAACATTGGAGAGGTGTGTTGAGGCGTACTTCCTGGAGAGGACAGGTGATGGCTGGTAAAGGTGGTTTGACAAGCCCATAACGGTCTGGGCATCGTAAGCACCAGCCCACTCTGTAGGCTTGGCTTGAGAACGTGTGAGCACACACCTGGCGAGGGCCAGTGCGGATCGAGCAAGGACCGATGGTGGTGTGGATACGAACTCCTTATGGAACAGGGCAATCTCCGCGATGTAAAGGGTCATGTGCTCGACTTCGGCATCGTACGGGCCTTCAGCGAGGGCGATCTGGAGGAAGGCGTCCACGGTGGCATGTCCAACGACCCAGTTCAGGGTCTGCAGAACGTGCCATTCCATCTGGGTGAACATCTCATCATCGTAGAGCGAGCAGCACATCGACTTCAGTTCCCGAACGGTTGGTACTCGATCCTTCTTGTCGCCGTACTTAGCGGCAATGAGGAGCGCGGCGCAGCCAACGAGCTGGTAGTGGCGCTTGTAGACGACGCGGCGAGAGCAGTAGCGGTCGAGAAGGTTGACAGCAAGGAAGAGTGTCTCGGGCAGAAGCTGGAAAGCGGCGTGAGCCTCGACGAGGAAGTCAAGGAGGTAGGGGCGCATGAACCACTGGATCTCTGTCTGGATGTCAATTGAGTTGACATCTGGCAGTGTTTGTGACTGGTTCGTGTTAGCAACGACTTTCATATCATGTGTCCAGCAACACCAACCTCCATATGCATCATGTGCTCCATAATTTCTTCCTGGTACTCATCGGCAGTTTGTCTTGAAAGTTCCTCTGCGATGGCCCGTTGTTGCATCTTTGCGATACTGCGCTGACGCTCCCTCTGCTCAGCACGAAGAACGTAGATACCGTCATCGTGTGATTCTGTAAAGTAAGAGTCGCAGTGCCCGTAGCGAGATTGTGTGTGCTGGTGGTAGGCCATTGTTGGTAATGTGGAAGGGGTTGGTGGGTGAAGGCGTCCGAGTCGGTTTGCTTTGGTGTTAGGGAGTGTAATGGCTCAGCGTGTTGGCCGTATTAGAGAATGGCAGCCTGGTAGGCAAATCGGTGTCGAAGGACTGTATGTAGTTGGGTAAGTAAAAGGTCTCTGGTCCGCGATTCCCGGGGGCTTGTGGGGCGGGAATGTGTATAAGAGGAGCCTGGAAGGATGTTAGACCGCGTCAACCTTGATTATCAATCGTGACGGTGCACGAGGGAGTACATACCTTGGAGAATTAAAGTATTAAGATAAAGAACGAATGAGCAGAGGAAGACTGGAAAGGTACAGTAGAAGAAGTCCAAAAGCTCGAGCCCCTTGCTAATTGCATCCAGGAGCTAGAGTGAAATTGGGCGGGTTTGATGTGGGGCGAACACTACTGTGAAAAGGGATGACAGAGCACGAGCTAACGAGTCTGCCAGGGTGTGTTGCTAGGTCCTGGAATGCGGATAATCCCAGTGCTGGCAATCACGGAACTACACAAGGCTTAGTTTTGACGATTTCAGTGGTCTTATGCGGCAACTTACGGTGGATGCGAATCTTCGACTGATCGAAGCTGCAAAAGACCGTGGTCATACACAGTCGATTGTAAAGCCTGAGAGCTGAAGAACCTGGATTGATGTGGTCAGCGCAGGCTCAACAGTGGATCAATAGCAAATCAAGGTGACATCCAGTGATGTAGTAAAATGAAAGTGAGCGAATGTGGTAACTGCTCGCAAGGCCAGCAACCGTGGAATGAGGCGGCGACACGCTCCGGTCTGGTACAGTTGACGAGTGACAGGTGCACATGTAGTTGAGCCGCCAAACTTCAGTGACAGGCCCTGAGAACCATGACAAGAATAACGGTGCAGCGCACAACGACGTTTGCTACATGCAGCGCAATCTTGACACAAAACAGTGTGAGCAACAACGACAGCGACATCCGAAGTCCAGTCTACCGTATGGAAGCTGCCAGGCCAGAGATGGCTGCAATGCAAGCCGTAGACGTGACCGCACATGAGGTGCTACAGCGGCGGGGTCGCGGCATGCAATCTCGAGTGAAGTGTCATAGCATCGCAGCGGCTCTCGAGAGTCGTGATTTGGCGAGACACGCTGGGTCGATGCGGCGGAACGAGGTGCAATCCGATGGGAGGTACGGTATGTGTCGCCCTTGGCTTGACCTGCCATCCCCAACCGGCAACACTGTGCAACGCCGACGACGCTCACAATCCCATTGTCTCGCCCTGGTTTTGCTGGATGTACTACTCGCTCTGCCCTGATGCTGCCCTCAAACGCTGACATTGTCTTCCGGCCTTCTCGTGGTGTTCATGTTCCTCATCATGGTCTGTGCCCTCTTGTGCCTTCCAGATCGGGATCCGCGGAAAGTCCCTGACGGGAGGCGCGACCGGGACTCGAGGCAATGACCGAGGCAAGCGGAAACTACGGCAAACAAAACGAAGACATTGACCTACCTTATCGAGCTGACACAGGTGTGAGATGGGGTCACACGAGGCTGGTCGTATTGATGGCGAGGCTGACAACGATGGACAGAGGTACAGCGAAGGCGGACTCAACTATCTCTGCGGCCAGCGAGAGGACAGGAGGGGTAGGCGGAGGGAATGGGAGGCTGAAGGTCACAGAGTGGTCTGGTACGCTTCAGGGTATCCTATTCGTAGAGAAACGGTCGGGGTGTGGAGAGAGCAGGAGAGGAGGGTTTTGTGGAAAGATTGGGCCGAAGATTTTCAGCACCACATCGAATCCAAGAAACTCCGTGCTCGACCGTAGTGGGGAGAGGATGATAAAGAGGAGGTGAAGGGGAGGTGAGGAGAGGATGATGTTCTTCAGACGGCTGCAGCTCTCACAAAACGACGGGCTCTCAGCGCGCCCAGGAGCCAGAGTGGACCGCGTTCTACTGGCTTGGAGCGACACGGCTAACCATATCGGCCTCGCGCAAGTCACAACCTTGGAAGTTAAGGAACACCAGCCAACCGTGGCGTGTTCCGTCAGGCGTCGTGGATCTATGGCGTCTGGCTCTGGCAGGCTGGCAGCCAGGAGCACGCTTGATATTGCACGCGTTGCAGCCCGTATCTTCCGCCGCGCACCCCCTCTGTCTCGCGCACTGTCACCGCACTGTCACTGCACTGTCACCCAGCCGCTGCTGTGCGCGCGGCCGTAGCCACCAACTACAGCGCCCGCTGGTGCCTGCGCTGCAACATGCTATAGCAGAGGCAGGCCGATCCCGCTGCGGCACACAAGATACGTGATGCCTGTCGTGGCCTCACAACGCGTCCAACTCCTAGCTCGCGGCGACTACTTTCGTTAGCTGGTAGACGGGCTGAAGGGAACGCGCTGGTGGGCTGGCTGTCATCTTCGCGAATCCCCGCTCGAATCAGGCCTTGGGATTGTCTCCGGTCAGCGAGCAGCCAACACATGCAGCGACCGGGGTCAGGCTCTGATCGCTGGCCAATGTGCCCTCTTCTGCGCACAAGTAACTACTTGTTCCGCATGCTTTGAATAGCCAAGCCCTAGAATTGGTAGTGCCGCCGCAGCTCAAGCTCTGCTGCGAGGTTCCCCTGGCACGTCCTTACGCCAAGTGACAGGAGACGCCTCAGAAATGCCCATCGTTATGAGGCGATAGTAGATATTCGAGTTCGCCTAGGTGATCCCGTGCGTTGCCGATGCTTTACATGCTAGAGATGCTTGCGGGCTATTCCATCCCCTTTGAGTTCGCACACGAGAACTCACCTCGTGAACTAGGTATCTGCAAGCAGCTTCAACACCAACTCTCTTCATCGATTACCTCACGAGCCCCATATAAACACGCAAACTCAGTGCGTGCGATTCAGACCAAAGCATGGAGACCCAGCAAGCCCCACGTTCACGCCGCTTCCGCATGGTGTAGTGCTCTAAGAGAGACTATCGCGCAACTATTGGTACCGAGCTTCGTAGCCAGTAACACAGACCTCCTTGCTGATGAAGCCTCAGGCCGGACCGTTGAGATTATCGTTTCGTGATGTACGAAGGTTGCTGTTGCTGATTTGAGACGGACGACAAGACTCAGGAGGTTGCCGCTTGCGTGTGATCTTATATTACTGACACTCAGCAACGCATCAAACATTGGAATTTCATCTCGTGAGATTGCATCCTGGGTCCGCGGGTGCAAGCATTGAGCTATGTTGCCGAACCTGAAGCTTCCAGAAACATCCGTGGTTGACCTTCCCTTGCAGAGCTAGCCACTCCTTATGCGGGGTTAGGTGCATGCACAGAGGTGGTGGATGATAGCTGTGTTCCGCCGCGTCATGACAGTTTTTGAGCTTTGACTTTGCTGAAGCAATACCACGCCTGACAGTGGGGGCAAGTCCGTACACATCAATGCATGCCAGGTTGAGCAAGGCAGCTCTTGCAGACACACGCCAAGACAGAGCAGGGTGCCCTTCAGCTGTGTGCGTGCCATGTAATTGCATCAACAAAGAAGCAGTTGGCGTTTCTGCAGGTGTCTGGCATATGATGTGATGGATTGGGTCCGGCAAATCATTACGGCGGCTGGGAAGCTCGTCATTTCTAAACGATAGCCCTAGCGTGATCTTTACGCGTTTTCCAACATGAATGACCTTCGGCGCCGTCCCAAAAGCACCGTTCAAACGCAACAGTCGGCAACGCCTGCTCTTGGTCTAACCATTGCATCCAGCTAGAGCAGGCAGCCGGCTTCCGCGCACCTTGTCTCGTCTTCAGCCAGCGCTGCAGCTAACTTGTCATGTCCTTGGTAGATCACGACCGCGAACACAGCGCGTCTTAAAGTAGGTACCTACCTGAGCCTGATGAGCCGGAGCCTGAGCCTGAGCCGCAATGCACGCGACCACGCGTGCTATGAATTCTTTTGCCCCCAGCCCATTTTCGATCCGCTCCGTTCCACATCTTGTCTCGTCCGACTGCAGACCGAGTCTATCGACAGTTGACCCGTGGACTCTGTGGGCCTCAGGCTGCGGCTACCGTACAATCAGCGTTGCTAGCAAATTTGCTTACGACTTTTCATCGCGATCTTTCACGATGCGGGTCCTGTGAGCAGATCTTCACTTGCATTCCACAGCAACCAGATGCACTGCGGCGACATGCGTTGTAGCACCGGCGATTGACTGAAATGCGGATGGATCCTCTGGCCGGCCTCGTCGCTTACTTGGTTGTCTGGGCACCGCATGAGCTGTGACAGATCCTGTGCAGCTTGCACGACTGCTCCAGAGCAAACTTTTCAACATATACAGACGTGGCTGCTCGGACGAAGTGCAGGTTTCAATAATTTGCGAAACATGTCTTCCCCAAATAGAACCCAACAATAATGAGCCTGCTGCTCCCTGACATCCGCAAATCCGCAAGCATAATTATTATTCAAAGGATCAAAGGACCGACGCAATGACGCTACACTGCGGAATCCGCTACCCCGCTCAGGCAGGTCAAAGCGCATCTATTGAAGGTTCAGCCAGTGCTTGGGACGGGATACGGGAGTTCTTTTTCCAGGTCCCGCAATACACGCGTTGGAGGCGTAACGCTGGAGCATTCAGGGTCGCGTTCACGCGTACCGTGTAAAGTAGCCACATAGTTTGCGCGGCGTCATGACCAGCCTCTGAAACCGTACATACGGCGCCCGAGGCGCACTGATGGTGATTCATGTTGATCTCATGCAGCGTGCAAATCAAGGGGCACCAACTCGGTTGCAGCCAAATTCGGCCGATGGACTCAGCATTCCTTCAGCAACGCAGTGCGATGACGTTTGTGTGCCAGGCTAATTATGTGCGAAGTTTGAAGCGGTTTGTGGAAACTCAACCGGTTGCTTATCACAATTACTCCCGTAACGAGTCTCACAACGGCGTGACATGCCACGTCGCAAGCCGAGCAACACGGCTGAAGAGAGGGGCGCCCAACGAGTTCTAGTCGCTGGGGAGACAGATTATGTTTGCGCAATCGCTGGAGCGAGCGACTTGTGCAAAGCCGACCCCTCGCGGTCTGGATGGAGTGGCTGGTCGCGGATAGTGCAGCGTGAAGCTTGATGTTCAACACTCGACAAGCAGTACCGCGGTTCACGCTGAGGGCGTCCAGGAATTTCGAGATGCCCCGCCCGATGTGCAATCTGAAGATCGCGATACAGTGACGGAAACTGCAACAATCGATTCTGGAGCTGACCAGGCTCCAAGCCTGGACACAGGCAGAATTGCTGTATTCATTGCCCAGTCCCCATTCCATCAACTCATTATCCGTTCTCCAGATCATCCATCGAACTGTATGACGACTTTCAAGTCGGAGGGTCGAGCGTGGCAAGCTTCGATGATGCACAGCTGGTGCTGCAGAGCGTGGAGGTTGCCCATCCTGTCTCGCTTCAAGAGGCCAGCAAGTCGGTGCCCATGGCAGTGATGACCTTGCAGAGTAACAATCACGAATCTGATAGAAGCAGACGAACAATCGTTGTCGCTGGAGTCTGATGGATGAGAAGATGCAGTTTGTGGTTCAGATGAGGTTCGCTCGGAGCACGGGGAGAAACCGTTGCTCCACTTTATTTTTTACCCTCTTGGCGCGAAGAATCACTGCGACTTCACGAACATGGTTGCTGGCGTGCTGACCTGGTAGCGCAATCTGACAGATCGCGCGTGGAGCTTCTCAAATAAACCATTTGCCTCTAGTCTCACACCGCGTCCACCATGGATATTCACCGGTCGCGCTTCGTGCCTTTCCCGCCGTCTGCGATCAACGCCCTCGCATTTTCGCATACCGAGCCCGAGCATGGCCAGCAGGAACCTGAGTCGCTGAGGCTCGCGATCGGACGCGCAAACGGTAACATCGAAATATGGAACCCAGCAAACGGTGCATGGCTGCAAGAGAAGGTCTTCTACGGCGGCAAGGACCGAAGTGTGGAAGGACTTGTATGGACACAGAACCCGGACCGGAGGGACACGAATGACAAGCTTGTACCGGGGCGTCTGCGGCTGTTTAGCATCGGTTACTCGAGCAGCGTTACGGAGTGGGACCTCGCGACCGGTCTGCCAGCGCGACACTCGAACGGCAACCACAGCGAAGTCTGGTGCATTGCGGCACAATCGAGGGCAAGGAGCAGCGCTGCTGGAGGCATCAACGATGCTGGCTCTTACCAGAAGCTTGTAGCAGGTTGCGCAGATGGCACACTGGTCCTCCTCTCGACCGAAGATGACGACCTCCGATTCGAACGATTTGTCTCCCGCGCCTCAACGAAGAAAGCTCGTGCTCTGAGCGTCGCATATAAAGATCACGACACTGTGCTTGCTGGGTTCGCAGATAGCATGATTAGGGTCTTTGACACGAGGAATGGCAACGTCATCAGGAATATCTCGCTGGGCAGTGGACCGCACGGTGGACCGAAAGAGATTTTGGTCTGGAAGGTCAAGTGCCTTCCTAACGGCGACTTCGTGTCTGGCGACTCTACTGGCGAGATCAGAATCTACAGTGGCAAAAACTACAGTCAGATGCAGAGGATCTCGGGTCACGAAGCAGATGTCCTGGATTTGGCAGTTTCGCGGGATGGTACAGGCATGTTCAGTGCTGGAATGGACCGCCGAACCTGCTTCTACACTAGCAAGAAGTCGCAAGGGAAGAAGGGACAAAACGGAAATTGGCGCAAGGTATCTCACCAGAGGTACCACGAGCACGACGTCAAGGCCATGACAACATACGAAGGCAACAAGATCAGCGTTGTCGTTTCTGGAGGTAAGGAAAATCTTCACATTTGTCGTTGATCGACTGCTAACATGATGAACCTAAGGTATCGATACTCAACCCATCGTCGTCCCTCTCCGTCAATTTGGTCAAGAGCTCAGCCGTGGTCTCCCAGCACTACCCTCGGCTCCTCCTCTCGTCAGTGCTCCAGAAGCGCGACTTCTTGTTAGCTGGTGGAATACCGAGGTCCGCGTCTGGCGCGTTAAGAGCAACCACGATGGCACAGAGAAGCCAAAGGTCGTCGCGCGTCTGGCGCTTCAAGGAGAGGAGAACATAACATCGGCGTCAATCACTCAAGATGGCGAGCTTCTCACCGTCGCAACAGCAGAAACTATCAAGCTTTTCCAGCTGATTCGCCCACAACCAGGAGCTGGATCAAGTCTCCGAATTCGCAAGATCGAGCTGCCTGACATCGAAGGTGCCAGGAACGTGCGCCTGACAGGGGATGGCAAGTGGCTTGCTGCGGTCACCGCAACGAATGAGGTCAGAGTCGTCAGGATCATCAGGCCCGAGGATGCAGACGATTTGCCTCGCCCTCTTGCTAAGGTTGCGCGCCTCCAGCGTATGCCTCGCGAGGACGCGAGGGCAACACCCCTGACTGGCGAGCACGGATCTTATGAACGTTCCATTAATCATGCAGAGTTTTCTTCAGATGGCAATGTCTTTGCTGTTACAGACCTCGCAGGCTATATCGACACGTGGGTCATCGAAGGAAACGAGGACTCAACCGCGCCCGAAGTGGACATCGACGACTCCGCTTCGGACGCTGCCGAGGATGAAGATTCTGACTATGACGACGAAGATGGGCCAAAGGAACAGATCATATTCTGTGGCCAGCGATGGATACGTAATCCCTCCGGCCACTTGTTGCCCCGTCTCGACTCCACACCCACACTGCTATCGTTCCAACCCAGCACGGACGATTCTCGGCCACAGCCGAATGGTAACCCTGCGGTTCATCCCACAAGATCGAACCCTCACCCCCACTCGCGAGAGGTGCCGACTACGGAGCACAGGCTACTCGTCACATCTGCGAAGCACCAGCTATACGTGTTCGAAGTGATTGCAGGTCGCCTGTCAGAATGGTCAAGGAGGAATCCACCTTCAAGCTACCCCTCTGAGTACCGTATGCTCGATCTCCCTGCCAAGGGCTGTGTTTGGGACGTGTCTTCATCTCAGCAGCGCCTGTGGCTGTACGGCGAGAAGTGGCTGTTCATGTTCGACCTGAGCAAAGACTTCCCGATTTCCGAACCTGGCTCCAAGAAGCGCAAGCTCGATGCAGTGACAGATACACCGAGAAAGACTAACAGTGGAGCTGGCGACATTGTCCCCTCGAAGGAGAGCACAGTCACGAAAATGCGCAAGTACAACGGCGCGCCCGGCAAGGATGCAGGCAAGACGAACTGGCTGGACGTGCACGTACCCCGATTGAACGCACTCGACGATGACGACGAGGGCGAGTCCCAACCACTCGCATCACTCCGACGAACGGCGACGCAAGACGAGCCGGCTAATGGCAACGTGCACACTGGCGGCGAGGTAGCAGAAGTGGAGCAAAAGACGAGCTGGTGGCATACGTTCAAGTATCGCCCAATACTGGGCATGGTGCCTGTTAGCGGCGAGCAGGGGCAGCCGCTCGAGGTGGTTCTTGTCGAACGGCCATCGTGGGATCTTGATCTGCCGCCCAGGTTCGTCGGCGCGCATGAGACGTAGAATGGTCTTGCCCTTCGTAGAAAAGTTGCATTGTATGGCGTTGATACCTCCAATCGAACTTCATTCGACATGCTTCCCTTCATCTCTACCCGCGCCAGTGAGACATGTTTGGAAACGTTCGGAAAACATCAAAGGGCTCATGCCACGCGGTGCGGTCATAGATATGTTTAAGCTTATTGAGGTCGCGAAGGGTGCCTTGCTGATACGAGAGGGGGACGCGTCGACGCTCAATACCACATGGCAGGTGGGTCTGGACCATCCTTGTCTCAAGCAGTGACTCGTCAGCTCGCAGCAGTATTTCTCCGCGCCCAAGGCCGCGCGAGTGGTGAGGAAACATCTGACACAGCACAGTCTTCAAGTTCGTGAGCTCGCCAAGAGATAGTCCTATCCCGAGGTTTGACTCGTAAAGAAGTGAATTCGTCACCACGTGATCCGGTGCGCGATAGACCGCTGTACGACTGGGGAGCAGTCGTCGCAAGCATGCTCGAGCGCTACGTGAATTGCGCCGATGTTAGACCTCACACCGTGCCCGTGCAAATTCAACAGCCTCAGCACGTCAAGCTTGCAAGATGGGAGGCACCTTCTGATTCCAGCAGAATCGACACCGAACGGTGATAGTAGGACCTATGCAGCACCACGCCTTCCGGCAAAATTCGCAAGCAGTTTCACCCCAGAAGCAACGATGTTACAAGATCGACTATGACAACCCGCAGATCGGCGTGGTAGCTGACGTAGACCAATGATGGCGAGGCACGCGCACGGAGGTTGCCAAGACACCACCTGTCAGTTCGCCACATGGCCGCACAGCCAACAGCAGGCCCGTCGAGCCCAACAGGCAAAGAACACGCAGACTCGGAGGGACGACGGTGTCGCAAGCAGTAGTGGTGCGGGCCTTTTTATAATTAGGCTTGTGTGCGAGAAGGGGGCAGCAGTTGGCACGGTCTTATCATTCCTCCCACGCGTTCCTGAAAAGCGCAGGCGCGAAAGCTTTTGATTCACCAAAAGCTACCGACAGCACCGGTGCGTACGCGTACGCGGGCTCCGTGGCGTGCGTGGGTGCGAGGCAGATGTCCGCTCCGCAAGCGCAGCAGCACGGCTGAGGCGATGGTTCACGGATAAACCTTGTTGTCGCACGCAGTAATATTGTAAGACGCGTTTAACAGCCGCGAGGAGAGGAAACTATCGGTTGCTTGTTTGCAGTGCGTACATAGGTGCGTAGGTAGTGCCTACTGATGAAGGGTTCGGCTAGCGTCCGGAAGTTCGAGGCTCAGAGCGTTCCTATGGTTCGTGACAGCAATACGCAATCCACTAGCGTTCGAGAAGCCTTGGCGGACCGCGTGTAGAGAACGAGACACGAGCAGCGCACGCAGCAGCGAGGAATAATGGCAGCGCACGCAATACTGAAGCCGTGAAAAATCACACCGAGTGCACACGCACGCAGTTCGCTCGGCGCGCAACGGTGGCATGGGGCCGGCCGTCTCGCAGGCTGTGACTGGACGCTGGCCAGGTTGTCGCAGCTCTGTCTGTCGGTGGGCGAGGGCCGCGTGTCGACCGCGAAGCCCCTGACAAAAGCGGGAAGGCGCGACTTTCCGCTCTTGCCCCATTCCCGCCCTCATGATTACCCTCCGTCCCTGCGCACACTCTCTGTTCTGCCACAAGATTTCTCACGACTATTCGACGTCGTCTCGCGCATACTGACGCTGCAGCACCGAGCTCGCACCCGCCGCCGACGACGTCTGCATACAAAAATACCGCCACCCGCCTGTTACCGCCTGCCGCTGCTGCGCCTGCACTCTGACGCTCGTTGACCAGCGACCCGCCGGGGCTGTGCAGTGTCAATCCGCAGCCTACTTACACCCACCGCAGCGCTCCACGCCCGCCCACGCCGACACTCTTCACCACTCACGTACACACCCGCCCACCATGGAGCACCCGCGAGCATCTTCGCGGGCCCCCGCCAGTGACGTCGACCGGCTGGCTGCCGAGTTGACCGACAAGTTCCGCACTGTCCTCAGCACTAAGCGCATGAACGACCTCTCTACCAGCGTTTCACACTCTCGCTCCGCATCGCCTGCTCCGCGAGACTACGGCACACCACAGCCGCCAACCACACAACCGCCGGCATACACGTCGGTCAAGAACATCCCACTGGTCGCCCAACCGCCCAACCCCAGCGACCTGCGCTCGATGCGCTTCCGCAACATGCTGCACTCGCTCTCCGCCATGCCCTCCCGATGGGAGAACCCTGGACTGCTGGACGAGGCCCTGCGAGTTGTCCCCCTTGAGCAGATCTACGCCGAGGCCGACGAGGAGAGCCAGATCCTGCAAGCCGAGGCCGACAGTCTCGGCGCCGGCAAGAAGGCCGCCTGGGGCTACCAGGACTGCGTTGTCCGTGCCCTGCTGCGATGGTTCAAGCGCTCCTTCTTCCAGTGGGTCAACAACCCGCCGTGTTCGCGGTGCTACTCGCCCACAGTCGCCGTCGGACTCACCACACCACTCCCTGACGAGCAGGCCCGCGGTGCTACCCAGGTAGAGGCCTACAAGTGCTCGCACGAAGGCTGCCAGAATTACGAGCGTTTTCCCCGCTACAACGATGCATTCGTCCTGCTCCAGACCCGTAAGGGCCGTTGCGGCGAATGGGCCAACTGCTTCAGCATGCTCTGCCGGGCCGTTGGATCGCGAGTCCGCTGGGTTTGGAACGCAGAGGACCACGTCTGGACAGAGGTCTACTCAGTACACCGCAAGCGCTGGGTACACGTAGACGCCTGCGAAGAGGCCTGGGACAAGCCCCGGCTGTACACTGATGGTACGTCCAAGCTTCACCCTGAGCCATGGAACACATTGACTGACTTCTCTATCAGGCTGGGGCAAGAAGCTGTCTTACTGCATCGCCTTCTCCGCCGATGGTGCCATGGACGTCACTCGACGCTACGTTCGTGACCAGAACAAACATGCAGCTGCCCGCAACCGCGCACCTGAGGCCGTCCTTCTCCACATCATGGACGAGATCCGTGCTGTGCGACGCAAGGACATGTCCAAGCAGGACAAGTTCCGCCTGAATGGGGAGGACCTCCGCGAGGCCAAGGAACTGCACGGTTATGTCATCTCATCCATTGCGCACGACATCTGCAGGCTCAAGCCACAGGATATCATCAACGGAACGCCTCCCCAAGAGTCCGACAAGGCGTTGGAAGGTCGCATGAGCGGCAACCAGGCCTGGATTCGTGCACGCAATGAGCAAGGCCGCGGACAGTCGCACCAGCAAGACCCTCGCAACCAGCACCCACATTGAGGAACTTGCACACCAAGGTTTCTTACGTCTTCTCTTCCACTCCCATCAACGCCTATCCTGCCGCCCTACACGCAGCCGAGTCGGGTCCACTGTGCCTAGCACTTATCCACTCAGGCACGTAGGTCTGGATTGAGCATATGATGGCCATCTTTCACCTCGACCCCGCGACGTTCGTTCACGAGCACCCCGCACCCTGTAACCATAGAATCCCGGATTCAGCGATTCATCGAACCTTTTGCGACGGCGTTCATGGCGAAATCAACAGCATTAGCAATAACCTCTAATGTCTGCACCACCCCTCGGGGCCTCAACCTATCACTAGCCTGGTTCAAGCACCACGGCACACCCATTCACACGGGGATTCTTTTACGACTATATATTCACTTCTTCATTTTCACGTGCGACGCAGGCTTAGCGGCACCGTTTATACCATTGGGCTGGGTCACGATTTGATACACCATTTTCTTATGTCTTTTCAATTTCATTTACGAGCATTTTTGGCATCGGACATAGATGCACATTGCGACTTTTGTTAGGGCCTGGCTTTGCACGCAGGCTGTGTTCGAAGCGGAGGAAACGGCGCAAAGGCCGTGGTTGTCAAGGACGCGCGTCATTGCATGGAACGCCGCGAGAACCTTGGAAGCAGATGCAGATAGAGAAAATGAGAGCCAAGGCGATTGGCAACGCATTTTGCGACACAACAAACTTCACTGGCTCCATACTTTGCGCACCATGGTAATGTTGCATGATCTGCGAAACATTGCAGATGACCAAGCAGGGTTTTGAGCGGGACGCGCGTCTCGAGCTTGCGTGTTTGAGCATTTCAAATCTCCGGAGAGCCTCATGAACATGTCAGGCTATGAAGTAAATCATGCATCACCAGCAGACGATTATCCCCTCCAAGCATGTTTTGAGCTTTTCCTTCTGCTGCTCAAGACGATCGTCTCGGCGTCCTCAAACGCGCGTAACTCGAGGCGAAGATGATACCAGGCCGTCCGCCTGCTGATGCACTCCTGCATGTCACTTCGGATCCCCATCCACACCTCGTGCATTGATCTGACAGTCTCTGTGCCCTCGCCCACAACGCCCACAAGACTCGAGCAAACTGTGCAAACACAACCTTTTCCAGCTCACATGACCCTCGTCAGCTCAGCACTTCAATCCGGACGGCTCTCGGTGATGATCATGATTAGATCGTCTTGGCGAGGCGGGCGCAAGCGAATTCAACCCTATTTTTAGGTGGGCCTTACGTTTCGTGTGGCTGGAGGTTGAGGATGGAGGGTTCTTGCGCCCCCATGGGCTGTCTGTCAGCAAGTGCGGGTTTGGACTGTGTTGGTGATGAGGATGTTGGGCTTGATGTGTTTCTGAGCGCTCGTGAGATTGATTGATGACAGAGGGTTGGGATTCTTGGTGCTTGCAAGGCTGCTCGCTCGCTGTGTGTGGTGAAGGTCGAGCTCCACGTCGCTGCCCGCGCTGATGTGGATCAGAGGCTGACGGCTGTTGGCACCGGCCTACCTGTCTTGCTTCGCCTTACGCACACGATAATTGCCTGTTTCGGGAAGACGTGAAGCATCGTCTCGACGAATTCTAAATTGCACCGAGGCGCAAGGTGCACTTATGTTGGCGCAGCGTTTGCGACTTGAGCTTGTTTGGGAAGACTGGGAGGATTGCATGATTGCCCGGGCGACCGAGGATGTGGTCGATCTGGGCACCTCGCAGCAAAGCAAGGCTGAAATGTGGGAGCTGAGCATGCACGCCTTCACCTCTTTCACACGCACAAGAGCACGCTGGACCTCACACCTGCATGTCCACACTGTCCACTCCCTAAGCAGCATAGCGGTAGTCAGTGTGGAGCGTCGCGTCAGCACGCCTCCCACAGCAAGCCCCGACGTCGCAAGCCTTGTGAGGCTCGGTGAAGGGCTAGTGACGCCGCGCGCTGCGGTCTGACTGGCTGGTTTCGCCGTTGACCTTACTTGGCAACTTGCACTTGCACAGACCCTTGGCTGTGCCTCTCACAGCCCCCTTCAGCTGGGCCCAGCTGCCGCATGCAAGATTGTACAAAGGCTTGCAGACCCGCGCCGTCTGTCTGACCATCATCTGTTTGGTGTTCGGTCGCTCAACCTTTCCTGTTCACGTGCACTGCATTGTTTTGCGTCTCACCACTCGACGACATATCAACCGCTCGCTCCCAATCGATAACTAACGGCCGCTGACGTCGCGCCGCGTCTTGAACACTCCACGACTCGTTCACTCTGCACCAACACCGCAATTATGGGAAAAGCAGGGCGCATCGCGTGCATCATCACGCCTATGGCGTTGACAATTGCATCCCTCATCTGTTTCCTGCTGGTCATGGTCGGGCAGCTGGGCCACAACAACAAGGCTCCCTCGACGTCGCTGGGGCAAGATCTGTACTTCTTCAAGGTACGCCTGCCACCGCAATTTGCACTACAATCAGCCTGACAATTCCACAGGCAGACACAAGTAACTTTACATCGAACCCGCAAACCATCCTAAACAAGATCAACAACGCCAGCGACAGTCTCGACATCAATAGCGACCTTCTCGACGCCCTGAGCGGTGCCGCCTCCTCCAAGAAGCTCAAGGCCTTCTACCAGGTCGGTCTGTGGTCGTACTGCACGGGCGAGAAGACCGACGGCGTCGAGAAAATCACATACTGCTCCTCCTCGAACACCCAGTTCTGGTTCAACCCTGTCGAAGTCTGGGGTCTGCAGAACACATCGGTACAGAACGTGCTTGGCGATGATCTCCAGAAGGGCCTCAACACGTACAAGAAGGTTGCGGGCTGGATGAACTGGGCGTTCATCATTGCGACGGTGTTGACTGCTGCCGAGTTCGTCGTTGGGTTCTTTGCCATCTTCTCCAGGTGGGGAAGCCTGGTCACCACCATCCTCTCGACTGTACGTCTTTCACATTCCAAAAGCTCGTGACTTCATACTGATAATCACAGGCATCATCCGTCTTCGCCATCGCCGCCGCCGCAACCGCAACCGGCGTCTACGGCGTGCTGACCGGCGTGTTCCACACAGCGCTCGAGCCCTACAACATCGACGCGTCAATGGGCAACAAGATGCTGCAAGTCATGTGGGTCGGCGTTGCCTTCAGCATCGCCTCTGGTCTCTTCTGGACACTCAGCGTGTGCTGTTGCTCCGGCAAGAGCGGGCACAAGAAGATGGTCGTCGAGAAAACGCCATACACGTACGAGCGCGTTTCGAGCCCGGCGTTCGGTCAGCAGGGTCATCAGTTGCAGAATGCACCAGCGTTCAAGCCCAGTGGGCACGGGCAGAGCGGGACGGCCTATGAGCCTTACCGCGGTCAGGTTTAAGGCCGGAATGTTGGGGCTGCGAGAGAGGGTCTGTAGGAGTGGCGGACTAGGGGGGAGAAGAGGTGATGCGTTTCACGACATGGACGACATTTGTGCGATTCTTGTTCATATACCATGGCGTTAATGCGGGAATACCTCGCTGCTCCATGTGGCTGAGACGCGGACTTGCATTTTGAGTATCACAATTCCATGCTTCTATCAAACACGTCTACTTCGTCTGCTAAATCACTCATGTTCATTTCGTTCTCTGTATCGGACAGGGCTGTTACGCTCATCCGCAGCTATGTGGATTGGTATTGTTGGCAGTCGCCTTGCGTCAATGTCTATTGGTGCCAAGTCCCTCGTTGGCTTCTGCAGAGACCTCCATGGAGCTTGCGCGGCAAGACTTGAGGCCGGTGGTGATGGGTATGTCGAAGGAACCTAGAAGGTATGAGCTTGGTTCAGAGCACGATGATGGGGTGGGGGCGTACCATTGCAGGCAATCATGCTGGTGTAAGGTCGGATACCTTCACTATGATGCTCCATCTTGGAGTGATCGTGACTCTGCCCATAGGTATCGGGAGGATGCTGAAAGGGTGTAGGGCTCTGAGGCTTGGTGGAGGATATCTTAGCCATGGTGGACTACTATAAGGCAGTTACACTCAGATTGTCAGTGAAGGGCGGGTCTGCGCGCTTGAACGCCGTGTAGATAAGTAGGTTGCCCCGTCTTACAGACTTCTTCACACTCATTGCGCCTTCTGTTCGACTTGACTGCACCGTCATATCGTGACGCGCCGAGAACCGTATGGACTTGCGAAAGTCAGTTGGATCCGCATTAGGCGCGACTTCCGCATAGTTCCCCATAGCTTACAGCTCTAATCGTCCGGCTGTTGGAAGACGGCTAGTACCTAGTGCCATGCCTGAGCTGAGATTCGTTCTATCCGCGCCATCGCGGACCCACAACGCTGCACTTCTTTGCTGAGCCGTCCAATCTCATCGTCTCTCCCTTGTTTTACGGGCCTCATACAGATGTATCTGCAGCTACACGGCATTCGTTTGAGGCATGTCTCACGTGGACGAATAGCTACTGGCTCTCAGGGTCCTGCAAGCATCCGTCGTCTGCCCTATGGTACTCTAGCGCCAGAAGCCACGGTACTGTAGCGAGCGTGTGTCAGCCTTGCGAACGCCAACTTCCTTTGGCGGTGCAGCTGGTGATGTCTTTATGCTGACTGGCTGCAGTTCGAGGTACCCCAGCTGAAGCCTTATACTTCCTGCTTGCATTGTCCTCAATAGACACATTGCCGCGTTGCATTTGCAGCCACAAAGGAATCAGCGTTCGGGAGGATAACATGCATTTGCTACTGAGAGTTTTTTAAGTCAATAGTATGTACACAATAGCCCCGGGCAGTGGGATGCTTTCACTACTGTCTAGCTTGTTGATGTTGACGGTATGCTCTTCGTTGGGCTGGACGGCGTCCTTCTTGGTATCGTTCCTAGATGCTGGACTGAATTAAGCTTCTGAGGCTTGGTGGAGGGGAACTTACCCATCTTGGGATTCAGAGAAATTGATAAGGGTAGGTTAGCTGCTCAGTGACTGGTAGAGAGGGTGCTTGAATCGTTCACAGCCCACCGACCGCGGACCATGTTTCTGAGTCAGACGCGAAGCAATCATCTTCCCGATGAATGGTTATGATATTGCAGGTTAGTACAGGTGCAGCTGTAGATGACTGTCCAGACGCCGAGAATCTACCAGTAACAGATTAGGCTGATCTGCGTAACTGGCTTGCTTATTGTGTCAAACTCTTCGTTTGTTCATCATCAAGATCATCAAATTACAGTTCTGTCTCGACATCGCTGTCACCATCTCCCCGTTTTCCTTGCCGAGCTCTGGAGCCATGTTACCAGACGACGACCGGGATCGCCGTGCATTTAGGAGCTCTGCAGATGATCTGGTCGAAAGGCCTAGGCACTTGGGTATAACACAAATGTAAGCGGTCTATCAACTGAAAATACTCGCCTCTACGGATTACAGCGCGCAGGAAATCGTGACGATGAGTGAAAAAGCGAGAGAGGGGCTCTGACTGCGCCTGACGTTTCTAGGCTGCGCACTTGCATCGTATGCGATGACGAAAAACCTCAAGTATGCTTTCCAGCCTTACCTACATGCACTCATAAGCCAGATATTTGTTCAACGTGCTATACAGAGTGTATAGCCATACAGTTAGTATCCAACGGCTAGCTTCAAAACGTCCGAGTATAGAATGCGATGGCTTACTGACGTACTAGCTGATCGGAACCTACGCCACACCAGACATCTCTTGACAGCAAGAGAACTTTACAGAGCGCGAAATATCGAGTTCAGTTCCCGGCTTCTATTGGTACAAAGCCGGAGGCTGCGGTTCAAGACATACACCTGGCTGATGGACGAAGAAGTACCAACATGTTCAGGTGTATGGCTTGTAAGGGATATTTCTAAGTTTTCTTGAGGCTCCACGGTACTGAAACCACACGTACTGAGAACATGAGTGCAGACTCCAGGAGTAGAGGCGCAGCTCAGGCTGATCACGCCGGAGAAGATGAGCCGAGCTTGCGAACTTTCGAGCCGCTCACTAAGAATTACCCACAAGAGACTTGCTGCGCTCCCATCGAGAAGGCTGATGGACGGAATACATGACTTGTGAGCTTGAAAAGGGACCTATGGGTTCAGTGTACACTAACTGACTTAGCGTATGTACGATATGTTAACACGAGTTCTGCTGGGTTTGTCTTATGGCGTGGCAGATTTGTGGCCACAAATACTATGGCGTTCAGGTGCCCACAGCTGAATGGCTGATAGAGGCTCACCATGTGGTGGGCGTCAGACGCAGAAGTGACGGTTGTTGCACTACGACCGATTGATCGAGTATCAAGCTACTTATATGGCGCATCACCTTATTCATAGGAGTAGCTACATGTCGACCCACATGAATGTACTTTGTTTCGACCATAGTCAGGCCCCCGTATGCAAAGTCTTCTTGCGACAATGGCATGATGTCTGGCTGCAGCAGAAGTCTTGTTAAGCACAGATCGCATGCTGTGAAAGGTATAAACTGAATGCAGGCGCAAGGAGTGAGCTTTTTTGGTACTTATAGGCTCTGAATACGTCGGATTCAAACCGGTCCAGATCGGCTTCACTTCCGATGCCAAATACCCTGAAGTCCTCCAGGATGAATAGAAATCTGATGGCATTGGTTATGGTTCTCAGAAACGCCTGTAGAGAGATACCGTGTCTTTCCTCTTCCCAAAGACTATTGAAGTAGTATGGATACAGAAGGATGCTCCGAAGCCAAGGAAATTTCGAGGCGTCTGTCCAATCCAACCTGCTTGAGCGCGGTGGCCAACGCCTGGAACACGAAACGGCCGCTGTGAAGATACTCCCGGTAGTTGACTCTGTAGGCAGGCTGTGCCAGCGAAGGGACCCACCTTTAGATATGTGTGTTAACGAAAATCTGTGCTCGCTGAGGCAATGAGTCGAGTCAGTCAATATCGTGTCCACTTTTGGCGGGATCTATCACACCTCTGGCCCTGGTAACTTCGTTTCAGCTCAGTCACCGCAAACCGAGATAATTCTGCATAGGCAAGATTACACACTCGAGTTCATATGCCTACATTGAATGACGATCTAGTGAGGGGACTGAATCGAAGCACTGTCTGAGTGTGCATGTGACAGGGTGACAGCAGGAGATGCTGACAGTCAAGAGCTTCTTGTGGACAGGGCAACCAAGCTTCTGACTCCAATGCGAGCGTTTAGCAGCCTCAATTGCTTAAGTCGCATGTTTCAATGCTGACTTTGACTGCTCTTTTTTCGTGACACCGACCAACGCCATTTCGGTTTGCGTGATCGATATATTGACAACTTTGTGCAGGCGTAATAAGTACAAGCACCGCTTTCAGCATAGTATTGTTGATTCGAGACCCTACCCCTGAGAACGGAACGTGCACCGCCGCGGTTCGCGCTGGATTGATGACCTTTGTCCTCAGAGAAATGTAGAATCGCGGTGAAGCGCTTCTTGGAGTGGTGTTACCGCTAAATTGAAGCCGCCTCGAGGAATCATCCGCTGGAGTCTCAACATTTCATGTAAAGAAGGACTGTTTTACAAGTCTATAAATCAGTGAATCTAAAGGGCGTGCAATATCAATTGGTGTACCCCTCAATCTATTCTGTATGAGGTAGTTGGTATGGCCCACACGCAAACATGGGCGCTACACGCGCCAATACCGAAGTGCGCCATAACACTCTCTAGACCTCAAAGTTCGTTAAGCGATTGTGAGCCCAGGCCCCGTACCTTTATGCTTCGTGTTCATTCAAAACGTGGAATCACGGAGTGTACCTGTTCAAAGAAAGCCGAGGCACAGATACGAGACCTGGCTATATTCATCGCTGGTCTGTTAAAGCTTGTTTTCAGCCTTATGCGGTAGCCCTCGGTTCCGTCTAGGTTGTGTACCCATCAATCGCGGCCCACAGCGAGAATGGATGAATATGCCGCGGCTAGCAAGGATCACATGTTCGTTGCGAGTCTCAGAGGTGCACCGCCTATGAAACAAAGCTCGGCTTTGCGAACGCGAAACTGAGAACTTGATGCGCAACATAGTACCTTTAAGCGAACAACTTCATAGGCCGCGACGGAGAAAGTACAGGCTCTGATAGAGACGTTCGATCTGGCTATCAAGTTCCTTGCCTTGGGTAAACATGTCGCGGCAGCGTGTCGCAAAACTTCACGTGTAAGTGTGACTAGGGACTATCAACTGCATTGTGACGCCGCTTTTCGCACGCATCAGAGTTCATAGAACAGCTCTTCCAGCCTTTACTCTAGGGTTGCTTGTGAATCTAAGCGTCTGGCGTCCTTCATACCGCCCTCGCTAGACACGGAGGCAAGTAAAAATTAAGGTTGTGTTTCCGAATCTCGGCACCATTGAAACAACTACAATCCGCTGTCAATGCTAGCTCGTATCTGACAGCAGCGTCATCGTAGCTGTGGCTACAGGAAGAGATACATCCAAGCCCAGCTGTCTACACAAGCCTTCTCTGCATCAGTATAAAGATGACGGGGTGCTGTTACTCATTGCACCACAACTACATTCGTCACATTCACTACATTCAGTACATTCACTCTCTTTTCTATACTCATTCACTTGCTTCCTTTTGTACACTCTTTGACTTACTTTCTTTTCCACACTCGGTCACTTGCTTGCAAGGCATCCATTATTCTCTCCTATCATGAAGCTTACCATTCTTACACTCGGCAGCGCTCTCTCCGTCAACGCTGCCGTCCTCGGCGAAAGAGCCACCTTCGCCGTCGTTGGAAAACCCGAGGGTTTCGCTACTGGTACCACTGGAGGTGGCGCCGCCAAGTGTGTTGCTCCCGGCAACGTGAAGGTGCTGAAGGAATGGCTTATGGACTCAACTCCTCGCTGCATTGTCATCGACAAGGAATACAGCTTCAAAGGCACCGAGGGGACCACTAAGGCGAACGGATGCAGGCCCGTTTCTAACAAATGTCCTGGTAAGGGTGGCCAGGATGCCATCAACATAGCCTCTTGGTGCGATAACGGTAACGCTGGCGCTGGCTCCAAGGCTATCAGCGTCACCTATGACAATGCTGGTATCTCTGCTATCAATCTGGGTGAGTCTGATCATTCCTATAGCTGGGCGATAAAGTTGACCATTTGCTAGGATCTAACAAAAGTATCATCGGAGTCGGAAGCCAGGGTGTGATCCGCGGGAAGGGCCTCCGCATCGCCAACGGATCCAAGAACATCATCATCCAGAATGTCCACATAACTGAGGTAAATTCCATGTGCGATCTGGTGGATTCAAAACTGACGGAAGCTAGCTCAACCCTCAGTACATCTGGGGTGGTGACGCTATCACCCTCGCTGGAACTGACATGGTTTGGATCGGTGCGTCTGGTACTGAAATTTCTCCAACTGACCAACGCTGACACAAAACAGATCACTGCAAAATCTCCTTGGTTGGTCGCCAAATGTTTGTCGCTGGTCAGGCCGCGTCTAACCGTGTCACCCTCTCTAACAACGAGTTCGACGGTCAGACTAGTTGGTCTGCTTCTTGTGACAACCGCCACTACTGGACCTTCCTTGCCCTCGGCTCTAATGATCAGATCACTTTGAAGGGGAACTACATTCACCACACCAGCGGCCGCAGCCCTAAGATCGGTGGAAACACCGTCCTTCACGCTGTCAACAACTTTTGGGACAGCAACAGTGGTCACGCGTTCGACAATCATGCGGGTGGTCACGTTCTTGCTGAGGGCAATATCTTCCAAAACGTCGCGACGACAATGCTCGGAAACGAGGGCAGCGTCTTCGCCTCTCCAAGCAGCAGCCTTAACACTCAGTGCAGCGCCAATCTGAAGCACACTTGCGCCGTCAATTCGTACGTCGATAGTCCTACTATTGCAGGTTCTGATGCCTCTGTCCTCGCCCGTTTCCAGGGCAAGAACGCCGCTAGCGTTGCGTCTACAAACGGCGCAACCATCAAATCGAAGGCTGGTGTTGGCAAGATCTGAAGGGGTGTTCTTGCCCCTTCACTTCGAAGCTTCGTTGCGCTAGGCTGAGCGAGCAACGCGACCGGTGGCTTTGCAGCTGTCACATTCCTCTTCACTGTAAATCATCACTTTGTTTTGCCTTTGCTCGTAGCAACATGCTCTGTATATATTCCATTCTTTCCTGTTGCAGGTCAGCGATTTCAAATCTCAATTATGCTATAGAAACTTAGTGGCCAGGCCATTGTCTGAAAATCATACAACAATTCACACACTCTTTGATGTACTTGTCGGAGGGTCGCACAGTAGCCCAGAATCGAGACTCTGGTATAAAGAAAAGAGTTTTCACTTCAAGAAAGAGACTGAGGAGGGCAAAAAACTTATTGTTTAGGCGGATAGCCTGGATGGGTAACCGTCGTGCTAGCATGAAGTGAGGCCATCTGACCGACTGGCTGGTGTGTCTGAACGTTCATTTTGCACTTGAAATGCGAGCTGCACCGATGGTGGCTCGGTCCTTCCACCAGATAGGTGATTAGTTCGTCATCGTCATGCGTGACAATGAGTGGTGCAAGATGGGGTCTTGAAAGTGAAGATGTGTGACTCTCGGTTCAACTCGGCAGGAGCTTGAACTTAACTTGAATTCTAGGTGAAGCGCGCTTGTGTCTGAGCCCGCGTCAGAACACGATCTACAGCCGCTGTCAAGGTTGCCAGTGCGTGGGGGCGAATTAGCGCGCTAAGCGAGACATGATGTACCAAGCATTATTTTACGCTTTACGCCCATTAAGCGTGTTTGAACACGCCTTGCCGGCTTTGTCGCAAGTAATCCCACCTACGTTCCTCGACTTAACTCGAAATAATCCATACAAGTTCATATAAGATTTGCCATTATCGCTTGATGTTCTCCGGCCCAAGGAACCACGCACAAGTGCTATGTACATACAATGGGGCCCACCAGAGAAGACTACTCCCCTTCTTCCGCTTCTGCACCACTGCTGTCGGAGGAGCAGCAAGGCAAGGCCGAGCCCGCGTTCATGCAGAAGCTGCAGTCGCGAAAGTGGCTACGGCAGGCTGTGCTTGCCTCCGCATGGATACTGACGGCACTCTTGTCCATGGCCATTGGCGCCACGTTCGGTTGGCATCCGCCGTGCTCGGCTTCAGCCAACTCGATCCCCAACTCGGCCGTCCCCGGTAGCCAGTCATCTCCGCCTTCTGTTCCTTCCGCCTCCCTGTCCGCGCGCAGTAGCTCACAGTCGCCATCGAAGGAACGCTGCCCGAGCGGCCCACGCGCCTCGATCCCAGCCCGGATGTCGACGCCTACTGGCGGCGGCTGACAGGCAACGACACAGCGATCCTGCTGCTCGCCACGGAAGACGACGTGCGCGCTGCCGGCCGCGACCCCGCGACGGCGGTGCAGGTGCCCGAGGAATTTGGGTACGGCCCGAGGCGCTACCCAGCAGCGCCGCACACGATGCACGCACTGCACTGCCTCAACGCGCTGCGCAAGATGGCACACGGCCACGCCGACCACGACGATGATTCGATTTTCGCGACGCTGCACCGCCGCCACTGCGTCGACTCGCTGGCCGAGCTGATCACGTGCAAGGCGAGCACGGCGGTGACGTTCTTCGAGTGGATGGAGGACTGGCTGGTGCCGTACCACGACCTGCGACACCAGGAGGAGTGCGACGACTTCGGCGCGCTGCTCGAGTTCGTCGAGGAGCGCGGCTTCTACGACGAGCGCACTGTGTGGCTGAACAAGCCGCGCGGCGCAAAGGAGGCGAGGAGCGGCCCGGCCAGGGAGGAAATGCTGGCCGAGCGTCGTGAGTGGGATCGTGACCACCCTGAGAGTTCCACCGAGGCGAACAACAGACGGAGGGTGCAGATGTTCAGAGATGTGTTGGCCAAGCATGGCTCGTTGGACTATTTCGATAAGACAGTCGGAGCTGACACCGGATGGTGAACGCGTCCCCCCGTAGTCAGCGTCAGTTTCCGTAATCAAGAGCGACCCCCGAGCCTCTCATAATACATGCCATTCCTCATCTGATTGCGATTGGAAATATGCAGCTGCCGAAATCATCGTGTGTATACCGTACACGAAGCTCCCTTCCTGTTGCACCAACATGATCATATTGCCCGTCACTCATCCCCAGCACACTAAGCCTAGACCAGTCTCTCCGTCTCCATACACCTTGCTCCTAATCAGCCCCATGATTGCTCCAGATCAACAGCATGCCGACGGTTCTGTGAAGGTCATGTAATCCTTTGGCCATCAGCTCGTGGTTAGAGGCGTTCAAGAGAAAGGGTCCAAAGGGCATGTTTCGTTCAGCTAATGTGCATTGCATATCCTTGTTGACCTTGATCTGTGTTTTCAAATGCTTAATAGTGTTATGACACTTAAGTCTAACTGGGTTTTGTGTTGCTGACTAGTGTGCTTTTCTCATATTATACGCGTAAGAGGCGTGATGGTTTACTCCAGCCAATCAGAGCAACACAATAGCTTTACCAAGACCCTATGGCTCCGAAAGGTCGAGAGTGGTTATAGCAAAGATGCCTGCAACAAAGAGGACAAACAAAATAAAAATGGTAGAAGCATCTTTCAGGCGCTGGCCTCAACTCCTACAAAAAATATTCCATTTCGGGTAGCACTGTGGACAGCATTCGGAAAGGAAGAAGTAAAAGCCCTCCTCGCGGCCTTTACACATCATTGTTCTACCCACCACAATGAAGTGGTTCTCGCGGCGTACCGAGGATGCCGCCTATCACGACCCAACGACACTTCAGTCACGAAGACGATGCCGAACCGAGTTTCGCATATACTTGCCCGTCCTGGCCATCATATGCCTCGGCATCCTCTCCCTACCTCTGCTGGCAACACAGGTCACGCAATCAACCAAGCCCCGTGGCCCCTTGCACTGTAGGAGGCACTGAGTGCCGGCTGTATCTTCGACTTCGGACACGTCATCTGGCTGCCGCCCGAGTGCTACGATGCCCGCCAAGCTGCCGAGTTCCTCGCGCAAGGGCCCCTGCTGATGCCGACAATGCCGACAATGCCGCCGATACCGCTGTCGCGCAATCGCGTTAACATGACAGTCAAGGAGGTCGGCTTCGCGACCCAGGACGTTCGAAAGACAATGCAATACCACCTCGACCACTGCGCATACTCTTGGAGGGTCTGGCATGAGGTGAGGACCGCGGGACCAAATATGCCAAGGTATGTAGTGGAGTTGGAACATACACACCACTGTACCATGATACTCATGGACACCTCTATCGCCGCAGACGCCATCACGGCGACGATCCATGTTGGCGCTCATAAGTGTGTTGACCCTTGAGGGATTCGGTTCTTTTGCGGCACACCAGCCATAGTAACTCATCAATGACGCTTCTTCAGTAGGAACCGCGTTCTAGATATCCAAGTCGCGTAGCTGGAGACCTGATGGATCTACGCATGCCCCCTCAGCGAAGCTGGCGTGCTGGGGCTCAATCCGTGTATGTGTAATACTTGAAATGAGGCGCTATCGTGGAATCGACAGTACCTCCCGCACTCTATCTGTCAGCCTAGTCCCCCCTAGCTATAAAGCCGTAAGGGTGGAAGAATCGCCTCCATATCTACACATGTACAAGTTTTACTTTCTTCTTTTGCACTGCATAAAGCAGATACCAACCTCCCTCCCTTTCTACTAGTAGAACTTCCTGCCCCCCAGAACTAGAAAAAATGTTCTAGCAGTACACTGCCACTTTACCTCCAGCATTCCGATATCTCCCCTTGGTAACATATCCAGGCGGGTGATCAAGTCTTCACGTGTGGCCCTTAGTAAGGCCTTGGTGAGCACGTCAGCCACTGTCGGCTGTAGCGACTCGCTGCGTGTTGATGGACCCCTCGTCCACTTTCTCCCGAATGAAGTGGTGCTTATCATTGACGGGAGTCCTCGCACCCGGCAAAGTCGCTGTAAACAAACCCCTGAAGTTTTGCACCATGTTTGCTCGAACAGGTGGTGCCCTTCCCTGGATCGCTTTAGAGACGAGCGAAAACTCGGTCCATGGCTTCCATGTGTTGCTGGTTGGGATTTGGATGCATATCGAGCCACGTATCCCGTGGCAAACGCTATGTCCGGCTGTGTCTAATTGCTGGCGAATTCGAGTGATGCAACTTTGGACTGGTATTCCTTGCGAAAATCTGGGTGGGCTGTGTGGCTTGACACCATCGAGGCGTACGTGGAACAACTTTCCAAGTGCCCTTTTCCTTGTGAGGCTTGACTTCTTCCTGCTTTGCAATGTGATCTTTTGCGTCGTTTGCGCTCTTAGGTCGGACTCGCAATCGGAGTGGCAATGTATCTTGTAGGCTGTATGCGGATAGACCGAATCCAAACTTTATGATATCGTTTTCGACCACCAGGCCATGACCCGTATGTCTAGAGACGTTGTGTCTACTTTGCCTGTCAGGATCCTCAAAGTTCTTTTGCAGAATCTGCCGACCGTTCGGCATTTGGGAGAAAAGTCTTTACGCAGCCCATCGCCTTGGCTTATTTCCTAGTGTCTGTGATTGTACACTACATTTGGTCGATCGCGAGGAATGTCATCACAGTATCTGCTTACCGTGTAATAGTTACTCATTATATATTATTCATACCCCGATATCCTTTCATCGAAGTATACAACAACTTCCACCGCATCGGTGGTTTAGTGGTAAAATTAGCCGTTGCCATCCATTACAGGACAGTCTCGGCTAGCCCCGGGTTCGATTCCCGGCCGATGCATTTTGCCTTCGCTCGAAGATCTGGATTAGGTGTAGCTGGAGTTTTTGCGGGTGGTGGTTGAGGTTTGCCAGTGAGTGTGGGTCACGTGCTCGGCAATGCTCGTGAGAACACCAGGGTGTGCACCGTGTCTTTTTGCGTTTGCATCATCTCAGGTCGAAACTTCAAATTATCTTCCTGTCTTGCGTTTGCTGTGAAGGTGATTGCTGCTGGTGCGAATATGAGCACTGGCTATTTGTAAAATGCCGCATACACACCTCAACTCGCCCCTTGAGAGCCCCTGGATGCGAGCAATCTCTGTGAGCATACCAAGTAGCTGTACGTGTGGAAGATGGCCCTTCCGCCATGTTGCAGCTCCGTAGCGTTGGACAAGGACGCTGGGTTAGGCTTTCTGAGCCATCAACCACATCGACGTGACTTTTGGGAATGTTGTGAGTAATGAGCAGTAGAGTTCAATCTGCAAAGCGCTTGCTCTATGAGGTTTGTATATATTCAGCTGAAACCGGTTCTGTTGACCTGAAACTTGGGGAGCAGCTAGAAGTACTTCCTGACGTTCAGATTGGGGTGTATCGGGCTGGGCAGGACGCCATGGGCGCTTAGGAAGCGATGACCGCATCCTATAACAACAAGAGATCACCTTGAACTCATTCTGGAGCATGCAATCCTTTTTTGGCAGATATACCCTACGATACAACTTGATAAGCGACGTTAGAGCCGCGCAGTTGTCCTCTATCTTGCCTGACAGTTCCGCTTGCGCTAGCTCTGGTCGCTCCGCAGACGGCGAATGTGATTCTTACCATCGATACGAAAGACTCCAGGTTCTTACTAGCGAAAGCAATCGAATCCACATCAAAGGCACAGTCTCCAATTATTTACGAAATCTTACATAAATAGCCTGGTGAGTGTTCTGTCCAAAGGTATCAATCACCTCACCCACGGTGTCGATGCAGCATCGACACAAGGCTCATATGCCAGCTTTGTGCAAATGTTGTACGAACAGATCAGGATGGCTTCAGTGCAAGTGTCACAAATCGCATGAGAGCGTTCGATGAGCAAGACCTGAACGCTCTCGCCTCAAACGGCGGCCTGACAATGATGGCGAAAAAGAATGAGCTGGAATGGACGCTGTCCCTGCGTGAGAAGCTGGTAATAGCTGGACAGAGTACACAAGTACTACAACCTTTTAGGTCTGTACATCCGCGACTGGGCAGATCGCGTGGAACGGTCCGACGCCAATCGAGGTTTTGGACAAAAGAGATCATCACCAATAGTTCAACGCTGGAATTCTCACGAGTTGAGCAGGACTCATGGCGCTCTGGAATCTTGTGTGAAAAAAGCTAGTGCGAGGATAGTCGAGGTGCTTTACTTCGAGACCACAAGAAATGCGGTACAACCATCCGCCTGATCGGTACACATACAGAGAGTGAATATCCGTGAATATATACCGTTTCAGGATATGAGCTCAGCTGCGACTGCCCCGTCAGCTCAGGCTCGGGCCCGGAAAGTGCGAGATGAAGTGGCTGGCACAAGAGAAAGAACCCATGCTAGAGCAAAGGGAGAGGCGGATGCGGCAAGGCTAAAAATACTTTGCGACTAGCTACAGACTGTTTAATTGCACAGGCTGGGCTCAAGAAAAACAGCTCCGCTTAGTCTTGGACATCCTTGAGCGTATGATGTACGACTTGAGTGGCAAAGGTTTTCCTACCCTGGAACCTACACAGAGGAATCGGGAATAACAGCTAGCATCCGTTGGTCTTTTTGCCTGTCAGCTGATTGATGAAGCTTTGTTCGCGGCTTCGGGTCGGCGCGTTGTCGTCAGCACACACGGTTATGGCGCAGGGTCGTAGGACATAAGATGTGATCATGACTGCATGCAGCATGCAGAGCTTCCAGAAGTAGTTTGCTGGTACTAAGAAACACTGTCTACAGTAGCCACTCAAAGTATGTCGTACAATAAAGGTTTGACGAGACTGCACTCCATCGGGAGCCAGAGAAGAGCTAACAGATATACGAGCCATCAAGGCTTCGTGCAAGCCAAGAATGCCATGGCCATACTTGCAAGACGAATTATAACAGAAACAGGGTTGAAAATGAAAACGAAAGGTCATGTGGAGCTGCGTCGCAGCTGGAGTTCCAAGGGCGGTTGTCCCGGCCCGGACGCACATTACGAACACCGGCTCCCCACCGGCAACCTCGCACCTGCACAATGCCTGCCACATCCGTCGCAGGGTCCTCGGATGGGCCGTAACAGCCGTTTCATACCTTGCTCCATCCCAAGGACTCGCCTCTTCCTTGGTTCGGGCCCCAGTATTCGCGAGGCACGGTGTATTGACCCTTTTCGAGGCCCTCGGCAAACAGCTCCCGGATTTTGTTCGCTCTTGTCCCATCACGAGGCTCCAAGTCGAATTGGAAAGGAATAGGCTTTGCGATGAGTAAGATAGAGTAGTCAAGCGTTGGGTCCTCGGGCTTCTGAGACGCATCACCCCATTCGATGGGTCTGTGACCTGGTGGGAATGGTCGAGTGGATCGCGCAAGCTCGAGGCTGGCTTTTTCTGAGATCAGATTCGTGGATGTGAGGCCGGAGTTGAGCTCCTCGTTTGAGATTGTGCGTTTCTTGTTCATGTCAACAAGCTGCTTGGGCTTCTCAGGTACGGATGGCTTCGACTTGTCCTGCGAGTATTTCGAGATATTGAACAGCCATGCAATGGATCCAATACCGATGAACATGTCTTCGTCTGCCACTGCTTGCCCTTGGCAGACACGTCGTCCATAGCCAAACTGGGATGAGTTGATGATGGTAGGAAATTGAGTAAGAGGCTCTTTATATGTTGGGAACTCAGGCTTTAGCCATCGCAGTGGATTGAAGGTTTCGGGATCAGGATAGACTTCCGGGTCACGAGAGATTGCCCTGCATAGGTCAGCTAAACTGATCGACAAGTACAACCAATTTCAACTTACCATTCAAGCGGGTGGATTGTGCTACCCTTAGGAATATGGAACCCATCGTACTCGTCATCCTGTGTCAGATAGTGAGGGATGCCAGTGGGCACCGGTGGTCGCCAGCGGATCAGCTCGCGAATAATTGCGCGAAGCATTGGCATGTTAGGGCGGTCCTCAGCGATGGGGAGTCTGTCGCCACAGACACGATCAATTTCTTCTTGTAGCATCGAGAGGTATTGTGGGTAGTGCGACATGGCTAGACAGAAAGACTGCATCGGCGCGGCAATTGTCAGAGCACCGGCAATACCATGCATGCCAACGGCGTAGGCACCCTCGAGATCAGACTTGAAGCCGAACTTGCTGGCTCCATGCGTGAGGAAGGTCTTCATCCACGAAGCTGGTGCAGTCTTCTCTTGTATGTCTCTCTCAACCTGTGCCTGCATGGTCTGGAAGAATGTTCGCTCAGTCTTAGCTCGTCGCTTCTCCCATGACTTGGCCGGCGACATCCAGTCAGGCAGTGCCATTAAGAAAGGCAGCTTGTTGCCCAGAGCGCCAGTTGGTGAGACGCCGACCAGAAGTTCGCGCGCACGCTGTTTGAGTTCGTCACTAGCTTCGGCATGGCCCCAGGCTAGGCGGGATGTAATGCGAGCAATAAAGGATTCGAGCGCGTGATTATACTGATCAGGCTCCGCGAGCAGCTCGACAAGCATGCGCTTCGCTTCTAGCTCTGGGTACCGATGGAATGTTGCCTGTTCGGACTCGCGCATAATGACGTTGGCGAATTTCCTTTGACGGGTATGACCCTCTGTCAGGTGTCAGTAACGACATCACAGCGTCAATGACTATGCGTACCATTTCTGCTGAGTAATGGGAGATATTGTGCGCTAGTACGGTTGTCATCGATCAATGCGGGAATGTGTGGTCGGTCCGAGTAGATGGCGGCCTTCTTCGAGAGGAGATCGTGGGCGATATTCTCTGATGAAATCCAGACATGGTTGGATCCAGCCAGGTTGCACTGATATATTGGACCATACTCCTTGCCCCAGTCTGCGAACTTGATGAACCCATTTTTTTCTGGTACGTCAGGTATTGAGCCGATAATTGGGTAGCCTAGTAGGTGTCAGTGGGAATGTTTGTTGTTTGTATGCTTAACTGCCATGTTGAAGTGGAGAATGCTTACCTTTTGGCCCAGGGAGTGGCTTCAGACTCGTTGGAACTTTGTTATGGCGACATGATTCCAAGTATTTGTATAGTGCATATGCACTTAGAAATGTAGCTACTAGGATGAAAGTAAGGAGTGCCATGTTGTCGGGATGTATACTTCGACTTATATGTGACAGTTACCAGAACCTGACCACGGAAGCACGAAGGATCCTCAACTTCTCTAATGACAGCATATTGGGGCGTCGCGTGCTACATATAGACCTGCGAGCGTCAGAGTGGGACAACCATTACCTGGTCTGTGGTACGCCGTGCTTGGTATGTGGCAAGCCGTGCCTATGGCCCCTGGTATAGGAAGTGGTTTCGAGTATGAATACCGTGCGCATGGTGCAGATCTTGCGTGTCAGTGCCAGCTAAGTGGACCACATAACTGACATCGGGTAGCGTTGCAGCTCAATAGTCCGTCTCGCTTGCTTGCAAACCAGTGCTGCCGCCAGATGGCTGTGAGCACTTCACTGATCAACGCTGTACGATGTTCGTCACGGCGCACATTCTTGGCCTTGGCCCAGGTATTCGTATGGGAACATGTCAGACATTGGCAGATCACTTGAGTGCATTTGCAGCGGAGGGTGACTTTCCGAAGCTTGATCTGCAGTGCGACATCATCGATGGGACGCGTCTTGGGTGCTCTCAGAGAGCTCTCGCCATGCTACAGCATGAGCCATCTGTAGAGATGACATGCATGCTTTCACAATGATCAACCAAGCTTATCTCCAAAGCTGGACAAGGTTGGCTTCCTGTTGGCATGGGTACCTTCACCTGTGTTCCTGCCTCCAATTTCACAGCAGGGGTACATGTGGCGTTGCGAACGACGTCCCCAAGGACTGCACTGGATGTACTGGAACAGTTTCTTACTACTTGTGGGTCGCAGTTGTTCTTCTGGAGGTGCTTGAATCGTGAAATCGATGTTGCTAATGAGGTGTTTGCGCAAGAGGTTGAAACCGTTCTATTTTCGTGTCGGGTAGCAGCCAATGAATGTCTTGGACCCGCAGCCTTGCGCTCTTTCGGAGATGGCCTCGAAACGATTCGTTACTTCCCAAACAGGCGGACCTTCGAAGTTCCAAATTGATCCTTTTCAGAAAAGTCCCTCATGAGGAGAGCCGATGCTACTGAACTGGCTCTCCAAGCACGAATTTATTCTTGTTCTGCCGCTGTCAGAAGCATGAGGTCTGCAGGCCATTGGTGTGGCTGGCTAGTACGTATATGTATTATGGCTAGCTCGTACCTGGCACTGCAGGCCCTCTCACGTCGCACCTCACCAGAAGAGCCTTGAGATCTTGCGTTTCACAACATCTTCAATGAACTTTCGAACATCAACAAAGCAACGCTCCACTAAGCTTCACATGAACAGCTTTGAGCACGAAATACGCCTACTCAGGGCAGCTCAGACCTGTTTAGAAATCTCCCGCCGGCCGCACTGATCGGATCGCCCCACCCACCCTCACCAACCGCTTGCCCCTTAGCCCTGTAACTACCTTGCACATGCTGGATCACTCTGCTCCGAACCGCAGTGTGCTCGATACGGCAATAACTGCGGCTAAGGGAATACCAACTGTCCTCGGGAAATTAACCAATAGTCGAATAAGCAGTCTGTTTCAACCATACACACCAGTGCTATCCCCTCCACGCCTCGACCCCACAGCAGGCCAATCGCCATTGACGATTCCTATGCAAACCTACACAGTGTTCGCGTCTGGAGGAAGTGACCCTCGCCTAGAACGTCCGTTGATTCAAGCAACAGCACGCGAGCAGCGTTCAGTCACAGCTAACCAGCACCTGCTTCTGACCAATGCGGTGATGCTGGCAAGGATGCGGTGTCCATGTCCCAAAGCTGTAAGAGCTGCAAGTCTGCTTGTATAGGAACCTCACCTATTTCCCGGGTTCCAAGTGTTCCAAGTGGTTATCAGGTGCTCAACAAACCAGGACTGACACCACTCAGCCTGGTGTGATTGCGACGACTGAACCCGGTCGAACACATATGCCTGGCATGGCACAGTGCTGGGGCAGCGTACAACCTCGAGATACGAATCTTTGCAAGCGTCTCCGTACGAACCCTCAGGACACCCCATGATTACTGAGCTTCGATGTATTTCCCTGTACGCGCCAATCGGCAACACGCACGTCCTGGTAGGTCATACAGCGTCGTTTGCGCAGCAGATGGCCCATCACCCGGAGCACCTGTATCAACATAAGCTTTACATGGCGGGTCGGTCCTGACCCTCTTCGTCATGTCTGCTTGCCACGACAGTCGTTACAATAGCGAGCTGGTCTTGTTGGCTGCAAAGCACCTGTGACTCGGCCACAGCATATACCACGGGCATTATACACGCCGACGTCCGCGTGCTACCGTAAACCCGGGATGGATGATCGTTTAGCGGGTGCATTACCAAGGCTAAAAGCACAGTCGATCGCAGTCTTCGTATGTCGGAATACTATATGGACTTACTCGATCGCCAATGCTCTCGGTCGCCAATGCTCGCGGTCGCCAATGCTCGCAGTCGCCAATGCTCGCAGTCGCCAATGCTCGCGGTCGCCAATGCTCGCGGTCGCTAATGCTCGCGGTCGCTAATGCTCGCGGCCGCCAATGCTCTCGATTACCAATGCTCTCGGTCGCCAATGCTCTCGGTCGCCAATGCCCTCAGTCGCCAATGCCCTCAGTCGCCAATGCCCTCAGTCGCCAATGCTCTCAGCGATGAAGCTGAACAATATCGGTGCTTCCGTACCGATACGTACCAACGTCATATAGTCAATCGTTCAAAAGTTGGATGCAGATAAGCCTTCATGGGTATAGAACGCTGGACGCCCAACCCAAGCTGCTTTCCAGGAAACCAAAGTGTACCAGCCCAAAAGCCACATCGCAGAGAATAGTGCAACGAGTGCCTATCTGCCAAACGGCGTGCGAAGCGGAGAGCTTCTGTCAAGACTCTCTTCACCGGTACTCCGCGGAGAGAATCCTTCTCGGCCCCGCAGTACCCATCTCCCTCGCTCTCCAGTCTGTGCGAGATTCTCTTGCATCTATTTTCTCGCCATGACCTCTTCTCGCCATGGCCTTTGACGTACTCTGCAACCTTGATGATTTGAGCAACATGTCCGACCTTCTGTTAAAATGTCGATATGAATCATGCAAGTGTCCCTCTGAAGTCGGACAGACACAAGGCGAGGTGCGCCACACGGAGACGGTTACGAACATGTCGATATTGCTAAATTGCATGATGCCAATGGTCGTCCATGCAGGGTCTTGTACATCCACCGCCGACCTTCGTACTGATACAAGCTGTCTTACAACGCCGAAGCCATGTGGTGGCACCAGCGCAACCCTCCCTGCGCCAGAAATGTTTATACAATGGTTAAGATGTCCTCGACCTTGCTTCCTCTCTACCACACCCTGCACAAGGCCATACCGCCCAGCTGCCTCTCGACGCACTCACGCGCCTCCAGAATTCCCCGGTCGGTGGTGAGGAACATGCACTCTCCCGGATGTGTCAGGCCCTTTACATAGCTCGACTCTCGCGTCCGTGTGATCTTGGCCAGGTCCTGTGATGTGAGCCATATCCGTCGCGTGGGCTTGGAGATCAGCTTCATGTTCTTCAGCACAGGCTCGTTGCTCCAATACTTCAGGCCGAGCCACAGGCGACGCCGCGCAGGGTTCTGCGGCACGCTGACGTGCTCAATCTTCTCCTTGCCCAGGTCCGCCTCCGTGTGCTCGCCGCCGTCGACGTTGAACGCTTGCCAGGGCTCCGCTTTGAGGCGCTGCGCCATGTTCTCCAGCTCTGCCGGGTCGGGCTGTGTCTGCAGCAGGAACGGCTTGGGCGGCGAGACGCCGCCGAGCGTCACCGAGGAGAGGAAGCCCTCGCGCTGCAGCCCGAGAACGAGGTTCACGTGCATCTTCGAGACGGGGATCGATGTGAGGCCGAGGCGGGCTTTGGAGGCGTTTTGCAGATGCGAGCACACGTGTGCCAGGTTGACGAGAGACATGTTGGCAGTGTTGGTGCGGTGTGTGCCCTCGAGGGGCTGCGGCGAGATCGGGGGAGATGCGCCGAGGGCTGCGAGTGTCAAGCGGCGGTCGCGCGTTCGAGTGCACGGGTTGGTGGCGATGCAGGGCGTGCGTGGTGCTGCAATTGCGCGTGCGGCCGGCGAGGGCTGCTGGCGGTAGACTTTTCGAAGTTGCACCCATCGCCGCCGGAGGAGCCACATGGCTGGCCCAAGCTCTCGCGGCCAACCCACCAACCAACCCACCCAACTTGCCCTCGACTCCAGCGCTCGCGCTTGCCATGGCTCTAAGGATGCGGGCGCTTCGAGGACCAATAGGTACCACACTCGTCCTCACAACGGCTCCAGTGCCCTAGCGTGCCTCTGCTCAGACGCTTCTATATATTCCTGGATCTCCTGTCGTGACTCTTGCGTGCTGATTCTCTTTGTGTTGTCCTTCGCAGCCCCGTGAAAGCGTGATACTGGCATTGTTAGACGTGATCGGACCTCACACACCAGCACCATGCCTCCTCAGCAAGGAGAGGTGTCCTTGACGACGCTGTATGCTGTCACATTACACAGGCCTTTGACGCAAAGCTAATGTCCGCGCAGCTTTGCAGACGTCCACTACTACTTCTCCCCGCCTACATACCAACCCCCGCACCACCGCTTTGACAAGAGCTCCTATGTCTACCTGTATCACAACCCCATGCGCCAGAGCGGGCGCATAGAGATTGCGAACAATGCTGGGACTCCGTCTCAAGATGCGGTCGCTGGTCGTGAGTCTCCATTAGAAGTGGGCTGTGTTGAAGGCTTGGGCTAACCTAGGGTGTCCAATAGAGTTGGAATCGGTCAAGGTCGAGCAGAGCTACAAGCACCCATGCTTGTTCACCCTAACACTGGACGTGTTCGGTGGCCAGCATGGAAGCCCAGCTTCTTCACCTCAGCAAGACATGTCCCAATGGCACCTTCCAGTGCCAGACCCGAACAACCAGGGCAAGTACATGTACAGGCTGCACACCGTCGACATGTACCTGTGGACACAGAACGATGCAAGCATGTTCCTGGATTCGCTACGAAGGGTTGTGCAGCCACATCAGCTTCAGATCATTGCGGATCCAAACGCTATATCGCCGACGTCACTACCTCACGAACACAAGCACGACACGATGAGTCCAGTCATTGCCAACCTCGAAAGAGCCGCGATATCGCACCAGAGCCGCACTCCCAGCATCAGCTCCACACAAGCGTTTCCTGGCCCTCCGCAGGCAGCTTTCCCTGGGCCTCCTCCAGCCGCTCCTACCTCCACTGCAACCCCCTCGGTAGGAAACCAAGGCTACACGCCTATGGCTGCCTACAATCCTGCTGCACCAGCTGCACCGGAGCCCATCGCCCATCGCGAGAAGACCCCGCCGCCTCTAGATGCGGCAGAAGGGACTGGTCTGACTGGAGCAGCCATACATGACTCGCAACCTCAGCAGTACAGCAATCCCTTGCAGACCTCGTTCGCCCCTCAACAGACCTCTGGATCATACATGCCTGGTCCTCCAGCACCTGGTCAAGGCTTCAGTGGTCCACCAAGCGTGCAACGAACCAACACAGCGGGTTCAATGCCTCCGCCGCCCCAAAGCCCACCGTCGTTCGCAGGTCCACCTCAGAGCCCCCCTTCGTTTGCAGGCCCGCCTCAGTCTGCGCCTCCTGCAGAACCCTATGGTCAGAGTGCTCCACAGCATCCAGGCGTGCAGCGGCAGTCGTCTGTCCCGGTTCAACAGTACGCCGGCTACACTGCTGGGCCTCAGTCTCCTGGTCTGCCCTCACCTGCTCCAACCCAGCCACAGCATTACCTAGGTTATGCGCAGCACCAGTACGGCAGCACTGCACAGCAGACGCCTGGGACAGACCCAGCCGATATGCACAAGCAGTTCTACCGTCCAACTGAACAGGAGGCTGTTGTTGACGACAACAGCACGGCAGCGACACCTAACTCGAACATGGGCAAGAGAGTCGTAAAGGTCGAGAAGGGCGTTGGCCGGTTTCTGAAAAAGCTGGACAGTAAGTGGTAAGCATCAGAGCGTGTGTAATGCGATTTAGCCAGCGAGCGATGTTTAGAGCATATACCCACTCGTTTAAGCAATTCAGACAGCAGAGACAGCAAAGACGGCAGAGACAGCAAAGACGGCAGAGACAGCAAAGACGGCAGAGACAGCAAAGACAGCAGAGACAGCAAAGACAGCAGAGACAGCAGAGACAGCAAAGACAGCAACTCATTCTGTGCCCGAGGATTGGTGATGATCTGCAGTGTGATCGCCGAGCGCCTGGTGCCAATCAAAGTTGTACGCTAGCATGCGGAAGCCGGCCCCCAGAATAGCAGCAGGTTTTGAGAGATGACATGTGCGCGTCGCCTTCATGCTGCTGATGTGAGCGATCGAGAGCTCCCAGGCGCAGGGAAGGGAGACGTGTGCGAAATTGTACACAGCAGATGCTGGAGTTTGATTTCACGGACATCGAGTCCCGTTGAGGCTCGAGGTGCCATGGCCTATCTTGCACCGCCCCAGCCACAGCTCTGTCAGCCCTGCATCTTGCATCCTGCCCTCACAGCCTGCGCCAAGGCATGTTCTAGGCTGAGCTGCGCCTGGATGCTGCTCATAGCCCCTCCCCACCTCCACAGTCTACGTGCCTTTGCTCGCCGCCGCAACCTGGAGCGCAATTGCATTATTGTCCAGCGCATCCGTTTGGACGTTTACGTTTCCAGGGAATCGACTTGACACCTGCTAGCGCGTCTCAACGCCGAAGGACCCGCGTTGCGAGCTCCACTTGCTCCAGGCGGTGATCTCATTTTCAGATTTGGTTCAAGGGCAGGCTTGATAGCTGACAACGGCCTGTCACCCACCGCAGGGCAGTCGCGTGTACAATGAGGCTACCCATGTTGGAAGCGAGGGCAGGTGCCCTCGAGCGCAGGCTGGACAAGCAGAACAAGAGCTTCGTTATTGTACGCGCCTCGCGCACGCCGCGCATATTGCTGGACCGTCCGTCTTACTAACACACGGCGCAGATAGCACTCATTGTCGCAGCAGTATTCGCAATCCTCGTGACCACATATCTCCTTACTCTGCGGTACCGGCGGCCCTTCTCCACGCTGCGCAACACAGACCAGTCGACGGACAACAAGCTGCCGTCGTTGTTTTCGTTCAAGCGGCTTTTCAAGAGGAATCGCCATGAATACTCCAACACGCTGCAGGACACTGCGTACCGCGGCCCCGGCGCCAGCGACAGCGCCCGCGACCGTGAGATGAGCGGGGCGAGCAACGCTGAGCGGCAGGCCGGAACCGCAGGCGTAGACAGGAACACGTCGGTACGCAGTGTCATGACACTGCCCGCCTACTCGCGGTCGGTGCGAGAGAACGAGCGGGTTCTGGGTCGCGAAGGCGAGAGAGCAGGCATGGACAACGTGGTCGAGCTGCCGGAGACGGCCGACGACGAGGAATCGCAGCGCAACGAGGAGATGGAGTCCCTCTACCAGATTCGCCTGGCACGGCGAGCAGAAGCAGCAGAGCGCGAGGCACGGCGAGAAGCCAGGCGCGACGCCCGCGCAAGAGGCGACACGATTGCACTCGCGGAGATTCGCCGCCGAGCCGAAGAAGCCGCCGACCTGTCTGTCTCGCAGATGCTCATCGCCGAGCACCAGACCCGCAGCCGCGACCGGCGAGTCTCTTCTGTAGCCTACGGCGACCTGGGCGTGGCGCGACACGACGGCACCCGCCTGCGCGCCAACTCACACGACAGCGACAATCGCCCGCTCCTCGACAGCGCCGCGTCCATCTCAGGCATCAGCGGCCGTTCGCGCGGTCTCACCAACCAGTCCACGAACACGCTCGACACGCACCACCGCGGCCTGTCCATCACTTCGATTCCGCGAACATCCGTTGATTCGCGCGCATCCAACGAGTCCGAGTCCCCGCCAGCTGTGCAGACTCGCTCAGATTCGAGCAGCGACATCGCCAGCAACGGCCTCCAGACAGTACCCAGTGCTCGGGACACGAGCCCAAGTCTAAGCAGAAACGGAGGCGCAACACCAAGCCCAGAGGCCGCTGCTGAAGAGGCGCCTGCGTACGAAGACCCGCCAGACTACACAAGCCCCGTCGAACGAAGGGCGCCCCAGCTGCCGCGCCTACCAACTCTCGAGAGAATACCGAGCATTCGAGTGGTGACTACAGAGCCCACACCGATCGACCCCAACCCACCCTCGTCGTTCCGCTGATCGGGAAGCATTTCGATTTACACGCCACTTAGCGCCTCAGACTTCTTCTTCTTATTTAGCGGTACATATTGCAATCATCTGGATTGACGGATGACATCACGATAGCATGGCGGAGAGCAGCATTGACTGCCCATTCTGGATATCCTATACACGGTTTTGCATAGCCATCACTTGGACACGTCAATGTCGAATACCGACAACAGATTCACCACACATCATGTCCATCTCTCATACTTGCTTAATCCGTTTTTGCTGGGCTTACGCTACAAACGCCAGATGCGAAACAAATGTTAATAGGAAACCCAGGAGATATTTCACATGAAGGAGAACCGCCTCAACCCAGCACGTGCACCAAAGAACAGCCCTGTGCCAATGCATGTCAACAGAGGAATGCCGAACAAGCCCAGCCCAATCAGGATACCCTGCTCAAAGTACCCGATCGCGATCCACTCCACTCGCTTCTTCTCGTTGATCTCCTGCGCAGTCTTGCTCAGCGCCTCGGCTGCAGCTTTCCGCGCGTCCTTTCCACAGAGTACCTTCGCTAGCGCAGCGTGTGAGCGCGCCGCTGTTATGAACGCGGGCGACGGCCGGGTGAAGTGCGCTTTTGCGTACCGCGCATCGATGTCGATGGAGCGGTATGCGGGACCCGCGGGGCCCAGAAGCAGGCGGTAGGGCACGTGGTTCACGAACGAAGCATCTGCTCTTACGAACTGGCTGAGGTACTTCCCGGCTGATGGTGTGCCAAAGTAGTAGCCCGCGAGCAGGCCGGATGCGGATTCGCTGTCCTCGTCAATCAGGCTGATGGCGTGTTCGAGCGAGGTGATTGCCGAGACGGCGAAGACGGGGGAGTTTGATCTCGCCGGGAGGAAGGAAAGATTGCTCAGGTCGACTATGGCGCCCATTGAGCCTTGTGTCACTACGCTTGTTCGCCATGAAGTGCTGGTCTCTAGCGACTTGAGAGCCTCTGTGGTCGTTTTTGAACCCAGCCTATGTTCGCCCAGTGTCGGTGATTTCGGCGAGCCGTTTGATACGATGTCGTCTGAGGCGAGATACGGAATCGCGAACCTCAGGGCGTGCTCCAAGAACTCCTTCTTCACATACTCATTGACGAAGACGAGGTCAGGCGCGTACGGCGAGCTTCCGCCAAATGCAAAGCGCGCGGTGACCAGATGCTCGGCTGCAGCGACAATATCAGCCGTGCGATCGACGATGGCAATGACCTTGCTTTGTGGCGAGGCGAGCTGTGTGGACGTGGGATGCTGGACGTGGGTCTCTTGGAGTACTTGGAAGCAAGTCGCCAGGGCGTCTTGTGACGGCGCCGATAAGACGAGGGCGAAAGTATCCGATTCGAGGGCCTGCGCGAGGAGGGTTCGGAGCAGCGAAGGAAGGGCGCGGAGATTGTTGTCGAGCTATCTCATATCAGCGTCAGGTCTTCGGTGTGCAAAGTCGAGGGTCAAGAGCTTACCTTCAGCGCAACGCAGTTCCCAGCAGCCATCGCCGCACTCAGCGCCGCGACAATCGAGAACAACGGCGTGTGACGCTGCGACTCGATGTAAACAACGCCCCATGGCTGCGTCTGATTCTGCGCATCCCTGCCGTTTGAGACTCGGTACTCGTCCTCCAGCTCTCTCGCTGGATCTATCACCGCGTAGTGCGCCCTCACGAGGTCCAAAGACAGCGCGATCTCGACTGTTGCTTCCTGCTCTGACACGCGGGTGTCTGATCGTATAGCGTCTCGGATGGTGCTGCTGTCGCGCCGCAATGCGTCGTGCAGTGCCTTGAGCTGTTTCTGCCGGAAGAAAGCGTTGTGGCAGCGCGCTGTGAGGGCGGTTGCGTGTAGCTCTGCTATTGCTGACGACATGTTCACGACGCGACGAAGTCACCGAAGAAACAAAACATCTCGAAAGAAGAGTAATTGAAGAGAATTATGTGCTACTAATGTCATGCTCAAAATACATCGTTCATACGTAACGCCTCTCCGACTGGCAACGCCGCCTCGGGACGGGGCCCTCCACTTCGGGACAAGGCACACCCATCTCCACCACCCATAGGCGCCGACTGCGATCACGCGTAGCAACTGCACAGTCGCATAGCCTGGGTGCTATTCCCTCGCCATCCAACAATTCAAGCAGATCTGCCCCCACCACCATCAGCACCACCACCATCAGCACCACCAGCATCCCAGACTCCCGCCATGTCCGTAACCACGACCTCCAACCCGCTCACTTACGCCTCCGCCACCGTCCTCGCAGACTACCAACTCACACACTCATCCGAGTCCTCTGTCGATGAAGACGCCTTCGATCAGAGTCTGAACAACCACCCCGCGCCCGCGCCGCACACACACGCCCCCGCGGACTGGCCCACTCAACATCGCCGCGTTCCCGCGTTCCGCCCGGTAAACACGCGGCTTGATCAGAGCGAGCGCCGTGTGTATCAGAACGGGGTTGAAAGAGCGTTTATCGGGACGATGTTTACGGGGGTTTGGGTGTTGTCAGTAAGTTTGTCTCGGTGAGAAGGGAGAGGGAGAGGACGATGGGGTGCATATTGAAGTGTCGGGGCATTTGGCTGACGGGTGATAGACGGCTTCGAAGGTTTGGCATGCGACGGCTGGCAGGGTCTGGGATGTTGGGTATAAGCTTGGTGGGGAGTGGTGAGGCGGGTGGGTGCGAGAGGGTTGCGGGGTGTGGTGGTGCTTTTGCAGGTTGGATTTCTGGTGCGATGGTGGTGGATGCTTGTCTGGTTTGCTATGTATGCCTTTTGAGCCAATCATACCGCACTTGTTCCCGTGCTGTCTTTCTTCCCCTCAACTCCTCCACCGACGACGCAGTATAGCACACATGCCATCCATCGTATCGCGCAACCGTTCGTCTGAGATGCAAATGCCCGTGCAATGCGGCGGGTGGCAATTACGGACACCGGCGGCGCGCACCCCAGCGTTCGGCTTGGCCCACGACGCATGTCCTCCACATTCCGCGTCGTGATGACACTTGACCGCGATCTGACGGTCACCGATCAAATGAAGCGGGAAAAGGCAATATCGGACGGTCGATCTGGGTTGCGTGTTCTTTGTCTGCCACCAAGACCTTTCTTTCTTACGTCCTCGACAACGTCTTCGACACATCATCCACCATGGACTTCACACAGAGCCCAACAAACAGCGTCAGCGGCACATCGCACGGCGAGACAAGACCACTGAATATCACTATCGTCGGCGCTGGTATTGGCGGTCTCTCTGCTGCCATCTTCCTGCGCCAGCAAGGACACACTGTCACTTTACTCGAGCAGTCGCGGTTCGCCAACGAGCTTGGTGCAGCCGTGCATCTCGCACCCAATGCCAATGGACTTTTGCGTCGCATTGGGCTCTTCCCGGAGAAGCTCGGTGCAGTCGAGTGTAAGAAATTGACCCAGATGATGCCCAACGGCAAGGAACTCTTCAGCGTACCGCTCTGGCGTGAAGCTCACCGCTGGCAACACCCCTGGCAGCTTGCTCACCGTGTGGGCTTGCATTCGGAGCTCAAAAGGCTGGCGACTACCGAAGACGGCCCTGGAAAGCCTGCAATCCTGAAGACTCGCTCGAGAGTCGTAAACGTCAACACCGCGGATGGTACTGTCACGCTAGAAAATGGCGAGGTGGTGCAGGGCGATGTCGTCGTCGGCGCTGATGGTGTGCACTCGAAGACGCGGCCCAAAATCCCTGGTGCTGAGAACATTAAGACTTTTGGAAGCGGAAAGAGCGCTTTCCGTTTCCTCATCCCAAGGGCGAGAGCGCTGAACGACCCAGAGACGAAGAAGTTCGCCGAGCACGAGGGTCACCTTATTATGATCTTCGGTCGCGATCGCCGTGTGGTTGTGTATCCGACGTCAGACAACACGCTCTTGAACTTTGTCAACATCCACCCCACAGCCGAGTCTCAGGTCGACCAGGACGAGCCGGGAAGCAGCGACTGGCAGAGTCAGGGAAATATCGACAAGATGCTGGAGGTCTTCAAGGACTTCGAGCCGGCTGTGCTCAAGTTGCTCAGCATGGCGGACGAAGAGACGCTGAAGGTGTGGGAGTTGCTTGACATGGAGCAGATGCCTACCTGGACGCACGAGAAGTTGGTGCTCATCGGCGATGCTGCGCATCCCTTCACGCCTCGTGAGTGTTATCAACATGTACTCAGCATTGGGCGCGACTAACCACTGTATCAGACCAAGGACAGGGTGCTGCTCAGGCCATCGAAGATGCAGCATCGCTCGCAGTCATGTTGCAGAAGGGTACGCCACTCAGCGCTATCCCCGAGCGTCTGAGGCTATACCAGAAGTGCCGCTTTGAGCGTGCTTCACACATTCAAGAAATCTCGCGCATCGCTGGCATGGACCTGGGCTCCGGTCCACCGCTGGATTCGTCCCGCTTCACCGCCTACAACTTTGGCCATGACGAGTGGGACTACTCGAGCCAGGTGCTGCGGAAGCATGAGTGGGAGAACAATAACGGACTGTTCTGGAGGATGCCGACTTCCTTCGGCCCCATGCCTGGTCCACGACAGGACTTCAATGGTCGCCCACGCGATGGAAGCAAAGCTACCTTCAGGACAGCAAGCGTCAAGTTCAAGTCGAGCAGAACAGTGTTGCAAAATCTGTTCCCTACCGAGAAGCTCAAGTTTGCATCACAAGACACAGTCGTCTATGCCAGCTTCTCGGCAACACAGCTCGACAACCTCGAGTGGCTAGGCGGACGAGGCTATTCGCACTTCGGCCTCTACATCCACGGCGTGCAGTATACCAAAGACAACGGCGAAACAACAACAGGCACCTATCTCCCCATCCTCTTCGAGAACCTCGCAGACCCCATTCTCAGCGGGCGGGAAGAGCTCGGCTTCCCAAAGCTGTTCGCCGACCTCACCATAGAGCACGACGAAGCCAACAATTGGTCGCTGAGCGCCAGCTGGATGGGTTCTAGGTTCGCCAGCCTGACTCTTTCCGACCCCTCTGAGCCTCTCGACAACGGCGCCGCCGGTGCCACGCCCGCGCCCGCGCAAGCCCCAGCGCCAGCCGAAGAAGGTCTGTTCTTCCACAAGCATATCCCCGCCACAGGCAGCATTGGCAGCAAAGAGCGCGGCCAGGCGGACGTATCGTACACTGCGTTCCTGCCCAACGATCTAGACGCAAAGACCGTCGAGAGGAAGGTGGCGAAGACGCTCAACGCAAAGGACGCGCACATCTTGTTCGATGCGTTGGACTGGAAGGCGCTGCCTACGCTGCACCATGTTATTGCGCGATTACAGGAGGTACCGGTGTACGAGGTTGTTGAGGCGAGGATTGTAGAGGGGACGGGAGTGAGCGATGTCAGTGCGGTACAGAGAGTGGAATAGTGCATGTGTAGTGCGGCGAATTGAATTGACTCCTTGTGTCGACCATATTGTTTTGATGTCTTGTTGACCTCTACATCGAATGCGGTCCGCACGATGCAAGGAATCTTGCCGAAACGCTCGACAGGCCACACGCGTCCCAAATCTCAGTCACTGTGAAGTGGAGCGGCGGAAGACTCTATGCATCAACGATTGATGGTAGCTTGTTCGCATCGCAGGGAAAGCACAGATTGGAGCGGGGCTTGATGAGTTCAGAGCTTCCATTAAGCAGCGAATCTATAACGCGTTCTAGCAGTCCACACGGACAGGGCATCATCCCGGAGGTAGCACGCTTACTGTGCCGTACCCTCAGGGACCCACTTGGCCGTCCAGATCCTCAGTCTCTTTCCCCAGATCAAAATTGGGATCGTCATCAGCGCAAAGAATCCCATCAGCATGCCGAAAATGCCAAATGGCTCCGCTGCACCTCTGTGCTGCACCCAATCGCCCACGAAGAAGGTCCAGGCGAACGACACAATAGCCCTGGAGCTCGTGACGGCTACAAAACAGTCTCCCGCAATGCTGGTGTACGACTCGATCAGGTAGTTGAAGCCCACGGATGGGGCCTGCATGAGCCCGAAGGACACCATGCCGAGTCCGAACTGCAGACCGACCCAGCCAGTCGGGCTGGGGTTCTGCGCGACAAAGCCGAAGACCAGGGAACCGGCTGTAGCAATGAAGAGCGCGGGCAGAGCGGTGACAAGACGGGCTTCGGGCTCGGCGTAGCCGTGGGCGTCCTTCGCTGCGTTGCGCTTCGTCGTCCAGTCGGCGATGAAGTACGTGTAGATGCAGCCCAGCAGCGCGCCGATGATGCCACCGATGTTGATGAGGCCGACGTCCTTGCCCCACAGGTACGGAGGTGCGGCCACGAGCTGGGGACCAATCGTGCTGATCGTCACGACCAGACCGACGAGGCCGGCGTACCAGGCTGAGATGAGCCAGACGCCGGGGAGGCGCATTGCCTTGTATGGAGCGATGAATTTGTGGCCGATACCGGGACGGTAAGTGATGAGTCTGAGAGACTTGATGTACGAGTAGGAAGGGTATGAGGAAGGGGGCGGCTGGGCGGCCGAAAAGTGTTCCTTCTTCTCAATGTGGTCCTTTCCGTCATCGGCTTCGAGGTCGTGGAGGTACTGCGGTCGGTCGAAAAGCGTCTCGGCTTGGAAGACGAGGCAGAGAACGAAGGTAATGGAGGACAGAAGCACATTCATCCAGTGGATCCAGACGAGGCCCATGGATGCAACGATGTAGCCGCCAGCAATACCGCCCACGAGTGAGCCAAGCGACAAGAAAACGGTGTAAATGGCCTGAGTGATGTCAGCATTGTGATCTCCAGCAATCTCTTTTCGATGCACTCACCATCGCACGTCCGCGCTGATGCACAAAGAAAATCTCTCCGACCACATCAGGAGAGACGGCGTCTGCAGGTCCTCCTCCAATACCCATGACCAAACGCGCTACCAGGAGGCTGTTGAAGTTTGTGGTCAAGCCTGCCCACATGCTCGAAAGTACAAGGAGCAAAAGACTGCCAAGGACAACAGGTCGGCGTCCGAACGTGTTCGCCAAAGGCACCCACCATAGATTGGAGAAACCCATCATTAAGATGTTGACGGCGACGAGATAGGTGAGGTGCGAGAACGGTTTGGGTGGCAGGCCGAAGATTGGCGAAGCGGCGTAGATTGGCAGCGCGCTGGAGAGCGAGGAACTCGTCACGTTGACTACAAAAGGGTGTAGAGACATGCAGAATAGCATGGCCATCTTCCGCCACATGGGCAGGTTCAGGGGATCCGCAGGGTCTGCAGACGGCTGCGGAACAAGACGGATCTCATCGTGGTTTTGCTGTGATGCGGTCCATTCGAGATGTTCTGAGAAGCGTCAGTGAGATGCGTGATGACAAGGGATGAAACTACTCACCGACAAGAGTTGTTGTGCCAGGTGGTGTAGCATCCCTCACCTCATCCTTAGACAAGGCGAATGCCGCACTGAAAGACGACATTTCGTGCGACGATGAAAGTCCTTTGGGATCGCTGCTATTGTCGCGACTTTCGAAAACTGGCGAGACGGACGTTGTGCGGTGTCAATGTGCCATCCAGATTATATAGGTACATGAATCTGCGTTGGCGTCTTCCAGGTGGCAGACCGTGTTCGGTCGCATTGCAGCGAATAAGCATCCGTCTCGGGCTCATTTCATTGGTTGAGATGAAGCGTGCATGGACTCAATCTACCCCAGCTTAGAGGGCTGTTTCGTGGGGATGATTGGGGTTGTCCGATGTGGGGGACACTGTCCGCTGTCGGCCGAAGACCAAGACAAGGAAGATAGGCGGGCTCAATCCGAAAACATCTGCCGCTATGAAAAGACGACCAATAGTGGCCAAGCGCTGCATCTGATTCGTACGAGAGACCCGAAACTCTGGAACGTGAATCTGGGGCTAGTTGTTGTACGCGCGGAAGTGGATACCTATTTGCGACTCGAGCGTACCTACGGTGTCCATATCTGTAGCCGAGCAGCACAGGGAATCATCGGAGTCCCGGTCGTAATCCCTCCAGCAGTTGTACCAGGTTGCCTACGAGTGGCGGGCATGACCCTTCAACAGACTCATAAGGTGCCTGTAGGAGCTGGACTAGGCCATCCATGACCTCACTCACATTGCTTAGTTGGATTGCGTCCTTCGATCTCGCCGTCCAAATTGACGGCAACCCTCGATCCAGTGTAATGAACCTTCGTGCGCTGAGATTGTCGTCGCTATTGAGCACCACTATTGCGTGGACGCCTTCACCAGGTGGAGACTTTTCTGCAGCAGATCGCTTCAAGAATCCGTAGAGCCACAGTATGAGCCCTGCGTGATAGATGGCGATCGCATTGTAGTTGCACAACAGTCCCTTCGGAAGGGCCTCAGCAGCACGAAGTATCTGGCCAGCATGCCAAAGAGCCTGACGGGCTTGAACAGTCTTGGTCCAGTCGCGCAAGGAAGGATAGACGGATCGCGCCTCTTCCTGACCCTCTATTCCAGCAAAGAGCTGGATATCGTCCAAAGGAGCGTTGAGATGTATTAGCATAAGTTGCATGGTGATCTCCACAGTTTTGGTCATTGGTGGGCTGCTAACGTGGAAGTCGTCGATCTGCTTCGTAAGTTCCTGGTAGCGGGACGACAGGATTAGACTGTTGTGTCCCTTAGCGGGTGATCGCGCCCCAAGGGAGCTCATCTGCCGGAACTCCCAGACCAAGCCCCACACCATGTGCAGGTAGGTGGTGCTAGCATTATCATGTTGGGCCAGGTGGTCGAGATCGAGGAGGCAGTCGATAGCCGATGGACGCTTACCAGGGTTCCAAGTGCTCTCCAGGTAAGCGGCCTTCCAGACACTTGCCGACTTCGCCAACCAGAGATCTATCAAGTGTCAGCCAGGAGCATCTGGTAGGCGTGAGCGGAGGATCGTGGAGGGCACTTACGGTTCGAGCTGGGCAAGGGAAGATGCATCTCCGAATATGCCATCAACGGCGGTTTGAGCAGCGCCATCGATGACTGTCTGTCAAGCTCAAAGACGCGATAGATGAGGCGAAGGTATGACTCTTGATGCACCCACTCTTGCCACTTCGCTTCCAGAGCCGCCCCCTCTTCTTCCGCAGAAAGAGCTATTTCCTTCCATGTCGACCGTCGCAGCCTGCCTCCCCGCCGAATCATGGTTACAAGTGGTTGGAGAAAGCTCTCAGCGATCTCCATTTTGCGACTTACACCGCTCCACATACCAACGATTAATTGCAGGAGAAACGTCCTTACATGCTGAAGGTCTCTGATTGCAGAGTTGTCTTCTTCAAAAGACTTTGCCTGACCCATGCGAGCAGCTTCATGCAGAGCGAATCCCAGCTTTCGGAGTGGCACGTCTGGTGTCGAGGCAGCTCCTGCTGAGATAATGCAAGCAAGCAGCTCTGGGCTCAATTTGGCCAAGGACAGGGTTGGGAGATGGAACCAGGACTGCACGTCGAGGGCAGGTGATGTCAGAAAGAATTGTATGAGACCGTCCAACAGCTCCACGCTCGGGAACGCAGACGCTATACGTTTGACGTTCTCGGGGCTGCATGTGCCTAGGACCAGGGCCATGACTCTGTCACGGCTCACACGACCTAACCTTTCGTTGAGTGCACGATGTTGCGGAAGATGCGCTCGGCGATTGTCGTCTTTGTCAGAATCTGGAAATGCGAGGTTCGATTGCTCCATTGCGCTGTGGTCCTTGTCTCGACGTGGCATGTAACGCCAAATGCTTTGCTTGAAAGCTTCGGCGCGGACTGGCACACTGTCGCTATCCAGAGGCTGCTGCTCAAGCCCTTGAGTATCTGTCGAAGGTGTTTCAGCAGTGAATGGCACTTGAAAATTATATTGGTCAAGTAATCCGAGATCAAGATCCGTAAGGCCGACATCCATGTCGAAATTGAGATCCATGATACCTCGTGGTGCAGCATGGCCAGGAAGGAAGGACTCAAAGGGTGGCATATTGCGAAAGTAGTCTGGCAGGAAAGGATCAATGCTCGGAGTGTCATCAAAGTTAGATATTGTGTTGTCGAAGAATGCCAACGATGGACTGTCCGTACCGGTGTAGAGCTGGTCCATGGCTAATGTGCCTGGGCCCTGCTTGGTATTGTTGAAGGCACGCATTGATCGTTCATGTCCAGTCGAGTGCGACATACTCGAAGGTGTCATCGGAGCGATCGGTACCGACGCGTGGAGGAAGTTCGCGTTTACTTTGTCGCCATCACTTAGTTGTGGCGCTGGGTTTTGACTGCTTTCCGGCATCGATGGTGCATAGTCGTATCCATTCGACAAGTCAAGCAGATCCTGCGCGGCATGCACAGCATCAAGCTCGTTGATCTCGCTGGATTCGGCTAAGAAGGCATCTGGTACCTTGCAAGGTATGTCCTTCTTCCTACAACGACTGCATGGCTTCTCGTCTTCGCAGCGAAGATGGCTTTGAGAGCAAGCCTCGCACGCTTGTATGACTCGCGTGTCACGGGCGATCTCTCGCTTTTGGCGCTTGGCAGCAGTATCGGAGTTGTGGTTCGTTACATGCCTCTTGAGTAGGTCTCTGTACGAGAGTCAATATGGCAAGATCTTTCGGATAATGGACGCTGATGAGGGGAACCACGCACATCCTAGCAAAACCCTTTGAGCAAACAGGACAGACGTATGGTTTCTGTCGCGTATCTAAGAACAAGGGTCAGCGATAAGTGAGCGAAAGGAGATTGTGTATGTAGAGACTGTGCGATGTTGCTGACGAGGCGCTTCACAATTGGAGAAGCCTTGCTAAACAGATAATAACAATACGGGCTTCACGCCACCACAGAACATGCAAACATTCTCATTCGGTAATAATTGTGAGATGCACGAAGATACGTACGCGCTCGGACGTGTCGCGTGAGATGATCTGCTCTGGTGAACGACCTCTTGCACGTGCTGCACTGGAAAAGCCTCTGAGGCTCCGAATCGGGTATAGCGACAGTCAATTGTCCCTGTGATGGTGTCGTATTCGCCTGCATTGCAAGTGCATCGAACGACAATGGCTTCGGGAGAGCCAGGTGGAGGAGAATCTGGGGAAGGCTGGGTTGTGGGGAGTGTTAGAGCCAAAGCATGCGCGGCACCGGCACCGTGCGGCAACGAAATGAGACCGAGGCCTCCGTGGCTCCCCCACATTACGAGACTCGAGCCTTCGTCCATCACTCAGCTTTCTGCTGAAAATGTGCCCGAACACCGAGCCTGTGGGCTCACTTGGCCTGTATCTGTTCGTATCTCGACGACCAAATACGGGAATTCCGGCATTTGCGTCAGAACACAGCATTGCCTATTCCAGCGTTGACTTGATCCACGCAAACTGCGCCTATCTCAACAGCATCCAGGATTCGCCATCCTATATCATTCTCAAAGGATATTGAGAGTTCCCAGACGGCACAAAGCTGTGACCATGACGGTCCCGCCAGTCCACTTCTTCTCCCATGGTTCAACCATGATGCTGGGCGAAGAAACGCGCTCAGCAGACTATTGGAAAGCCTGTGGCGACGAAGCACTCCGCCACGGCATCAAAGGCATCATCATGATGGGCGCCCATTGGGACGCACGGGGCGTGAACCGTATTGATGTAGCAACGAACCCCCAACCCAATAAATCCCCGGTCGCCTACGTGCACCCCAGCAAATACGTCGACTACAAGCTGGTCCCCGACCTGCCCACGGGCAAGAAATGCATCGCAGCGCTCCGAGACAAGGGCATCGATGCGCGCCCAAACGACAAGTTCGATTGGATCCACGACACGTATCTCATCCTGATCCGGATGTTTCCCTCCAAGTGTCCGCCGACAACAATCATCAGCATGAACGGGCGCTTCGATCCGCACCTGCATGCGCGTGTGGGTAGCATCGTCGCGCCGTTCCGCGAAGAAGGGTACCTCATTATCGGCACCGGCGGCGCGGTGCACAATCTGTACCGCAATCACTGGGGCCAGATGCTTAAATACTCGGACAACCTGGCCCAGCCGTATCCGCCCGAGGCAGCGATGCTCGAGTTTCGGCAGAGCGTGGAAGATGTGTTTGTTAGGAGCTGCAGGAAGGGCGCGCCGAAGGGAGCTGTCACGAGGGGGGTGACGAGGCTGATGAAGCACCCAATGTACAGAGATGCGCATGCGACAGATGATCACTTTATGGCTGCGTGCTTCGTTGCTGGCGTGGTGGACGCGAGTCCGAGGCGTGGAGAGGAGTGTGTGCTTGGGGCTGAGGATTGGGAGTTGGTCAACATGTGCAACAGTCAGTTTACGGTTGGACGGTGGGCTCAGAAGGCTTGAATGTTTGAGTGCATCTGGCGTTTGTTTTCGCTACTATAACTACCATACGTCGGTTCTCGTCTTTTTCGGAAGATTCGATGGACTGCAGTTATTAGATCACATCGAGCCGCTGGAGGAACGCGTATTACAAACCAGAGCTGTATTTCAACCAGCCTGTCCAACTAGTCGTAGTACAGACATACGGCTACAGGACACGGCTGTGTGTTGCAGGAAGTAAGAGTAAATAGCTGATACAATGGCTGTACGTGCAGTTGGACACGCTGACGCCCTCAACCTTTTCGATTTGAAACCCGACTCGACTATCTATTCTTCCTCGCAGGCTTCACAACACCAACACACGCCCCAAACCCAACACCCATACTCCCGTTTCCAACGACAGCTTCATACGTCACCTCATCGCCATCCGCAAGATACCTGAGCTCACTCCCATCGTTCAGCTTACTGGCCTTCCTCCCGTTCGTCGTCAACTCAAGCAAGCATCCATGCTGATGCCCCTCCTCTCCACTGACCGTGCCGCTAGCGATGAGATCGCCGGTCCGCAGTCCACACCCGCCGATGGTGTGGTGGGCAAGCATGTGTCTGAACGTCCAATACATCGTGTCAAACCCGACGCGACACGTCTGCGTCGCTGTCCCACCCCGCGTGATTGACCCGGTGAGCTGGATGTCGTAGTTGACGGCCGCCGTATCGTGCAGAAACGGCGCAACGGGTCCCATGCGCTCCGGAGCCGGGACTTGATGCGTGCTCAAGGCTTCGAGCGTGACGATCCACGGCGACACGCTGGTGCCGAAGTTCTTCCCGTTGAACGGGCCCAGGGGGTTCATCTCCAGCCCCTGGATATCGCGCGCACTCCAGTCGTTGACAAGCAGCAAGCCGAAGATGTGTTGGTCCGCATCCTGTGCGTTCAGGTAAGTGCCAGCCTCCACGGGGCGGCCTACGATCGCGCCGATTTCCAGTTCGTAGTCTAGAGCCCGACTGGCGCCGAAGATGATGTTCTTCTCTGTCGCGGCGTGGTCTTCGATGTATTGACCGAGCGGGCGTGTGATGGGCGTCCCGCTGATGGCGATCGTGGAGCACCGCCCCGCGTAGCCGACGGGGTACTTGTGGAATGCGGGTGGGAAAGATCGGACGCCCGTTATTGCTTCACCGGCATTGAGGACGTGGTTTGCGCTGGCGGAGTAGTCGGTGAAGTCGCCGATTGCGACGGGCAAGTGGAGAGTCACGTCTCTGATGTTCTCTGACGAAGAGGTGTGGATCTTGTTCTTGTACGCATTTTGAATGGCGGTGCGGACGTGACTTTGCACTTCTTGGAGTTGTGCAGCGAATGCATTGAGTATTGGCTGGGAGAAGAGAGTTGGTAGGTCTGCGCCGATTGATTTGAAAGACTCGTGGCTCGCGAGCTCAGTGAGGAAGATGACGTCGTCGCCGATTCTAGTCGCGGCTTGCGGTTGTGGTCTCTTGGCCGAGCTTGCAATGCCATAGGGAATGTTGTTGATGCCGAAGTGCGATGTGTATGCGTCCGCCATCTTGAGCTGTATCTGCAGTCGCCTCGAGCAGGGTTTGGGCCAGGATGAGAGTGTACGTTGTATTGATCAACCAAGATCTCGACACAAGCCTCAAAAACAATTCGCTGTTGTCAAAGTCCATTCGAGTCGTCGGTAAGCAATTTCACATGTACGCGTCTCGATGGTGAGCACATTTCAGACAAATCTCCCTCCACATCGCGAGGTCTGCGGGGCCCGGATCGCAGCTTTGGCGGGCAGCACCTTCACGTCTTGTCCAAGCGGCAGACAGGGGCTTGCGCTCTGCTGTGACATCATTTGGTACGACGCTTGTTTCGACGCAGTTCTGTGGTGTTGATGAGGATGCTCGAAGTCGCTCTTCATCGGGAGGCTGTGGACTAGGTCGAGAACGGCAAGGCTCTTTTCTTATCGATTATGTCCCTTTATCCACCACCCGGGCAGCGTCGTCCACTCTCTCCTCTCTGACGTCAGCAACGTTATTGACAAAGCCCTAAATCAGAGCGCGAGAACAGTAGCGTCCTACCGCTGCATTGCCATGTAGCAGGCACGCAATGCCATGTAGCAGGCACGCCACTGCACCTGAGGGCCGCAGAGGCCGACACTGCAGTTGCTGAAACGGACCCTGAAGGGGATGCCGGCCCTCCACATCGGGAGGTGTCATGGCCGGGACAAGGCAATTGATTCCACAAAGTAGGTATCTGTACTGGCAAGACTCACATTCCCACGCATCGCTCTGTTCACTCGAAGCATCGATCCCACATCCTCACCACCGTCACCACCGTCACCACCACCACCATCACCACCATCACCACCATCACCACGACGACAAGCAACCATGTCCTCCCGCCCGGAACTCGCCAACAAGCTCCCCAGCCTAAAGCGCTTCATCACAACGCACAACCCGGCGACAAAACAAGCAGTCTTCTCCTCCGCGCTCGACGAGACGGTGAAGTGGGATGCCATCCCCGGTGCCACCTTCGGCCTCCCCTACGTGACCAAAGGGCACCCGGTGGACCTGACCAACGACGCAGACATCGCCGTGTACACGCCTTTCCTCGAGAAAGCGCCCGGGCTCGTGACCTCGGGCGGCACGGTGCTGCGGTTCGTGGACATGCAGCCCGGCGCTACGTCGCCGATGCACCGCACGGTGTCGCTGGACTACGGGGTCGTGATCGAGGGCGAGGTCGAGCTGGTGCTTGACTCGGGCGAGACGCGGGTGCTGCGGCGCGGCGACGTGGCCGTGCAGAGGGGCACGATGCATGCGTGGAGGAATCTGAGCGGGGACAAGTGGGCGCGCATGATGTACGTGCTGCAGGAGAGCAGGCCGGTGGAGATTGATGGCGAGACGTTGGGGGAGGACTATGGGACTATGGAGGGGGTTCCTGCGTCGCGTTGAGTTTGATTTGCATGTCACTGGATGATTTCCGTGTTACGGAATGGTTTCCGTGTTACTGAATGATTTCCGTGTTACTGAATGATTTCCATGTTACTGAATGATTTCCGTGTTACTGAATGATTTCCATGTTACTGAATGATTTCCGTGTTACTGAATGATTTCCGTGTTACTGAATGGTTTCCATGCTAGCACTCGATCTGCCATCGTACACCCCCCGTGCAAACCAACGCCAGCAACAGTCCCTTGACTGTGTGATGCAGAAACCAACAAGCCCGCCTGCTCTATCCCCCCAGTGCACGACACCCGCACGACGCCCTCAGCATCCCCGCGGCCAGCCCAGGGCTCCGAAGTGGGCCCCCACATCCCGATACCCTACCCGAATCTCCGCAAGTCCAATATATACAGCCCAGCAGACGTGTGTGTGTGTGTGTGTGTCCTCGCATCACAGCACACGCGCCACCGCCAACATGTCGTCCTCGCAGCTGGAAGTCAAGAACGCACACACAATCGACGCAACCACTTACCCCTACATTTTCGAGTCGAACGCCTCAGTCGCGCTGAAAACGGGCGCGTCGGGCGTGGTGAGGGTGAATGTGTACCGCCCCAAGTCGACAGAGGAGGGGGCCAAGCTGCCCGTGCTCGTCACATATGGGCCGTACGGGAAGGACATCCACTACAAAGAGTACGTACCCCACCTCACCGCTGGACGTCTCCTCGCCGCTGGACGTTTCCTCGCCGCTGGACGTTTCCTCGCCATGGCGCTGACAGCGCCAGTTTCCACGCCAAGTCGTACGCAGAGGTCAATCCAGAGCACCACTCGGCGCACTCGGCGTGGGAGACGCCGGACCCGGGGTTCTGGACGCGGCACGGGTACGTGGTTGTGCGCGCAGACGAGCGCGGGCTGGGCCAGTCGCCGGGGGTGCTGGATACCATGTCGCGGGGCACGAGCGAGTGTTTCTTCGACGTGGTGGAGTGGGCGGCGGAGCAGGCGTGGTCGTCGGGCAAAGTCGGCTTGCTGGGGATTAGTTACTACGCGGGCTCGCAGTGGCGGGTTGCTGCGCGGCGGCCCAAGGGGCTGGCGGCCATAGTGCCGTGGGAGGGCATGAGTGATTACTACCGTGATCGGTGCAGGCATGGGGGGATTCTGAGCAACAAGTTCATCGACTTCTGGTGGTGAGTGCGGCGGGCGTGCTCGGAGCGGAGACGCACGTGCATGGCTGACGAGCAACTAGGAATCGCCAGGTCATCACGAACCAGTACGGGCGGCCCGGGCGCGCAGCACGCAACTGGGGCCCGGACACGGTCGACGGCGACCTGTCCGAGGAGGCGCTGGCGCAGAACCGGCGCGACCAGACGGTCGACACGGCCGCGTCGCGGTTCCGCGACGAGCCCTACTATGCCAGCAAGGAGTACGACATGGGCGACATCCAGGTGCCGCTGCTGTCGGTGGGCAACTGGGGCGGGATCCTGCTGCACCTGCGCGGCAACATTGAGGGGTTCGCGCACGCGGGGTCCGAGTTCAAGTACCTGCGCCTGATCACGGGACGGCACGACCTGCCGTTCTTCTACAACGAGGAGGTCGACGTGCAGCGCAGCTTCCTGGACGCGTTCCTCAAGGGCGACGACCGCGTCGGGTGGTCGGTCAAGGGCAAGCTGCCGGCCGTCGACCTGGTGCTGCGCAAGGGCGACGTCGGCGTCGACGACGCGGCCGCCGAGCGAGCGTACGAGCGCCGCGCCGAGAACGAGTGGCCCATTGCGCGCACGCGGTACACGGCGTTTTACCTCACGCCCGCGGCGACGCTGACGCGCTCACCGCCTATGGTACCGCGCGCGGCGAAGCTGTCCTACGAGGCGCTGGGCACGCTGGCGTCGCCGAAGCTGCTGCAGTTCCGCACGGCGCCGTTCGCCGACGAGACGGAGATCACGGGGCACATTGTTGCGCACCTCAACGTGTCGCTGTCGGCGCACGCCGCGCGCTCGACGCCGGCGGACATTGATCTGTTCCTGACGCTGCGCTACATGTCGCCCGCGGGGAACGAGGTGCACTACACGGGCACAGCCGGCGATCCCGTGCCGCTCGCCAAGGGCTGGCTGCGCGTCAGTCTGCGCAAGACGAACCCGGCGCACCCGAAGCACCGCGCCTACCTGCCGCACCGTGACTACTTCAGCACCGACGTGCAGCCTGTGATTCCGGGCGACGTCTATGCCGTCGACGTCGAGGTGTGGCCGACGAACGTGGTCGTGGAGAAGGGCGGCAGCATCGTGCTCGAGGTGAGCAGCGGGGACACGCAGGGGAGTGGCATTTTCCAGCACGACCACCCAGAGGACCGCAGCGAGGCCAGGTTTGCGGGGTGGAACCATGTGCATTTTGGCGACCAGTTCGTGAACTACGTCACCCTGCCCATTGTGCCGCCGAAGTAGTCGACAGGTTAGAATAGTCGACAAATGAGGCTAGTCGACCAATTAGAATAGGCGACCAATTAGAGTAGGCGACCAATTAGAGTAGGGGACCAATTAGAGTAGGTGACCAATTAGAGTAGGTGACCAATTAGAGTAGGTGACCAATTAGAGTAGGGGACCAATTAGAGTAGGTGACCAATTAGAGTAGGTGACCAATTAGAATAGGCGACAAATTAGAATAGTCGACAAGTCAGAATAGTCGACCAATTAGAACAGTCGACAAGTCAACAGATTAGAACAAGCTGCGTCCCTAGGTGGAGAGACACTATGTTGCGAGACAGATTCACGGTTCGGGCCTTTGGAGTGGCTCCCTTGCAAGCTTGTCAAGCCGTACTTGACACATCACCATTCTCCAGCTATCACACATCACCGTTCTCCAGCTATCAACCATCAAGATCGCCGTGGTGTTGGCCATTGTATTGATCACTTCGTCAACGTCGTCAGTCGACTCTCCAACGATTACTCCCTGTCCTCATGTGGCTCAGACGGCTCCTTGGGCATTCAGAGGGTCAGATGGAAGCGCAATGGTAAGAACTGGGCTCGAGGATTTGAGATCCGTCATCCAGAAACAGAAGCGAGAAGAGCCAAGGCGATGGACTGGAACCGCCACGAGAAGAACACACAAGTTACTGGAAGACGGCGCATTGGTTTGAGGTAATTGGGAGGGTGCCGTGCGACCCAGCCATCTCAAAAGAAAACGTATACAACATGGACAAGACAGGCATCATGCTACTGATGCTAGGCTCCGCGAAGGTGCTCGTGGGCAAGGATGACATGCAAGACTACAGAGGTGCGCGCGCAAAGCGTACGATGGTGACCGCTATCAAGTGCATCAGCGGCAATGGTGAGTATCTCACCTCAGTAATCATCTGGCCCGCTACCACTCACTGAAGCAACTGGACTACGTTCCACACCCCTGGATGCCAGTGTGCGTGCTCAGAGTTTGGGTACACCGACTCCTTCATCAGCTTGCGATGACTCAAGCGTATCTTTGACCCTGAGACTAGGGAGCGAATGGAGAGCTCCAGTAGCGCGAATTTACTAGGAGATGGCACGCCACTTTGTGTAGAGCGAGAAGTGGAGCCTGTGTTGGCGTAGGCTAGACTGCCCTTCTGTGGCTGGGCAGTATCAACGCGGTGGAGTCGTTTGAAGTGCATTTTGTAGGGTTCGTCTTTGTCAGAGGCACGCTCGCATCAATGACAAGGGTAGGCAATGACAAGGGTAGGCAGACTCAAGAATAGGGGCAGTTGCGATTCAGTGGGTGCAAAGCGTGTAAACACAGTCTTGTACATGGTGTGCGCCGCTGGCATTTTGTTGTACGAGACTGTGTCGTGGGTGTATAGTGCTCAAGTAGTTGTGTGATGGTGGTGGTGACAGCTGTCTTTCGCTGCGTCTACACCGTAATGCGGCGGCACACAGACCCCAAGGCCACTAAATTTAAAAAAAAAAAAGTGTCACTAGCATGCTGCACGGACGCTTTGATGTGCTATTCAACAGAAACGCGCGATTCACTTCCGATTCTTCTCATGGCAAGCTGACCACAGACGCCAGCCGTGCATGTTGTAGTTGCCTTGCAGGACGATGCAGCAAGAGGCGCAGCCGGCTACGCCTCGAGCCTACCCCGCGACTTCGCAAATCTCTTGCAGGCCCAACATTCTTCCGTACAAGACAGTGCATACCTGACGTGGTCCCCCGGACCTGCGACTTTGTTGTATGATGCGAAGACGAGACCGCCTGCAGAATCGCCTACGCGCATTTTTCGCATCGGACATCACCCTTTCACCGCCACTAGCGGCTCCACCCAGCCCTCTTCTGCCACCTGCGCAGCAAACGCCTTCTCTTCCTTCTCCACTACCATCGGCTTCGCCACGCCTGACTACATCAAGCGGAGGTGCATTAGCCTCAGCGACATCGCGCAGCCCACTGTTAGAAGCGGCTCTAACGAAAACACTGGAGAAGCTCCCTGAGGGCGAGAAGGCGGCATTCCTGCAGGCGTCAAAAACCATCGACGAGCGAACCCTGCTGTCAGGCGTAAGGACATACGATGCGGCGCACAAGAGCGAGTCGTCCTTCAGGCCTCACGCTGAGCGTCTCTCGAAGTTTCTAGTCTTGCTCAATAAGTTCACGGCAGGCGTCGCTATAGGCATCCAAGCGAGCCCTGAAGTCTCATCCTTGGTACTCGGCTCAGTCAGGGTCGTCATCGACCTTGCTCTGAACTTCACAATGTACTTCAGCAAGCTGATCGATATGGTCTGCACTTTTGAAGACTACCTGGGTCCTCTTGAGGAGTATGCGCAGGCGGCAGACATCAATCTTGTGGAGAAAACGGTAGTCCGTGCTTACGCGAACGTGGTCGACTTTGGCTGGAAGGCGCGTCGTGTGTTTCTTGATGTCAATGGCGATCAGCGAAAATGGACATCCGTCAGAGCATTCATGCGTCAGCACTGGGAGACGTTTGAGACTGAGTTTGTGTCCATCAAAGGGGATTTGCAGCGCCATCTCGACGTATTGCTACACTCCGTCCAGGCATTGCATTTTGACGTTTCTAGGAAGGCCGAGGAGTCAAGGCTCCGTGAAGAAGAGAGTAAGGCCATCTGTGCCGACGCTGTGCGCGTAGCTATGTCATTGACACGTACCCAGAGAAGGAGAGGTCGGCGTTCCTCGCGTGGGTGTCGAGCATCGATTTTGAGAAAATTCACCAGGACACCTATGCAAAGAAGCACGAACAGACATGCGACTGGCTAACGAGAGAGCCGAAATATCAGCAATGGGTAAACGGCCCCGCCTCGGCCCTCCTGTGGTGCCACGGAAAGCGTAGATAAGCCATCTTCCTTCACAGACGACGATCAGCTGACCACCCGTAGCTGGAATTGGGAAATCTGTGCTCGCGTAGGTGGTTGTCGTTCGTGCTCTGTTCCGCTTCTGATGCTTATCATGCTCTAGGTCAAGCGTCATAGAGGATCTCACAGCTAAGAACGGGCTACGGGAAGATGCTGCTATCGGCTTTGCTTACTACAACTACCAAAACATGCAGTTGAAACAGCTTCACCAGATTGTAGCCGCTTTGGTCAAGCAGCTGTGCCGAAGGAAGGATCGTATACCCCAGAACCTGCTTCAGACAAAGCACGATGGCTTGTCCCCATCTTTGGTGGGTACACAGGAAAGGTTCGTCGCACTTGTTGAAGATCTGTGCCAAGTATTCGTGGTGTTCGACGCTCTGGATGAGTGTCCGGAGCAAGAGCGGGGAGGCATTCTTGCTTTTATCACCAACATAGTAACTGCGCAGATTGGGTGCCACGTCAAGGTATTCGTCACCAGTCGGTACGAAATGGACATCGCCAAAGCCTTTGAAGATAAGCAGATACCCACAATTCAGATTCGAGCCGAGAACGTCGCAGGCGACATAGAAATTTTTGCTCGCAGCCAAGTCGAGAAGCTCCAGGCTGGGCAGCATGGAAAGACGCTTTACATCACTAGCGTCGAACTTAAGGAGAAGGTTATTCAGACGCTCGCTAAGAAGGCAGAAGGCATGTGAGTTTATGGCTTGTGGTCACACCAGAGGATTTTGCAGGCTAAGTGTGAAACAGGTTTCTTTGGGTCAACCTACAGCTAGACAGCCTTTGCCAAGCTAGCAAGGCACAAAAGGATCAGGTTGTGGAAGCTGCGCTGGAAGCCTTACCGCAGGGGTTATCAGACACCTACGTTCAAATACTCGAGCGGATCGAAGTTCAACATCCGTACATGAGGGATCTAGCACTGAATTGTCTAGCTTGGATAATCTACGCCCGAAGACCCCTCAGCACCCGGGAGCTACAGTACGCGCTCGCAATCAATACGAACTGTACAGATCGACAGGACATATCGCTCGACCCGCCACAAGTGATTATCGAGGCTTGCGGCAATTTACTGGAGGAAACCAGCGGCGCAATCCGGCCGATCCACTATACCGTGCAGGAGTTCTTTACACCCACCGTCCGGGGAATGCCGCAACATCCTATGCGAACGCAACTTCTAGACTCAAAATCTGTGCATGAGCGACTGAGCTTAGCGTGTCTTCGGTACATTCATTTGGTGGCATTCGATACACCGGCCGGAGACGCAATCGACCTGTACTACCGACTCCAAGACAACGATCTTGCTGGCTACGCATGTCAAAGCTTTGATTACCATGTTTCAAATTGTGATCCAATTCCCCTCGATGTTGTAGACCAACTGGAGAGACTCTTCCAGCACGACAGTGCGTATCTTGCAGCGATACTGCAGATAAAGATTCTGCAGGATGACTACTACTTAGACAACATTTGGCAACGGTTCAATAAAATGTTCTTTTTGGTAACTCCAGGCACAATTGTGTACAGCACTAGTCTCTACAACATTCCCACTTTAGGCCAACGATGGATCGATCAAACGCCTCCAATGTATGCTTTACACCTCGCAGCCTCCGCAGGGCTGACACATGCAGTCATCCGACTTCTCAAGGGAGGCTGCGACATTGATGAGAGAGACCGGAGCAACAGCACTCCGTTGTACTACACGAGTTTCAATGGTCATCTAGACATTCTTCGGTCACTGCTTGACAAAGGCGCTGAGGTCAACGCGCAGGGTGGATTCTATGGCAACGCACTGCAGGCAGCTTCAG